AAACCGCTCGTCCCGGAATTTATAACGTATCCCGTTAATAAAGAAGAGATAAACGCCGTAGGAATACCTAAAGATACGATTAAAGGCTAGGGATCGGTAGGAAAAGAAGGGCTATATACCTACGTATTTAGCGGTATTAGAGGAGGCGAACCGGCGCTCGTAATACTAATAAGGTACCTCGTTAGGTACCTTATATTATTAAACAAATAAATTAACGACGTAACGAAGGTCCGTCGTTAATCGACGGAAATACTTACTAACCGGGCCCTTATTATTAATCTTTATAAATAACGTCCGACGGCGAAAGGATTAAACGTAACGAACGAAGGATATAATATAGTTCTAAAGGTAGGTAACCTCTTAAAAGTCCTTACTTATAATCTCCTATACGATATACCGGCCGATTACCGGTTTATTTAGAAAATAAAACCGAACGTTACGAATTATCTTATTATTAATTAATATAGCTTTCGATTAATAAATCCTATTAATATTAAGAGCTATATATCTAGCGCTATTAGTTTATTACCCGAATTCCTTCGATACTTTAAAGCTACCGGCCGATAATTACTTTCGGGCTTTAGTCTAAGGGACGGAAATACGAGGCGTACGGTACCTACTAAGGCTTAGGGATTAGCCGATTAACGTCCCGGAATTCCTCGGTAAAAGGTAAGCGGCGAAAGGATTCGTCGGGCTATTTATTTATTAGGTTTACCGGCGGCGGTATCGATTTAATCCGTTAATACGTTACGGCTTTCTTTTTATTCTTCTTAGCCTTTTTAAACGCCCCAGTAATCTCTTCGTCGGTAATTCCCGTAGCCTTTAGTTACTCGAATAGCTTAAGGGCGGTCGCCCGGTTTAGTTTAAGGAATTACTTCTAAATAATAAGATTTATTATATATATATATAAAAAAAAGAAAGATAGAAACGACGAAATTATAAATCTAGAATTAAAAAAAATCGAAAAACGAATTAAAACGAAGATAAAGGACCTAAGAAATAAAAGAAAGGAAGTAAATCGGAACCGTAAAATAACGAGAAATAAGAAGAAAGGTCGGACGAAAACGAGAAAGTCGAATACGTTACTTAGGTCGTAAGTACCGTACTTAGGAGAGTTTCGATAATACCTATCTTAGCCTACGTTTAATTACGAATTTATAAACGTACGTACTTATTACTTTATTAAAAGTATATAATAGAAAGTTATAAGCTAACGCGTTTCTTATTATAACTTTATACGTACGTAAGAAAACGCGCTTTCCTAAAGCGTTAGCCGTAAAGGTATTGAACAGGAGCAGCGTAGGCACGCTAACGGAGGCACGAAAAGGGCTACCCAACTACCAACAACTGGCCTAGTGCCGATCAACTAAGATCATAGCTATAAACAGCTATAATCGGTTAATCGGCCAGCTAAAAACGGCAGCTAGGAAAGGAAGACTAGAAAGGCAAAGACGAGGATAGCTAGAAAGGCATGGTAAGAAACGAATAAATGGCTATAGGCTATAATATCTACAGGTCTAAGTCTAACTAATGAAAATATAAGTACGCGACCCATATAAATATACATCGAAAAGGCTACGTGGCCTAGATCCACCGCACCACTACAGTATATCTAATTATATCGTTAATACGTCTCCCTTCCTTTCTCTCTTTTTCCTTTTTAGGTATCTTATTCCGAAAATCTCCTTCTTATAATTATTATATTCCTATTAATCTCTAGCCTACCTTTCTTATTATTGATTTAAATTCTTATTTTTACCTTTAATTTATTATCTTTTTTCTTCCTTCCTTTAATTCTTTTATTTATTTTTACGATATTTTCCTCCCGCTCCGCCGGAATTTCTCTCTCCTTTTCCCTTTCTTCCGTTTATAAAGACGTACGTCGCGCCGATTTAGCCGACTTAATTAAACTCCTACGGGAGATTTACGGTAGTAAAAATAACTAGAATAATATAAAGGAATATTAACTTAATACTTTAAATAATTACGATTCGAGGAAAGGTCCGATCGAGTTAGGATCCGATATAGCCTAGGCCTTCCGGTTATTTATTAATCGACCCCGAACTATAGACTAGTAATTATAGGAATAAACGAGGGTAGCCTTAGCTAACTTTTTCGTATGCCTCGTCCGTTACGACTACCTTATTAACGAAGATATCCGCGCCTTTTATACTATAACTAGCTACGACCTTAAAGGTAGAAAGGCGGCCTTCGAAGTAAACCCGTATTAAACGATAGGCTATCGATCGGTAGGATCGTTTAACTTCTTAACCCGTTAGTACTTTCTCGATAATCTTATTTTTATTTTAGTCTTTACGATTTATACGGATTTAATAAACCTCGAACGAATTATTACCGATTCTTTAAAGTTCTCTTAAGTTTATTTCGCCGTAGTATTATACCTCCTTAAGCCTTAAAAATTATTTAGCTTTAATATAGTTAGGAACGACGCTTTCGATCGGGCGACGTACGCGTTCGGTTAATTACGGTAAGTATAGGAAGACGGTAATCTCGAGCTTAATATAATCCCTTAATTTACTTATTACGTCGCGTTAATAAATTAATAAGATAGCTTTAATTACGGTTTTTAGAGCGGCATTTTACCGTATCTTATCTTTAAACGATCGATCGAAGTCGCGCGCTAAGCCTAAAAGAATAAGGGCCTTAACCTCTTTAATATTATAAGAAAATACGCCGAGGTAGTAGAATAATTTTATAGCGTTTAAGTTTTAAAGGGAGGGATAGGTATCGTTAAGCGTTTTCGGTAAGCCGTAAATTACTAGAAGCGAATTAACCTTATTAACGTTATAATATCCGCTTAAAGTACGCCGATCGGCGAGCCCCTTAGCCGTAAATCCTCCGTTCGGTTTATCGTATGAGCCGAAGTCTATCGTTTTTTTATAACCTTAATACTTAATTCCTTTTACTTTTTCGTATTAGCGGACGTAAACCTCCGCTATAATAACCTCGTTAAGGTTATAGCGCGTTTCTTTCCTTCTTCCGGACTAGAAAGGATTAAGGCTTTTTAATCGGGGGAAACCTTTATATCGTATAAGTAGAGGAGAAATACCTATTTAACCCTCGGGACGCGTCCGCTTCCTTACTATTCCTTTAATTAGGAGGGCTAGAACGAAACTAAGAAGAAGGTAGCCGAAATAAAGAAGGAAAACGCCGATCGGGTTAAATCGGCGAGGATAAACCGGGCTAAGTTAGCCGTAAAGTAATAAAAGGGCTTCCTTATAATATTAAACGAAAAGTTAAAGGCACGACGATAGTAATTAAATAATAGTCGATAGAATAGAGTTTCGCGGTAGTTTTTTAAAGGGAAATATTAATTAAAATATACCGTACTATCCCTTTTAATTTAATTATCTCTTACGGTATAATTAAACTAAGGAGGCTATAGTAATACGATAAGATATACCCTTTTAATATATTACGTAATACGTTACGATAGGCCTTATACCTATATAAAGTAATCATAGCTTCCGTAAATATGAAATATACTATGCTTATTATCTAATTTATTACTTAGTTAAATTACTATCTTTATTATTTTTACCTTAATTAAAGATTCGTTTTTATTATTAGATTTATCGTTTTCCGATTAATATATTTATTTTAGTTATAGGCGCTTAAGTTATTTCGTCGTACCGCTATAACCGAATAAGTAACTTTTACGTTTTATCCCTTTTCTTCCCTTACCTCTTATACCTTCGGGCTAGTAACTACTATATCTCTACGACTAAAGGATATAGCTAAGATACGATAACTATATTAGATTCCTTACCTTTCGATTAATATAGCGATATTAGTTTTATTTATCTTAGACTATCGTACGTATTATAATCTTCGATAGAGTATACTTTCAAGTGAATATATCTAGGTCTCTAGGTATCGCGTACGCTCTGCTCCTCCTCAGTAGGTAGGTCTAGGTAGGTAGGTCTAGGTATGTAGGTCTAGGTAGGTAGGTAGGTAGGTAGGTACCTATAGAATATATAGACATTATATCCGTCTGGATATTAGTTCCTACGTAGTTATAAAAACTATTCTGAAATTATAAGAAGGGAAGGTAATAAGGTCGGTACCGCGACCCTTGCTGTAATTCTTTTAGCTCTTTCGAAAGAATAGGTAACCCTTACTAGATTTAGTTACCGTGTCCGTACCCCGACTCTATTGCTGACATACTGTCCATAGACCCCCCCCTCCCGGTATGGTAGGTACCTAAGGTAGGTATATATATAAGGCACGTAGGCTTACCCGGTAGCGGGTGTTTTGATAACAGCGTGTGCGGGAGGTACCTTAGAGAGATGACTAATGTCGGCGTACTGTCCGACTTCGCAGGCTTTACAGGCGGCCCGCCGCCACGCGGGCAAAGGGTCCATCTACTAGGTACCTTGTATCCGAGTACTTACCTGCCCACATCCACTAAACATCCATAAAACCCGACTACAGCACGTGAAAAGTCGGATTGACACCGGGTACAAGGTACCTAAGCTAGGTACAGACAGTCCAGTCCTTCCCCAGGTTGGCGTTTCGCCTCGGCAGGTTCGATTCCCACGGTTTACTGGAGGAGGGGCAGCGTCGCTTCCCCTCTAGTGGACCCTTACCTGTACACGTACATGCAAGGTAAAGGTTACCTGAGGTACCTACATACAATGTGCCTCCCTATGTACCTGCCTGCAGACCAGCCTACCCGCCCATATCTGCTAAGAAGGTCCCTCCTGGCCGGTAAACTGGCTATGCAAGAGGTCGTTCTTCCGTTGCAAGCCGAGGTGCAGCGAACCGCCAATCCAAAGGCGATGCAGGACTTAAGCCGTCTAAATCTCCCCGTCGTTACAGCCGTGGCATGTTAACTCCTCGTTCTTCGACCTCTCAAAGTTGGACGGCTACCGACCGATCCCCTCCCCCCCCTCCCAAGAACGCCATTGAGCTGGTTTCCGAGCGTGCTAGCCAGGTGCTCCCTTTTTTCCCCCTCTCGCTGAAGGCTACGTGACAAAATGGCACACCGAATTGGTGTCTTCGGATCCGCCGCTAGAAGCCGGGCACCTCTCCGCGCTTTCGCGGCATCACGGCGCTTCTCGACGCAGACTGCGCGGTGGCAAGAGGTTCGGGATGCATATATTTTGAGCGCATCGCGAACCCCTACGGGGAAGGTGGGGTTTCCTGCTCCGATCCGGTGCCAATATTACGATGCATAAACTAATAGACACGCCGCCGTCTAGTTCAATGGCGCTTTTCTTACGGTGCCTGCGCCGCAACTTGCTGCCGTGGCTATTAAATCGGCACTTGAAAAGTCCAAGGTCCCGGTCGAGAAGATCACGGATGTCTACATAGGCAACGTCTTGCAGGCCTCTGTGGGTCAAGCTCCGGCTAGGCAAGCCGTCATCTTCGCCAATCTTCCCAAGTCCGTGGAAGCAGTGACCGTCAACAAGGTTTGCGCCTCGGGATTGAAGGCGGTGGTTTTGGCGGCCCAGAACATCCAGCTTGGCCTGAGTGAGGCTCAGATAGCCGGCGGGATGGAGAACATGTCGCAGGTTCCGTACTACGTCCCTCGTGCGAGCAGCCTACCGCCGTTTGGGCACGTCAAGCTGGAGGACGGCCTCATCAAGGACGGATTGACGGACGTGTACGGCCAGTTCCACATGGGAATCTGCGCCGAAACCACTGCCAAGAATCACGGTATCTCCCGGGAAGCCCAAGACCAATACGCTATCCAATCCTACGAGCGAGCGCAAGCAGCCTGGAAGAGCAACGCTTTTAAGGACGAAATCGCTCCGGTTACTGTCAAAGGCAGGAAGGGGGAGGTGGTGGTCGACACCGACGAGGGCTACCTGGATGTCAAGCCTGAAAAAATTCCGACGCTAAAGCCGGCTTTCCTCCGCGACGGCACGGGCACAGTCACCGCGGCAAATTCGTCCACGCTCAACGACGGTGCCAGTGCACTCGTGCTCGGAAGCAAGGACATTGCTCGGCAGTTCGGAAGGGGGTCGCGGGTGCTGGCAAGGATATGCAGTTCCGCCGACGCAGCAATCGACCCGGTGGACTTCCCTGTTGCCCCAGCCAAGGCAGTGCCTATAGCTTTGGAGCGTGCAGGCATTACCAAGGACCAAGTGGCGGTTTGGGAGTTCAACGAGGCCTTCGCTGCGGTCATCAAGGCCAACGAGAAGGTAAGATCCGAATAAGCGATTCCCGGGCCACCTCGGTGGGTGCTAACGAGAAGACACGATAGATCCTCGGTCTCGAGAATGCGAGAGTCAACCCGCTGGGCGGTGCGATATCTCTAGGCCACGCGCTAGGAAGCTCTGGATCCCGAATCCTCACCACGTTATTACACCAGCTCAAGCCGGGAGAGTACGGCGTGGCTGCCATCTGCAACGGGGGAGGGGCAGCTACGGCGGTGGTTGTCCAGCGGATCGAATCTGTATAAATATGAGACGGATTAATTATTTCGGGAGGGATAAAGGTATACACGTATACCCATCAACTCACGTGTGCAAAGTGTAGAGCATGCGAGTGCTCGCTCACCTAGGGATGCCGTCGCATCTGTGCAAATACCCAGTTCACCTATGCATCTACCGACGCGTCCAGCCAGGTATTTGAAGAATCAGTAGGTACATACCACGCAGTATGCACAACTCGCATACAGTGATGTATACTAGGAGTACCAACCTTGGGCAGGTCCCCCGTTACTTCCTCCTACCTGCTTCAGGGAGGAGGCAACTACAACTAGAACTCGAATTTGTGTGTAGCATATGATGATGTCACTGTATCGCTTCTGCGGGAGGACGTATATAGGTATATATACATGCATATAGGAGGTATATATATGTGCATATAGGAGGTAGGTATTGGATTCATGTCTTAGGTACTTACACGTAGGCACCTGCCCGCCTATCGAGGGTACCTCCCACCACATTACACTTAGGTATCTGCCCGGGTACAAAAGGTATGCGGCAAGGATAAAGATAACCCCCTGCTACATGTGTCTAAGATAGGTACTTAGGTAGGTACTGTGTACAGGTGTTCCCGCCCGCTTAAATTAGGTAGGTACCTGCAGTACGTGCCTGACTGTATTTCCAGACAACGCGTCGCCCATGGTGAAGGTGAATCCAACATTTTCATACAACATCCACCTGCCTCCTCGACCTGCTGTATACCTTATATCACCACCAACCAGCTGAGACTGAACCCCCTCGTCCTAGCATTCCTTGTCGCCATCAATCGGAACGACATCGAGATCTGTCAGTTTTCAGTCGTCTCCCTCGTACCAGCTACACGATGCCATAACCTGAGCAAGAACGGCATCCTTCGATCCCGAGGCCTTGAGCAGATCCCACAATGGCCTTAATAATCAAATTCCTCACCAGTATCCGCGGATTTCTCAAGGCTCTCGACGGCCAGTCCCTGTGCGATTGGCTCAAGGTCGAGCCTCCGGTGCCCCAAGAGTACCACAAGCTCGCTATTGAGCTCAGAGATGGCTATCAGAATGCGAGTGCGATCGAGAGGCTCGTCGAGTCATGTCTGCCGGAGGAGGAGGAGCTCCCGGAAGGCCAGGGGACAGCCTGGCCAGGTTTCAACGCCTTCATGAAGGACTACCTCGAGTACTGGAGGGTCGTGGATTTCGAAGATTTCCTCGGCGCACATCAACTGCTTACTGCGCTGACCAAGTATGCCGCGGCGGTCGACTCTCTACTCCTCCGCCCCGCTCTCGACTAACACGGAGACCAGTTCCTGCACGACGGCGCTTAATAACCCAACCTATGGAACGGTCATGCTGCAGACGAGCATATCGCTCTGTTCTTCCCTCTCAAAGCTGTCGATGACGCTGAACAGGCGGCCCGACCTTACCAAGAACCTAGCTACTCTGCATACCGGGGAAGAGGACCAAAAGTCCATCGTCGAGGTGACGGCCGAAGTCATACAGAAGTTCTTCACCACCTGCCTCACCGACCGGTCGAGCTCGGCCCTCTCCAAACCTACGGGCAAAAAAGTCGGCGTTTACGTCTTCGCCAATGTGACGCTGAAGCTGTTATTTACGGTACGACAGAGAATGACGATGCGACCTCGCGTATACGGCGTGCTAACATTCGAGAACCCACAGTGCCGCAGATCTCATCTGGCAAAGCAGCTCTTCACGAATATGACCGCGAAGTCACCGCCGCTCTCATACTACCCGGCTTCTCAGCGAGTAACGTATTTGTACTACCTCGGCCGCTTCCACTTCATCAACAATCACTTCTCGCGAGCGGCGCAATGCCTGCAAGAGGCCTACTTGCAGACGCCGCCAAATCTCCAGAAGCATCGCCAGCTCATCCTCACGTATCTGATACCGGCAAACCTGCTCTTGGGCCGCCTACCCTCGCAAGCCCTCCTCCGACGCCCAGAGGCCCAGCCCCTGGCCCCCATATTCGAGCAGCTCGCGCAGTCGATCCGTACCGGCAACTACCTCATCTTCCACCACGCCATCGAATCAAACGAGGCGTGGCTATTTCGTAAAGGCCTGCTTCTGACCTTGACATATCGCTTACGACCGCTGCTCTGGCGCTCTCTTTCGCGTCGCACCTTCCTACTGACTTACATAGCGCCCACAGAAGCCGATTCGCGCAAAGCTGCCACGCTAGAGCTGGCACTCCTCCTGACCACGGCCACATATATCCAAAAGCGACTCGAGGGGTACCTCCCTGCGAAGCCGCCGGCGCCTAGGGGTCGCCCGCCGCACATCAACAGCATCTTCCTCAAGGCCGTATCCAACAACGCCGGCATCGGCCCGGGCCAGGGAGATTCGACGCTCGTACCACCGCCCGGCGGTCCTAGGCGTCTGCAACCGAATGAGGGTCTCATATGGGGCAACATGCCGGTGACGCTCGATCACATCGAATCCATGGTTGCATCGCTCGTCGCGCAGGGCCTACTCCACGGGTACATAGCACACTCCCAGGGCCGCTTCGCGATAATGGGCACGAAGCAAAAGGGCAGCGCCGTGGCCGCCGGATGGCCACCCGTGAGCGAGGTGCTGACGGCTATCACGCCCGACGGTGGCGACCAGGAGGTCCCCGGATGGGTGAAGGGCTAGCGGAGGATAGATCGCTAGAGATAGAGGAGAGTACAGACGGATATATAAACGCGTCGCTCTCGAGAATTAGCGACGGCTTGCACGAGGAGGGAGGGGACGAGGGGGCGAAGCTTAGCATGCATAAGACGCACTGGTTGGATGAATATAGGTACGAGTTACGAGACGAGACGTACGATATCAACGTATTGTATAACGAATCCACGAATAGAAATGATACCCCAAGCCCTCTGCACACATCCTCCTCACAAGTTTCCCTCTTGGATTGATAATGCACACTTGCCGACATTATTGGAGCCATTCACCGACACTGACAGGGTCAACGACTAGAGCTGATTCTACTCTTTCCCTTCTTACCCCAGGGTTATCTAGGGGAGTAGGTATCCGAGGCAATGACCGTCGTATCGTTACCTGCGCTGTACAGAAGAGATGAGCCTACGTAAAGACTACTACTTACCTACTTGCTACTAGGTAGTATCCGTCGCCGGCACGTATATTACCAGGAAAGGGGGCGGTGGACAAGTGTGTCAAGAAGAAGAAAAGAGGCAATGCATACGTCTGCGAGTTGTTTAATCAAACGAGTGAACGAATGGTATATTGTAGGGTAGCCGAGTAACCGGCCGCCCTGACTGACTAGGTTTAAGGATTAAGAAGGGTACAGTAAAATGTTGCGCGGCGGTTGTTGTTGACAACTGCTGCGTATCGTGAAGTTCGTAGCGAGAGAGGGAGAGAGAGAGAGAGAGAGAGTGTGTGTGTGTGTGTGTGTGCGTGTGCGTATGTGAGAGAACCCGAAAAAAAAAAAAGTATATGAACCAAAACGCTTCGAAAACTCCGGACCGAAATGCTAAGCAATCATACCCGTAACCTCGTCTGCGTCGGGTTGCCCCGACCGTCATGCTGACCCAGTCTATGCCTCCATCTAATATTCTAGAGCGCCCGAGGACGATTAATACCTATGCCGGTTTGCGCTTCGCGGCGGGGGTGTTGTTGGTCGCAGGCCGGGCGGGCGGCGCTGACACCTAGCGCTTGGCGATGCCGCACTTCTGGAGGCACTGCTCGACGCCGAGGGCGACGCTGGGGCTGATGGCGCCGCGGAACCTTTCGATGTCGGCGCCGTCGATGTGGTTGCCGGCGGCGGCGCGGACGGTGTCGTCGCGCAGCGCGAGGTAGGCCTGGGCGATGGTGTTGGCGCCGGGGTCCTCGCTCGACAGCGGCGCCACGAACACCGCGTCCTCGCACGTCGGGTTGTACTGCGAGTGCAGCGCGCCCGGGTAGTACGGCGTGGCCTGGAGCTCGCGCACCGTGTTGAGCACGTTGCGCGGCCGCGCGGGTGCGTCCCCAGCCGCCGCGGCCACCACGCCGTTCTCCACCACCATCTCCGACACCACCTCGCCGCGCACCACGATCAGCAGCTCCGTCGCCCGGTTGTGCACGTGCGGCGTGTTGAAGCCGCACGGCCCCAGGAACCCGACGGCCGCGCTGATGCCGGTCCCGGTCAGCGCCGGGAACGCCTTGCGGTTCGCCAGCACGATCTCGCCGCCCTTGCCCGGGCCGAACTTGCGCGCCTGGTTGAAGTCGAAGACGAAGTCGGCGTCGTCGGCGAGCACGTTGTTGAGCGCGTCGGCGCGCGTGTCGGCGAGCAGGATCTGCTGCACCTTGCTGAGGCCCGAGGGGGGGGTGGCGGCGGCGGGGGTCTTGGCCGGGGCGGTAGTAGCGGTAGTGGCGGTAGCGGTGGTTGACGATACGGGGGCGGCGGTGGCGGCGGCCTTGGTGGCGGAGGCGGTCTCGGTGTGGGGGCCGACGCTGGACCAGGGCGCGGGGGCCGCCGAGGCGACGGAGCAGAATGCCAGGATAGCGGCGACGGTGCTGGCCTTGGCGAACATTTTCACGGGGTGGACTGGTGGGTGGACGAGATAATTGGCGGGATTGCGTAGAGGGAGATTGAGCGGTCCGAGAGAAGAGCTGTCGGGAGAGGAAGAACCAGAAGAACCAGAACAAGAGAGTCGGAAATGGAAATGGAAAGAGAAAAGAGAAAAGAGGAAAAAAGTAAAAGTAGGAAAGTTGTTGATGGTGATGGCGATGAAGGCGAGGGTGGTAGCAGAAGGGAGATAAAAAAGTAGGGACGTCGCCGGAAGGGCTCCGGCCCTTTATACATATCGTCTCCGTCAGGACGATATCGACAGCGACGGCGTAACGCGGTGCGGGCAGGCCAATCGCGAAGGGTTCTTCCCCCTCCCCCCGCCCGCTCGCCAGGTCAGCCGCTGGGCTGAAGAACGACGTTGCTGACGACGGCCAACTAGCTTACCCACATAATGGGGTTCGGGAAGCTGTTGGTTCCGGGGGGCTGGGGCTGAGCCAGCCTTGGCCGGGTTGCCGAGCTGCCGGGCTCGACGGGCGCGAGGGCAAATGGCTGACGGCGGGAGAGGGCGCGCGCGATTGGCTGCGGATCGCCGCGCGTGGTCGACCCAGCGTGGCTGGGACGGACACGTCGGGCTGGGGGACCAAAATATCGACGACGGGGATTGGGCCGGGGGCGCGCGCGGAAGGGCTGAGAGGGACAGGACAGGCTGCCGGATAAAGACGACCAGGCCAATCGCCGACGGGGAGACGGGACGGCTGGCGCAGGGCGACGTGGGGAGGATCATCTGGGCTGGGGCGCATCACGGCGTCGATTGGTGCTCTCGTAGGTGAGTTGGTTTTATTCACGGCTGGTGATCTATGCCTGCTTTAGGCGGTTACCTCTCTATAGGTGTGTAGAAGTAGATATCTACCTACCTAGGTACCTATAGTATTGCCTGTGCAGGGCTGGCGACGATAACAAGGGAGAAGAGGGCAGAGGCTAGAAATTCGTTTGATTTGAAATGACACCAGCAGCAACAACAACAACATGGCACCTTTACCGTGCAGCAAGATTTCCCGGAGACAGCGCCAGAAGGTCATAAACTCCCACCTCCCCCCCGCCACGTAGCCGATTCTAGGACTTGGTCACTTGTCCTGCTATCCCCTTACCTATCCGTAGGTATCTCTTGGTATGGATTTCGACGCTGTTGGGCTCCTCCGGCAGGTTGGCACTATGCAGTTGGTTGGTCGGCTGGTTGGTCGAGCAGTGTAGTTGGTCAGTTGGTCAGTGGATGATCACCAGGTCTTAGGTAGGTTAGGGACCTAGACTCGCTGGCGGACTGGTTGGAGAAGTGCGAGAGATCAATAGCTGCAAGTGCCTAAAGGAGGTAGGCACCTAACCTAACCGCAAGCATGGATAAAATACCCTGTGAGCCAGGACTTACTTGGACTGCCTACCTATCGTACAAGTGCACTAGTTAGTTGTAGTCGACGATGTTATGCCCGAGCGCAAAACACTCCGTGCGGTAGAATCACTTGTTGGGTGGTTTATTGCAATACTTGGCTGCGAAGCGAGCAGAGCAGCGCAGCGGTGCTCGCTTACCCGGGTTACATAGGTATATCGGTATATGCCTACCTAGCGTTTGTTAGGTAGTCAAGGTATTCGAGAGAGAGAGCAAAGAGAGAGAGACAGATAGGCTGACAGAGAGAGAAAGAGAGCGAAGAGGGAGATTGTGTGGGGAGAGAAGAGATCTTCGTACTGGCATGCTGACGACTTACACGCTCGCCTCGGCGTCCTATTGGCTTACATTGCGACCGTTGGGTCGGGAGCGCGAACATCCGGAGGACCGCGCAACGGGGCGGGGAGAAGAAGCAGAGGCCAACCACGGAGGATTAGGGATTCTACAAACAACACCGTCGGCTCAGCTGTGTGTAGCGTTGCGTGCCACGTTGGCGTGTAAGACGCGTGCGGGGATTCTGCCGAAGGAAGCGTCTGCGAGAACCCCGATAGGCACTTTCGGAACGGGACTCGGACACACGTAGGTATGCCTGCCTGGATCACAGTTCGTAGTAGCTAAATATAACTACCTAGGAAATCCCCGTGTGGAAATATACGCCTACACGGGGTAGGTAGTTAGGTTTACTGCCGTGGCGCGGAGAGGGAGAGCGGGGGAGCTTCACAGCAATTCCAAGACCGTCGGCGCCATTCTCAAGAGTAGAACCGCAGCTCTGGTGATAATAACCCCTCATCGGCCGACATGACAAGCCGCCTGAGAGAGGCTTGTGCGTGACAGGACGGGTACACGTCAAGGGTCGACCGGTTAAACGCCGCTCCCTGTCCGAGGCTGTCCTGCCAAGCTGAGAAGATGGCGCGTGCTGCTCGCGTCGAGCAGGGCAGTCCGCGACGACGGTTCTTCTTCTGCTGTCGCGCGGATGCGTGTCCCGCAACACCCCAGCGGCTATTCTGGACTTGCCGTCGCGATGGGGACACGGCTCGGTGCGTCTTGTCATCGTGTCGTTAGTTAGGAATCGCCAGGCACAAACACACTTCCAAGTTTTTCTATGATTAATTAGTTTCCTCCCCTCCCCCTTTCCCCAATCGGCAAGTGAGCTAGCCCATTCATTTCCTATCCCCCATCCCTCCAAAGTCACGGCAGATGTGACGATAGATGCAGCAAGTTGGCAGAAGGCATGCAGAGACGCATGTGCGGGTTGGTCATTGGACTCTGTTCGGACCCAATTTGCGGTGGCGGCACCCAAAGGGGATTGCAGCGTCGCAATTTAATATGATCTGGCTCTGGGGGATACCCTCCTCCCGCCTGGGCAGACGGCCGCGGTGCTGGATTCGGACGCCCGGGGGTAGCAGGGTTCGGTTCGGCTCGGCTCTGCTCTTTGGTGGAATACGCCCAACGGCAATTCCTCCCTGCCTGCGTACTCATACGTGGTACGTGGACGTGCATTTCAAGGAACACGTAGGTGGATAACAGACCCCTTCCCCTTACCCAGGTGGGCGCAAAGTCTGAGGAGGACGGGCCGGATGGCAGAGGGGAGTGTATATACCTACCTACATGGGTATATATATTTCGTGACCTGGCTGCCAGTGACGGGGAGATGATTGCGGTACGTTGGGCATAATATCCTTTATTAAACGAGCAAGTAAATAAGCCACTGACACGAACAGATAGTAGTAGCATGGGACGATGCCAGTCATCATCGTCGTCCTCGTCGTCGCGACCGCTGTAGGGAGGAGTGGATCGCGGAATTTATTGATGGTGGGTTTCATCGCGGGCTGGGCCAACTTCTGGTTCCTGCATATCCGACCGGGACCGGGACTCCTCCGACGTCTGTGGGTATGCACGTATGCGGGCCTGTGCTAGAGGCGGATATCTCCTCAGGTTAGGTCGTATGCCAATGCTGGATGTAGGCGTGTAGCCGTGCATACACACAGGTGCACATCCCTGGTATCAGGTGTGGTAGATGTAGGCAGGTAGGTATTGGGGATTAGACGTGCGTGAGCTTGTGAAGCTATTTCGCAAGTTACCTACCTATCTAGGCACTTGCGCCTATCGGGTGGTTAGGCCGGGAGGTGTGACCAAAAAGAGAGAATGGCCGCACTACTGGATTTTAATTTAAGAGAAATAAAGTGAAGAGGACCTAGAGTAGGGAGCAAAAGGGAGAAGCAGTGGGAATATTAGCATATGATATACCTTCTTATATAGCTTATAGGAGCTGAGGAGAGAAAGAGTGAAAATGTATCAGAAACAGAAAAGAAAGCCAAAAAGAGAGGAAAAAAGGAAAAAAAGGGGAAATTTGCAGTCGATCAATCCGGTAGTTGCGCTCTCGCGCTTGACCGATCCTAGCGGGAAAGAGGAACTGTTCCTGCTTTAGCTCATTTCGCCCAAGTCCGCTCATTGGCCCGCCTCTTGCCATTTCTCCAGAACGCTTCCAATAAGGTCTGGACCCGACAGCCAATGGCGACGGCGATCGATCGCGCTAACCTCAGAAGGGTACCTGGCGCTAGCACCGGTTACGTTAGCCGGGTAGGGGTCTGCCTTTCTAACCTGCACACATGTACACATATATGTACATGAATACCTGCACATACCTACACATACCTATCAGGTACCTGGCCTTAACACATTACACATGCCTGAATCCCTCATATGAGCCCGCTTGAAACAGGTACTGTGTTAGTCAATCTACATTCTACAATACATCATGCCGACGCTATTATGTACATAGCCATGCAATGCACCTACCTGGCATCATTGGACGGCCCCATGGCGCCGTGTCTCGCGTCCCACCGTCTCCTCGTCGTTGTCGTCCTCCTCCTGGCGAAACCCCGGGTCCCTCTCACTCTCTCTCGCACACCCCCCCTTCTCCTGGGCTCACTGCCTTTTCTCTACCTCCCACCCCCCGTCCCGTCAGCGCGCGCGCCGTCTATATCCCTCCTTTCTTTCTAATCGCTCCTCTCCTTCCCGACACTCGTTTTGTCTTGCTTGCTGCCAGTCGCTCGTTATCCTGGAGACTTCTCTCCGTGCCGCTCTTTTAACCGCAAGCAATATCTACACTCCTTTGGGCCAAACCAGAAAAAAAGAAAGAGCCTCTCCCACTGCCCTCTAGAGCCAAGCCCGTCTCTCCACCGCATCCCGAAATCGATCGTTGTCTGTAGTGTTGATCTTGCCCTTGATCACTCAATTTCCTCTACGCAAGGCGCGCGCACACCTCTCCCCCTTACCCCCCTAGTTAGCGCCCTCTCTGTTGGGTGCCAACACTCGTTTGCCACGAAATCCCATCTCTGAGACCGATCATGAAGATCACGACGATAGAGGCCGCCTTCGGGTCGGCGATCCTCCTCTTGTCCCTGGAATCATGCGCCGCCACGGTCCAGCACCGGCATCACCATATCCACCCCAAGAGGATTGGACACGGTCACGGCCACAACCATATCCACAGCGACGTCAAGCCCAGCCCCAATCCGAAATATAGCACTCGGGATGCCACGCTGGTGGCCCGCAACGGTAAGAAGGCGTGTAAATTCCCGACCGACAAGGGCCTGGTGTCCATCACCCCCGAAGCCAAGAATGCCGGCTGGGCTATGGCTCCCGATCAGGAGTGCGTGTCTGGCACCTGGTGTCCCATCGCCTGCCCCTCCGGCCAAGTCTCGACCCAATGGAAGCCTGGGACGGGTTACAGGTTTCCTGAGTCGACTGTAAGTGCTCTCGGAGGCCCACCTCCACCAGAAACCGATTCGATGTTCTAGCCCGGCTAACTCGACTACAGTACGGTGGCATATACTGCAACGACGATGGTGAAATCGAGGTTCCTTTCGAGGACAAGCCCTGGTGCGTTGACGGTACCGGCACGGTAGAAGCCGTCAATAAAGCCGGAAAGATCGTCTCTTTCTGTCAGACCTCCCTGCCGGGCTACGAGGACATGATCATTCCCACCGATGTCGTCAGCACCGCGACTCTTGCCGTTCCCGACATATCTTATTGGGACCGCACCGCAGCTCAGTAAGCGTTGGGTTATTCTCGGCTGGGTCCGCCGTCCTTTGCTAACCGTCGCATTAGCTTTTACGTCAACGCCCCTGGAGTGTCTGCGAGTGAAGGCTGCCACTGGGGCGACGAGTCGAAACCTGTCGGCAATTGGTCCCCGTATGTGGCCGGAGCGAACACTATCGGCGATGGCAGCACCTTTGTCAAGTTGGGAATAAACCCCGTATGGGAAGCGTCTGGGCTTTACGCCACCAAGCCGAGCTTTGGCCTCAAAATCGAGTGCCCCGAAGGCGGTTGCAATGGTCTTCCGTGCGAGTGTGACGGGTCTGGCGTCACGAGCAACAACAAGGATGCGGGCGCTGGCGGCTCAGAATTCTGCGTCGTTACGGTCCCGAAGGGATCCAAGGCCAACATCGTCGTTTTCAACCTCGACGGCTCCGGCGCAGACAGTCCGAAATCGCGATCCGAGCCCGAGTCCTCCACCAGCCAGCTCCCTCCCACGAGCAGCAGCACCCCCACGACGACCTCTGTGCCGCCGACGACCTCGACATCCTCGGCGGCCCCTTCGACGTCGACGTCGACGTCGACTTCGACTTCGTCTGCCGAGTCGACGACCAGCTCGTCGCAGAGCAGGTCTAGCTCCGTCGTATCGAGCTCCAGCTTCTCCGCCCCTACCAGTACCGCCACGTTCGGTGGTGTTTTCCAGGAGCCCCTGACGTCTTCCTCGAGCTCCTCTCCCGACGAACCCACCTCGACCGAGTCCCCCGCATCCTCCACGAGCGAGGCAGAGTCCGCTGCCACCGAGTCAAATAAGAACGAGGGCGCAGGCCAGCGGCGAGGCGGCGCGGCCGTCGCCGGCCTCATCGTCGCCTTCGTCGCCGCGAGTTACCTGCTCTAAGGCCGCTCGTTGTACCCGGTAAATCTTCCCCTTCGATTGCACATCTTCGAGTACGATTCTTGCGTAGCTGAAAGGCACGGCTGTGTCTCGCGCGCGCAATACTACCATGGATTCCGCTGCCGCAGCGTATGCGTGGTTGTTCTTATTACTATTACCCTCTTTTCGGCAACACGATTACGCACCACTACCTGAGGGGGGCGCCTCTCTCACTTCACGTCTTGCGCCGCAGAGCTGGTCTTTTTCCTTCACTTTTTGCACATATAACGAACGTACCCAAAATTCTATTCAGTAGTGTCTATTGTCTATTTTTCCCCCCAATCCCCACCCACCCCCTTTTGCTTCCTCTTATCCATATGAGCCCCGGGATTTCCGATTCTCTGTGGCTTGCTTCTTCGCTCTTTTCTCGGATGTATCCCTTTCGTCTGCCGGCCGGCCTCGAGCCCGTAGGCAGACGTCACATTGCTTCTTTTTTCCGCTTCTCACTATACCCCCCGTTAGCGTCGACAAGCGGCTTGGTGCTTTTTACTGATTTTTTTTTTCGTGTCGTTATTTTTGTGGCGGGGTTTTACCTTTTCTCTCTCTCTCTGTTCTGTCCTTTTCGGAAACAAGACAACAAGCAAAGAAAGGGAAAGGAGGGGAGAAGCGGTGGAAAAGGGGGAGGGTCGAGGGGAGGAGCTTGTCGACGAAGGGGCAGAAAAAAAGGGTGTGGTGGCCCGGTGATGCAACGATCAAGACGAGACGCGAATCGGATTTTGCTCTTTTTAGCTCATGAATAGTTATTCTCTCTTTTTTCTATCTTTCACCTGGTTGCTGGGATCCCCATGTTTCTCTCTTCCCTCTCCAGGTAGCTACAGCCGGCGGGCGGGAAGAGCAGGAGAGAATTCTTGGTTCTTTTCGCCTGGAGGAGCTGGCGGACACGGGCGTGGACTTCGCGAGGGGAGGGGGAGCGGGGAGGGCAAGAGAAGCGAGAGAGAGGGCTTGGAGTTGAAGATATATATATGCACGTATATATGCACATATACACACAATATATACCAACGATATATGAGGATGCCTTGCGTCCCCAGACTGAACATAGTCAGGGCCTAGAACTGAACCAACCACACTTTAGTACTCGTTATCAGTGTTTCTGCAGATGGGTAACCTGTATACGCATTCCTTATCGCCGTCCGAGTATCCACCCTAGATTCACACCGTAAAAGCCAACCTAGAACGACGGCAGACTCAAGGATTGACCAACAAGGCCAGGCCACATTTCATTCCCTATCTATGCACCTGTCGTGCCTGTTCTACCCCCCAACCGCCACCGACCGATGCACCAGGACGCGCAGGTGGGCCGCGTCCTCGGTGCGGACCGTCATGCGGCCGGCGGGGGGCAGCTCGACGATGGAGCCGTCGACGCAGACCTTGCGCCAGCGGGGGTCGCGCTCGCGGGTGGTGACGCGGAGCTCGCGCGCCTCGTCGTACGCGACGCGCCGCTCGGTGCCGTCGGCGGCGCGCCAGCGCATGCCGACGTGCGCGCCGCCGTCGTACGCGCGCCGCATCACCTCCATGATCTGGGCCCCGTCCGCCGCCCCGAAGCGCACCACCCGCAGCTTCCCGTCCAGCGGCGCGCTCGCCGGCGAGATGGTGAAGGTCGCCTCCAGGTTCGACACCATGGCCGCGAGCACGTACGCGTGCCGGTCCCCGCCGCCGCCGCCGCCGTCGCCGAGCGTCCGCGTCTCGGCACCGTCCCGCCCCGTGAGCTCGACCACCGCCTCGTACGCGTGGCTCTCCCCCAGCAGCTGCTGCGCCACCATGCCGAACCGCTTGGCCCCGTGCTTGCGGTACTCGGGCGTGTCGCTCTCCCAGACCAGCTGGCTGTGGAAGCCGTAGCTGGCGACGATGACGCCGCGCAGAGACGACACGGCGTCGCCGCGGCCCTCGGGCGCTGCGTCTGGGCTGGAGCTCTGCTCGTCGGGGCTCGTGTACGTGACGAGACGAGAGCCCGCGGAAAACTCGGCTATGAAGGACGGCAGCGGTGCGGCTTTGCCGGTAAACAGAGAGCGCAAGCCCTGGACCAGGCCAGAGGGCTTCGGGCCCGTCGTGCGAACGAACTTATGCACAGAGTGGAAAAGCGCATTTCCCGTACCCAAGGGTAGCACCGCAACCAGGGGCAAATGAGGTGGCGCGGCCGGACCCTCGGTCGCCGCCTTGCCGTTAAGTATCTCAATAATCCCGCCATCGCCACTGAGGAGCAGGATAGTCTGCTGCGGCGCCGTGGCTTCGCTATCATCCTTGTCGGCGCGGTGAATGTCGCGTGCGAAATCGCGCAGGCTGTGAGCATTCCGGGTGATAACTAGGTTATAAGTGCCTGGCTTCGTCGGGGTTCGGGATCGTTCCTCTAAATCGGTGGCGGGCTCTGAAGCAGAGACACCCCAGCTCTGCAGGACGGGTTGGAGAACAGAGTTGTAAAAGTCCAAGGCGAGCCCCGTGCCGGAGTGTGTCGACACGACAACGTGAACGTGGCGCAACGGACCGCTCTGCAAGTGCTCGGGAACCTCCTCGACCAAGAACTCGTCGAGCCAGGGCTGGGGGACCTCGGCCGTCTGAGCGCGTAATAACTGGGATTTCTGTCCGTCCACCTCGTCGCGCTCTCGTAGACTGAATACGTTGTAGGTTTTGGATCCGTTGCCTGGCTGTGGTTGTCGTGAGATGAAGATCACCTCTTCGGGTGGAACGGAGCTGAAGGGGATATCCATATCGTCGCTTACGAGGGGTGGCCGATATTAGCGCACCTCTCTCGTCCGGGCCGGGTTTCGAGACCAAAAGTCCGAGGATTGCCTGCGAGGAGGATAATTTGGACAGGCAGGTCGGTAAGAAACAGAGAACAGGAAGGATAAATAAGGGAGATAAGAAAATACTCGCTTGACACGGCCTGTCAGCTACGAAGGGACCTGTCGCCTAGGACTACCCAATTCACTGTTGTGAGACAAAGGCTGGCTGAGTAACGAGGAGCGGGTCGCGGGATTGCGTCACCTCTTAGCGCTGCCTCCGACACGTCGATAGCCTCGTGCAATTGCGCCGCGCAGCGCCCGTCTTGCACATCGACACCTACGATTCCGGAATAGGGAAATACGAGGCAGAACGTAGGGGGGGGGAGAGGTACCTAAGGCGTAATCGGAGTAGCGGGGTGGGCAGGGATATATATGCATGATGTAGGTATACGCATAGGTACCGTCGAGCTCGTCAGCGCCCTTCACCAGGGGGAGAGAAGGAAAAGAAACGCAATCTCATAGCACACTCGTGGCGAACACGAAAGGAGGGTATCGTTTGATCGTCCGGAGAGAAAATGTAGAGCAAGAGAGGGAGGGAACCCTCTGAACACGGCATTCGTGCGTGAGCTTCGTCCTGCCCTCTGAAAACCTGTCAACCGCCACGCATCAATCAACTTGCCTTCGCCCTGCTCAACGGGCCCCAATTCTCTCTAGGATTCAGCTGGTATCTGACGAGGCCCTTCTTCGACACGTCTCGTCCCAGCGCCTGATCGAAAACCACTTCGGTCTTGCTGATCGCGTCGTCTTCGCTATCCTGGGGCGCCCCGTCTTTCTTGCCTAACCGGAGCAGAGTATACGCCGGACTATACTCTGTAATTTTCTCCGTCTTCACCGGCGACTTCTGGCGGACCCATTCTCGCATGATGTGCCATATAACCGACCAGGGCGCGTCCGTCTTCAGACTCCCGGGCTTGCAGTGGCTGCGCGTCACCTGGTAGCCCAGATGTCGCAGGGCCCCCCTAAAGCTGTCTTCGTCGGGCGAGTTGCAGTGCACCACGCCCGCAAGGATGGTCGTGTGAAAGTAGAACGGGTACGGCTCTACTGCCGCGAGCACATCCTCCTTGCCACTCTGTTGATCGTCTTTCGGGGGCGTGAGATGTTCTTCCAGAGCTGTCTGCAGCATCCCCTCTATCCGCGGTTTCGTGCCGTAGACGTCGTCGGGTACGTTGGGCAGATCATCCAAGATCTTGGTGATAAAGGTTGGGGAATGTAGCGGGCCGCCGTACATCGGGCCGGCTAGGTGCATCTTCGAGCCGCATTCCTTGCATTGGCGGTCGGCAGTTGGCGCGAGGGCAAGCCCGTGCTTGTAAAACACGCCCGTGCCGGACTTGTTCGTCATCTTCCTGTTGCGAACCAACACTTGCGTCTCCCACGCCCCGCAGCCGTGGTCGCAATTATACACCATCATCGTCTTCCCTCCCAGGAACTTGACCTGGGCGGGGGATTTCCGGACTTTGACGAAGATCCGAGCATAGTAGTCGATAGACAGGCTCAGGAGAGGCTCTATGGCCAACCCGTACCTTGCTGCCGTAGTGGCCAGGCCGTGGAGTATAAGGCGCAGTCCAGCTTCGTGAGAAGAATACCCCTTCATGGGAACGCCGCCGTACAGAGCGAAGGTCTTTTCTGGGTATCCATTGGATGCGAAGACTCCCGAGTCCGTGCAAGTGATACAGAGCAAACCGCCGTCGTCTCGCACGGCGTTGAGCGCTGCGTCGAAGAACGGTGCAGCGGTTCCGTAGGGATCCAGGTCGATCACGTCATATTTCTTGCTCTGTTTTGGGCGGCCCCTTCTGTGGTGGTGCGCGTTTTTGGCCTGGTCGTCCGGGGCTTCTTCAGCGAGTAAGGCGTACATGTGTGCGCGAGCATCGCCTGAGGTGGCAGTCACCGTAGACTCGACGCCGTTATGCTCTGCGTTGCGCTTGATAGCTTCCACGGCCGAGGGGCTGAGGTCGTTTGCGGTGACGGATGTGACGAATGGCAGCTCCCGCGCGTAACGGAGGGCCCGCAACCCCGTAGCCGACAAGGCGTCGAGAATGGTGAATCTGGGGGTATGTGGTTGATGGTCTCGCTTCGTTTCGCTCGACTCGGGCTCTTGGTCTTTAGTCGACGGTGGAGCCTCGGCGGGTTGATTGGTACCGTTGCTGGGGCTAGTTGAGGGTTCTTGGCCGTTATCGGCATCGCGAATATGCTCCGTGGTTAGGGCTGCGTCCGCTTCTCCAGACACGGCACCGTCAGTCGTCGTAGCCTCATCGGCTGTCGGTGCTACGCCTTCAGCTACCTCCGGCGCTGTCTCTTGCTTCTTCTGATTGCCGCCGCCGCCGTTATCTGATTTATCTCGCTTCCTCTTCGCTACCCTCTCGGAATTGCCGTACCGTCTGGTGGCTAAAGTTTCCTGGCCGTAGGTTTTGATGGCGAGAATGGTCAAGTCGCGGTTGAACTGTTGTATGGGGTTATAGAAGACCTTTTGCTGTTCCTCGAGATCGGCTACACCCTTGCCTCCGGCGTCTTTTGCCGAAAAGGGAACTAATATGCAAGCCAGCCCCTCCTTGACTTCGGCGAATTCCTGTCCATCTCGCACAATTGTCTCGACCTTGGCTGTAGCAGTGGAGGCGACGTTTTGAGCTTGAGCACTCATCTTTCGCGCAGTTTGGGAAGTGCTCTTGTGAACAAGAAGTCGGCTCACATTCCTTAACAGCAGCTGGGGCGATCTACTAGGGAGATACGAGGTCATGTAGGTAACCAATCCTGGCAACCGAAGTAGCAGAGGTGTAATGAAGGAGTTCCCAACGATGTGGTAGTGAGATAAGGTGGGTAGCAGGTTAGAATTTTTCCGAGTTACTTCGTCTTTGAGAGCTTTCAAAATTCTGCCGGGCGGTCAGTTATAGCTATGACCCCTAGCTTCAGAGGCAGCAGCCACTGAGGGGCCACAATCGTAGCGCGTCAACAAGTTACCTGACCTGGAGCGGGGTGGGACTCGCTAAGTAGATATTTCTCGTTATTTGCATGTCCGTAGAGAAAAGGGCAGACGGAGTCTTCCCGAGGAAAGGGTAGATGCCGTTGGAACTTTACGTATTTCCATAGTTGTAAATGCAAGCGCCTGCTATAGGTAGATTTTAAGGGTTAAGAGAGGTACCTACATCTATGAATTACTTCCGAACAGGTACCTGCCTGGTACTTACCTTAGGAGGTACCTATACAGAGACAGCAGGCGCCTGCTCTCGACTAGAGAGACGCCTTCCTCGAGTTCTTATACCTAGGTCAGGTGGGTGGGCACCTCGATAACCCTGCTCCTTCCTTGAGACTTCTGTCTCCCAATGGAATGAAAAATGAGTAGAGGGCTCGTCTTATCTAGGGGATATTCTCCGTGCCCCATTGTTCTCTCATTGTACTCTCTCTTGACTATCCTCCACCACCAACCAGGACCGCCTCATCTAAAGCCCTCGAGATGTCGACCCTCCACCCACCCGAGGCCTCCTCGCAGACCTCTCCAAACTCCTCCTCCTCAGCCTCCCCCCCAGCTTCTTCTCAGCCTCCTCGTGATCCCCCAGGAGCTTCGCCAAAGCCAGACAACTGTCCTATCTCCCAGAACCCCGGTCGCCATTATCGTCTCCTTCCCCACGCCGAATGGGTCCAGTTCTGCCATGCTGTTGGCGTGTTCAAGGACGATGAAAGCGAGGAGGTTATTCGCCAGACCAGTGGGAGATGGCCTCCGAAAGGCTTCAGAGATGGCCTGTACAGGGACGTCCTCACCGAGAAGACCAAGTCCAGCTTCTGGTTTCGCGGTGTGAGCAGCGTCCACTGGGCCATCATACTCCTTCAGATTGTCATAAGTGCCGTCTTGACCGCGCTCGGCTCTATGCCGATCAAGAACAGGGTAGCAATCGTATGTCCCTACCTTCGCGCACACTCCAGAATGCCTGTCATCGCCGGCTGCCTATGCAACCGAGCAGTTCACGACGCTGACTCGATCTCCGGGCCAGACTGCTACCGCAGCCGTCAACACGTGCCTAGGCGGAATTCTTGCCCTGATGCACAACAGCGGCCTGCCGGATCGATATCGCTCGGATGCGAACGAATTCGACAAGGTCGAGGAACACCTCAGGTGTATCGTTGATACAGCCGTCGTGCCTGCAGACAAAGATATCAACGAAGTGATTACGGGTTGTTTCGACATGTTCCGGGACGCCATGCAGACTGTCCAGAACAACGTGCCTGCCTCGTATGTCACCGCTCCGGCGGGTGGCAACACGCCCGCCAGCCAGCCCGTAAAGAGCACGAGGTCGACGAAGTGAGGCCCGGCCAATGGAATGTGATCGCTCCATTCTACGACCAGATAACTGGACCGAGTATCCCGTATGGCGCCGTTATTGCCTAGGCGAGAGGATAGAAGCTTCGCCGTTCCTTGTGGTGTTTATAGCTCACGCATCAAGTTTCGTCGGGATCATAAAGAGGCGGGATCAGATCCTAAATCAATCATTCCTAGTCTAGGGTGAGAGAGGGGCCGAAGGTGTTGAATCCGGCGCGCGCACAGAGTCGCGCAACCACAGACTTATACCCAGTTTATATACCTACCTACAAATTGGCATTGCCAACCCCGTACACCCTAAGCTCATACCCACCTACATAACAGGGCGTTTCTGGTGTGGATGGTTTGGCCAGTACTCGCGTGTACCTGCATTGAGGCGATAGATTGTCTGCTTGAAAGGTCCCTGTGTCTCCCAGAGATGCGCCTAGAATGGGTTGTGGGGAGAACGATTTAGCCCCAACCCAGGCTAACGGAATTAACCCGATCCCCTCTCGGGGGCACGCAATAATTCTACCCCTTAAGAGCTGGAATTCAGGGGTTTGTTTACTGTACAATACGCATAAGTTTTTGATAGGTATGTATAGGGGACCGTGAGTCCCTGCAATCGATCCCTCCCCTCAATCATCTAGTAAATATCGATCCTCTCTGTCCCTTTTTTTTCTTCTGCCTCTTTGCCTCGCCCCTTGGCTCCCTCGATAGGGGCTGGGCATACAGGGCACACCGCAATATCATCTCCTAACAGGATCTCGGCCCATCCTCAACCGTCCTGCGGTAAATTTGGCCAAGTATGTAGGGAGGAACACGCTAAAAAAGAGGCCGTGTGTGCCTGGGGAAGGATTCTTCATATTATTACTGCTGTCGTCTCTTTTCTCCAGACTGCCCCTTCGTCCCTCCGACTCTCTCGCTCTCATCGCGCAAAGACCCAGCTCGCACAGCTCCTTCGGCGACACTTCGCACGCCTTGCCGGCTGAACTTGGGTGTGCCTCTGATCGCGGTCGCAGTGAATTCCCAATTGGACCCGAGGAATTAAGCCAATTAATATCCGACGTTTGATCCGACGGCTGGTCTGTTATGCGCTACGCTCCAACTGTTGGCGTGTGAAGTTTGCGGGGAGTTGGTGACACCAGATCACCGCAACGAGCGCTCAACCCCCCCCTCCTTCTCTCATGCTACTTGGCTGGCCATTTCTTCGCTGTAAAATCGCCTCACATCTGGGCTCGCCGAGACCCATTTTCTCTGTCCCTGGAGGCTCATTCCCGTTCACCAAGGGTTTTTATCGTCACCAGCACCCCTCCTTCCAGCGCCATGTTCCGCTCCATCCTCCCGTACGGGCGGCGTAGTAGGACCTTCCAAGTTCTCAGCTCGATCCTCGTCTTCTGCATCCTACTCTCGACACTTAGGTTATACCGGCGGCACGCGGAACCCCCACGGAGCATCTACGAATACACAGATGGGAAGACTAGGGGCCCGCGGTTGAACGAGACCGGGATCCAGCGCCCGCCCTCCGGCGAGACAACGTACCTGAGGTACCTGGCCCGGCAGTACGAGCTCTCGGACGAGGTCCAGTATTTCGCGCGGCGGATACGCCCGCGCGCTAACGCCCGGGGTAGAGAGAGCATAACGCAGATCGCGACGGCGAGATTCGAGCCTCGGGGGGGATTCCGGCGGATCCGGGTCGACGACGAGGGGCTCGACTTGCACGTCGCGGAGGAGGAGGAAGCGATCAGCATCCCGGTCGCCAAGCCCGCGGCGTCGGAGCACCCGGACGCTTCGCCCCTGCTGTTCGGCATCTCCACGTCGTACGACCGCCTGACTCGCGCGCGCGCGTCGCTGGTCGGCGACTGGGCGCGGTGGCTGACGGACGGCAAGGGGGGCTCGAACGGCGCGAGCCTGGTGCTGACGCTGCGGCGGGCGAGCAGCGCCGAGATCGGCCACGTCAGCAGCATGCTGCGCGACGCGGGGATCGACGCGGTCGTGCTCGCGGCCGAGGACGGCTCCCGGGACCCCGCGGCGCGGTACCTAGACCTCGTCCGCACGCTGACCGGCCGCCGGGCCGAGCTCCTGCGCGCGGAGGGCCGCGAGAAGAGCTTCCTCGCCCTCGTGGATGACGACGTGTTCTTCCCGTCCGTCGGGCGGCTCATGGCCCGGCTCCGCAGGTACGACGCCCAGAGCACGGCCTACCTCGGCCTGCCCAGCGAGCGGTCCGACTGGGTGGTCGAGCGCAATACCACGCTGACGTACGGCGGCGGGGCCGTGCTCCTGACCCCGCCGGCGGCGGAAGTCGTGTCGAGGCTGCCGTGCCTCAACGGGACCTCGCGGGGCCCCGACTCCGACCCCGGGAGCCGGACGAGCCAGTGGGACGAGATGCTGTACAACTGCGTTGTCGAGCACACCGACGAGAAGCTGCACGTAATCCCCAGCCTGTACACGCCCAGGGACGGAGACGTCGGCGACGAGGCAACGGGGACCGGGTACGGCGACGGCGCGCGGCCCCTCACGCTGCACCACTACGGGCACCGGCACCGCTTCGAGCCCGGCAAGGCGCACCTCGTGACGTCGCTGTGCGGCGAAGCCTGCTTCCTGCAGCGGTTCCTGTTCCGCGCCGACAGCTGGGTGTTCGTCAACGGGCACTCGGTGGCGCAGTACCCGGACGGCGTGGACGTCACGCAGCCGGCGCCGAGCGGCCGGCGCGACGACGAAGGCAACTACCGCACGGATAGCGGAGACGGAGAGAGGAGGAGGAACGCCGGACAGGGCGGCGGGGGCGGCAAGGAAGGACGCGCCAAGGCGCCGCGCCGGATCAGGGTCGGAGAGCGTCTCGTCGTAGACTCGGGGGGCGAGGGCGGCGAGGGCCCCAGCGTGGTCTCCTGGGCGGGCACGAGGCGCACCTGGCGCCTGCTGGACGCGCGCGCGGGGCCGAGCAGCGGCGGCGGCGGCGGCGGGGAGGTCTGGCAGGCGTATGTGCGGCGCCGCGGGCACCACCCGCTCCCGGCAGACGAGGACGGCACGGGGCACACGCAGGACGGGCCGACGGACGCGGACTCGGTGATCGTCCTGATATGGGAGCCGCCGTCGCCGCCACTGTCGTGACGGTGGGCGGTCAGATCGGCGGAGAGATACGCCGGTGTACGAGCATCTAGGTATTAGGTACCTACGGAGCTCCGGACGTAGAAAATTCGGAGGGGGGGGCAGGGGCCGGATGGGCATGGCCCGGCCTGCTGCTGCTGCTGCTGCTATGTGTGTGTATGTTATGGATCTCTATGCCTTATATACCCTTGAATCCTACTCGTGTATTTCCAATAGGGACTGCAGACAGGTACCTAGAGAGAACGAGAGACCACTAGAAGAGCTAGTGCCCCATCGCGGCCCCGTCATTCCCTCGGTCCCTTACATTTTTGCTTAGCGTCGCAGGCGACGACAGCCACCGCGAACACCGCACGGCCTCCCGGAGCCTGTGCATATCTACGTACTCCGGGTTGGTAAGCCCCGCGGCCCCGGGACGGCCCGCCCCGCCCCGCCTCGTGCCCCATTTCCTCCTCCCTCACGCAGCAGATGCCCCACCGCGCCGCTCTCGCTCCGGCGGGGACCCGCGCACGGCCTCCTCGCCCACTTTTTTTTTTCTTCTCCTTTGGTCGTTGTCGGCGCTTGGTAGGCACCTACTAGTCCGGGGGTCCAAAGAATAAAGTACGCATGCCATACCCCCCCCAACCCCTCCGCATGTCGGCGGTCGGACAGAGAGACAGAGGGACACGGTACACATGTACGCGGGTATATGGGGTAAAAAAGTGGTTTTGCCCTACTTCGGCTCGGAGTCGCCTGGCCCCTAGCGGAGGTAGGGAGGTAGGTAGGTACCTGTCCACCTAAGCTTGGCCTGAGAGGGGAGAGGGGGGGGGGCGCTGCGCTAACCCGTGCGTACATATGTACCTACGTATGTACGTACCCGCGACCCGAGGCTGTGGTTCGGGCTGTCTGGCTTAGGGGTTTAGGTAACGTAAGGGCGATAGCGATAGGAGGAGAGAATCGGGGTCCAGCAGGTACCTGCGGCACGCAAGGCACCCCTTCTCGCGCCGCGTCGCGGGCTTTTGACACGGCCTACCTACCTTAGGTACGTAGCAGACCCGGTCGATCGGGGTCGGGGAGAGGGGAGAGGGGAGAGGGAAAAAAAAAAGGACGAGACGAGATGAAACGAGACAAGAAAGCGAGGGGTTGCGAAATTGGGGCTAAACTCTCCGCCCCTCCCGCCCCTCCCCTCCGATGCCCCACCATCTCGTCCCGCTCCCCTTTACCCGCTCCGTCGGTAGATATTATCCTCCCCTACCTACGTCTACACACCCGTGTCTCTTTCCAATCGTGCCAGAAAAGAAAATACCGAGCTAGCCAGTTAATTTCTCTTTCATACTCCCCCAAGGCGAATATTCGATAAGCCCGATATTGCTATTCTAGAATCTACCCTATGTGCTGCCACAGGAGGGAAAAACCTAGATCGTATCTCCAAGGTAGGTATGTTCACAGCAGGTTCCGCCGCCACACAAAGCTACGTACATGCGTACGCCCCTATCGTCAATCCGCACCCGCGCTCGTGTATACCTATATGCGTTTATTCATAACATAACACCCTCAGCCTCGCCCTCGCCCCTCTTTTTTATGACGTGCTCTACCATGTATCCGGGCCGAAATGGCTGCCGTTCGGCACCGTATTGTACGAGCAGGCCTGCCAGTCGCACCCCTTCTTGTAGATCTCAGTCCCCCACCAGCTGAAGCCGTCCATCCACCCGGGGTAGATGAAGCCGAAGAAGACCACGACGATGCCGAACGCCAACCCCGAATCGAGCGCGGCGCTGAGGGTCATCGTGTACTTGGCCCACCACGCCTGTGCGCGGTTCTTGATCAGGTAGTTGAATACGTAGCAGACCACCGCCCAGACCGAGAAGTTGAGACCCGTCGCCGGCGGGATCCAGCTCAGCGACCCGAAGAGGACGGGCAGGTTGATCTTTCGCACGAGGCTGCTCTTCCGCTGGCGACCGTACAGCCACAGCGGGATTGGAGCAACGGCCCCTATCAGGAAGCACCATACTAGCGGTCGGTAGGTCGCGTTGGGCCCGAAGAACTCCGTCGGCCCGACGACACCCCACAGGATGGATCCGTTGAAGTGGACTCGGGCGAGCGGACAGGTGAAGCCGTTGATGGCCTCAGTCGTGCAGATCCCCGGCACGTTTACGAACATCCAATTGAGGACGAGGATTTGGGTAATGGACGAAATGACGGTTGCCACCATCTGCACCGAAAAGAGCAACCTCGGCGGGATTTTCATGTAATGTCCCAGTTTCAAGTCTGCCGCGAATTTAATACCCTGGGCGGATGAAATGTATCCGTAGGTAACGAAAACCATGTTGGCTACCGGCTTTCCGGGGAAGACGACGCCGCATATGAGTTGACAGATGAGGTAGATACTGCTGTGCTGGTTCGTCACCGCCATGACTATGCCGATGGGTATAAAAAGTACGGTGCAGATTCCGAGAGCTAGAAGTAGCCCGTACCACGGCAGGTGAACCGGGTAGCTAGTCGCCAGGAGTCAGAAGCGATGCTGGGCCTGAGAAGCGTGGTAGACTTACTATTCAACAACAAAAATACCGACCAACGTCATGGATACGAACGTAAGTAGGTACCACGTTATTGGCGCATCCTTGTATCTCCTCATGAGACGATTGTGGACATCCTCGTGACTCAAAATGTTGTCAAATGTGGAATTAGACCTCGTGAGCCTGGGATGGCCGCCACCGGGCGGGGTTGTCCCGTTGCTTTCGCCCCCGAGAGGCTGATACACCGGCCTCCCCTCGTCCTCAACCTCCTGCAGAGAGCGTTTCCATTGGACATAGATATCCTTACCATGCCAGCAGGTAGTGTGCGTGAGGAGTGACGCCAGCCCCGCGAATTGGAGTCCGTAGCTAAGTACATAGGTGATTGGTAGAAAGACGCGGCTGTACTTGGAGTATGCCTCTCTGTCGAAGACAAATTCCGACGTTAGAATTCGGCTAACGTCGTAAATTTTCCCGGTGTTGTCGAAGACGGATGCCGAGAGAATCGGCATGTAGGACGAGTAAAATAGGTTGAGGTAATACCCAATCGGCGCGATAATCCACATCACTATAACCAACCCGCCGACAACATTCATCGCGGCCCAAAAAGGCGTCAGCAGGGGCGATCCGATGTACGCGATCTGCGCCCAGTCGAACGTGAGAGGGAACAGGCCCAAGCCGGAGGCGACCCCAAACAAGTTCGCAACCACGACGTTATCGGGCGCAAACCAGGTGATCACGTTGAAATAGCTCAGCGCGGGCATCAGCAGGCCGGGGAGGAAGTAGAAGGCGAACGACGACGTCCAAACGACGAAAAAAAACTTCCACCTGCTGATCCTCCACCCGTTCGCCGGTTTGTTCTCCTCCTTATGCAAGGTGGTGAACATGGCGGCGGACATCAAGGTGCCAGGCCAGATCATGCCGGCCGGGCGCACGAGGAAGCGCCTCGTCAACCCAGCAAAAGCATAGCCCAAGATCTGGGTCGAGAGCGTGAGGAGCAGCTGGTAAACAATACTCGCGTCTTGCTTGTAGAATTGTGTTTGCTCTACGATGATATCTGTCGCGAACGCAAAACCAAAAGACACATTACTGCTCACATAGACACAACTGTGCTCCTTCTCATTCCACCGTCCCTGGGCCAGCCAGAGCCGGAGACGTCGAGAACGGCTCCTCTCTCTAAGGGGTAGCGGCGCCTGGAAATCGCCCGGTGGAGGAACCGGACTAGCTATCCGCACGCCAGCGACAAATTCTTCGGGCGGGTCGTCCGGTCGTTTGAGGAAATAGTCCCACAAGAGGCCGAGGGGGTGAACGAGGAGCAATGCTATGACGGGGGTAATGGAGACGCTAGGGTACCTTAACGAAAAGAAGAGATTGGTGGAGGAACCGAGTATAGAGAAGAGGGTAGACAATATCCACATGCGCGGGGTGTTGATGGACAAGGACGTGTTGTCGATCGGAGATACGGAGGCGCGAACTTGGGGGTAGGGAGAATTGTCGGGGGGGTCGTGATCGGCTCCTTCGTCCACGTCCTCCGAGTTGTCGCCATCGTCGACAGTTGAGCCGTCGGACTTGGCATCAGGGGTCAGGTCGCCCGCCAAAACGGGTTCGCTGTCACCGAAGCGGGCCTCGGGACCTTCGGCTATCGCGGGCCCCTCGATGTCCAGTGAGTGGCTCTTCCTCCTCCGACTCAGAGACGAGCTGCTAGTTCTGAAGGGAGCCGAATGGGCGGCATCGAAGGACTGGAGCAGCCCGTCGCGGTCAGGCTCGGCGGCAGCCTGGTTAGGGCTCGACGTGGCTTCGGAATCGCCGTCGCTAGACGAGTCCTTGCTCTCGGGCTGGATAGGGGCGGCGCCGTAGGACCCGGTGCCAAAGCCGGGCGAGGAGCGGAGTAGGAGGGGCGCGTTCGACATGATCCTCGATGCTCGACAGTCGGCGCCAGGGTCGGGATTCGGGTCGGAGTCGAGGTCGGTGTGGTGGGAGTCATGGCTCGTGCCGAGCGGAGAGGGAGAAGGGGTTTCAGCAGGGCGAGCAGCGGAGCCCGGCAGGGCAGCAATATTTGTAGGGTGGGAAGGGGAGGAGGTTGGCAGCGTGGGGTCCAGGTGGCCGTCTCGCTCGCCTGGGTGTGCGGGTAGGGCGGAGCTGGTGCCGCGTTCAGCGCCAGAGAGGGCGGAGGAGAGTGAGACAGTGGCAGCGGGTGTGGTGCTGGTGTTGATGGGTCGCAGGGGGAAGGACTGCGACTGGCCACGACGGAGATCATGGGGATCGCCATCCCTGCCTCCTGAGGAAGGCGCTGTCATTTTAGTCTGCAGAGAGAAGTGCTACGTACCTACTTGCTTCCTGTGTGGATTGGTCCGCAAGCAGGCAAGGCAGGCACGTACGGTTGGGCCAGGCAGGTAGGTATTATCGGGAGGTAGGCACGTTGTCATCCCATCCCACGCGGGAAAGAGCACCTGGTTCAGGTTTGGCATGAGAAACCACAGCTGGGGGATGTCATGGGTCCCGTCCGTGTTGCGCCTGCTCGGCGGGAGGGTCTGGCCGGGGATAAAAAGGCCCTCGCTAACTAACCCAGGTAAGTAGGTAGGTACGTCAGGTGTCTGGGGGGTGTCGGGGAGGAGCGCGCACCGTCACACAGCAGACGACAATCAGTGGCATTTCGGCTTAGCGTCCAGTTACGTACCGCCTGCATTAGGCACATATGCACGGACGTATGCACGAAGCAGAGTCGGGAAATGCGCGTGTGGGTACCTGGGTACATCCAGTACCTCCGTACTCTAGGCAACCAGGCGCTTATATTGGATTTCGTCCAGCAGAAGCTGAAAGAAAGCGTGCGCGGACAAGGAAACGAGGTGGTGTGTGGTGTGGAGGCGAGGGTGAGTGGGAAAACGTACCTAAGAGGTACCTCTGACGTATAGAGGTGCGCAATATCCCCGGTTACGACACCCAGTCGGTACTTGCGCGGATTCCTTGAGGGTGGGCAGGAGAAGGGGGGGATGGATGGGATGGATAAACCCGTCAGCATCATGTTCGTATATGTGGTATGTCTTTACCTGCCCAAGTCCTACGCGGTCGACCTAGGTATATGTAGGTAATGCCCTCACCTACTACGTACACCCATTACCTACCTATACCTACCATGGACGCAACCGGACGTCGATAGATGCCGTAGGCAAATTTGCAACGATGTATCTGTTAACTGTCCGTTGAGAGCTGACGTCGGCCCCTGCTCGCCGTATGTGGTGACATATACCTAGGCATCGTGTCAAATACGAGGTAGCCGGCGGTATTACATCGACACGAAATTGCACGACGCTTGTCTGACCCGCGTGGACGGGTCCTGCCCTGGGTCGGTCGCCTCATTGACAGACCGCAGATTCGGGTCCCCCGGCCTATTGTCGACGGGATGTCCGATGGGGTCCCTCATCCGCGCATTGCTACCAAGTACACGGCAAACATACCTACCTCCTAACCCTCCTGCGGCAACGGACGGAGGTGCTACATGAGCCATGAGGTCAGCGTGTGTGGTGTAGTGTATTGGCATCGAGTGCTACGCGCGCTCTCCCTTCCCCTCGCCATCTTTTTGACCGATCACTTTGTGGGCTGCAGGCATCCCAACAGTTCTAGTACTACGTAGTAGCAGAGCTACCTAACATAGCAGTAGGCCGGGTTACCTACGTTAGATGGGTGTAAGCGTTCGTGGATCCGAGGAACGGAGCCGGGCGTGGATTTCCAGGGATTTGTCGGCCTCGGACCGCGTTAGTTTCACCCTAGCATCTGGGTATCGCCGACCCAACGCTGCCAGCCTACCCTGCAGCTCGCCTAGGTACCTACTTTGGCTGGTCTACTTGCCGGTCACCTAGTAGGTTACGCGAAGCGGGTAGGGCAAACAGACAATTGATCGTAGGCCATCAACCGCATGTCGTAGTTATATGTACATATATAGGTGCACACGAGGGAGGGAGGTAGGGATGGGAACGTTGACCCTGGATGCCTACATACCGTCCGGGTTGATCGCCCAGTCGTACGATCGAGATTGGATTTGACGGGTTGATTGATTAGATCGCTGCGGGTGTGATTAGATTACGGAAGCCCTCAACTATATGAGTAGCTGATTGATAAGGCATCAAGGCCTGTTATGCATCGGTATACCATGCCTCATGTACGTGTGGGTGCCATATGGAGCACCTACATACCTGCTGCCCACCCGGGTGGGTGGCCTGCGCGTCCCGTACTGTACGAGTATGGACCTGCACACGCAGTCCTCAGTCGCTCTCCGTAGTATTACTATATGCACGCACTCATCTGCCCAAGTCCCTGCTTTCATCCTCCAACAAACGCCGCACAACTCGACGCAACCCGCCATCGGTATTCATCGCCTATCCTATCCTACTTTAGCACTGATAGATAGTAGATAGTTCATCTTGATGCCGCTTCTAAAGATAGCGACTTTTAGCATGCGCGCTGTTGTTAGTGTTAGAGTGTTAGCCGGGCACATGACCGTCTAGCATAAATCCCTAGCATTGCTAGATGTAAGCTATTGTGCTAGCTAACCTATCTACTACGTACCTAGGTAGGTACCTGTGAGAGGGACTTGTGCACTACGCAGTAGGTACCTAGGTAGGTAGGTAGGTGAGAATCGGTGGGTTTATCACATGCACTATCCTCCTCTTCTCTTTTTAAGGCTATTCGCTTTTTAGATCTCGTTTTTTTCACCCTTTTCTCTCTCTTCTTCCGCCACCAGGCATTGGCACTTACGAAGCACTTACCCGGCTAGCCGTCACTCCTACAACTCTACTATAGTGCATAATACTGTCCAAGTACATTCAAAATACGTGGGTGATCGCCTCATAGTGCATACATGCATACACCTACATACATAACCTACCCAGGTAGATAGACCGAAGGTGGGGTCCAGTCACCGCTCATTCCGACTTATGGGACCCCCCTCTCTCGCATCACTCGCCCGAGCCTCAGCAGCAGCACAGGTAGAGCATGTCCCGGGAGAAGACCAGCATGAATTCTGCCGCGCTCGGCGCTGCCAAGTCGCAGCTCCGCTCTCTCATGAAGCAGCGGCTAGCGAATATTTCCCGGGAGACCATCTCGTCTCAGAGTGAGTCACATCCATCGTCAGATACGGCAACAATAAAAAAAAGGTTCTTATATCACGAGGAAAATTAGATCCTTTACGTGGAGTTGTGTTATGTGCGTGTGTGGCTAACCTTGGGCGACCAGGCACGAGGGTATTCAACGCCTTGTTGCGGTTCAACCCGTACACAGATGCGAAACGAGTGGCGGTTTACTTGTCGATGCCGGGTGGGGAAATCCAAACAGACACCATCGTTAGACACGCTTTGTCATCAGGCAAGCAGGTGTTCGTGCCTTATCTGCACAAGTCCAGCCTGAAACCGGGCGACGGGCCTGCCAGGGTGATGGACATGGTAAGTCTGAAGGGCATCGAGGACTACGAGGCTCTACGGAGAGATAAATGGGGCATCCCTAGCATCGACGCCGCCACGTTACCTGGCCGAGAGCGAAGCGTGGGCGAGCTTGATGGGAGCGAATCCGGCCATGTCACCCTCGACTTAATTCTTATGCCCGGCGTCGCCTTCGACGTTGACCCACAGTCGCAAAGCATCCGGAGGCTCGGTCATGGCCGAGGTTTCTACGACTACTTTCTTCATCGATACGCGCTAGCTGCTTCAACTGAAGAGAGGGCGCCGAATGGCCGACCAGCTGTATTGCTATATGCGTTGGCGTTAAAGGAACAGCTGCTCTCCTCGTCTTCTGGGGAGGCCGTCCCCGTTGGACCCCATGACCAGCCTATAGATGGCCTCTTTCTCGGAGACGGCCAGATCAAAGAGTCTGCAAAAAGCGGCACAGGCTAGAACATGTAGATTCCGATCATCTTCGGGTGTCCTTTATTCTCCGGTATGGTATCCGTGGGATTATATTCGGGTACCCCCTTCTCTAGACCCACCGCATATCCGATGGCAAGGTTGACACCTCCGTTCGGCTCCCTTCACGCAGCACCTTGGATCAACGACACATTATCGCCTTTCAGTAAGATTTGCCCTGCAGACTATCAGCTAGGTACCACAACAACGTAGCGGTTTGCCGTTGGGCGGTGCGTTCATACCGAGGTGTCTTCTCTTCTCTTCCGGGGTTGTTTTGGTAATTTGCTTGACCTCAACGGCGTCGTCGACAACGAGGTTCATAAATTCGTCGAATCCCTAGCCACGAAGACATTAGCACCGGGAAAGCAGGCGGACAGGATGCTTTGTGGGTTGCTACGCACCCTGATCTTCCCCTCGATCCGGATCGATAGCTGTTCGTAGAGCCAGATCTTGACCGTGGCGTGAGTCTGGAGGAGCTTGAAGATGAAGTTAATAGGTGGGAGTAGGATCTTGCGCGAGCCACCGCCGCCACGGCCCGTCATCTTGCCTTATTGTGCAGGGTGAAGGGGGGATTGTCGAAAAGGCTTTATCGGTGCAGCAATTGGGAACCAGCTCGGAAAACACGGCTATGGTGGGCTTGACGAAGATATGGTTGGTAAAAGGCGTATACACCTAGGACGTCTGGGTGTCGCGATCCAAGTAGGAATTCGAGTATGTAGACATCAACAAGGCGGGAAAGAAGGCTGAACCAAGGAGGTCTCAGACTAGCCTAACTAGTCCCTTATACCTTACCTCAACCTCTAACCGGATTAGGCGATTATGCCGAGCTTTTTCCCTATTACCTAGACTTTATTTCTATTTTTTATAGGGGTGTTTAAAATTTCTTTTTAAATATATTTCTAACTACTATACGAACGTAAACTTAATTGATTCTTTTTCATAACGAAAAGCTACCTTAGAAACTATTCTTTAAATAATATAGTAAGTAACGGTAGTAGTAGTAGTAGTGTAGTTAACTTAGTAGTATAATTAACTTAGTAATAGTAACAGTAGTAGCGGTAGTAGCGGCTTAAGTAATCGAAAAAAACTTACCCTATTTAGTTAGTGGGGTTGGTTATTTTGGAAGGAGCTAATAGAATCTTTAGGAAGCCGCGACCCGCTTTGGGGTGAGGTTTAGAGGACTAGTTGGGCTGATCTGTATACTCCGTTGAAGCACCCAACGCAAAAAAAAACACAATTAGGTGGGTACCTCTCCTGATCTAGGTAGGTACGTACCTTAGGGTGCTGCGCGAAGCCACATTACCAGGATGTACCTCTACTAAGGTTATGTACACCCATGTCCTCTTTTACAGGTCATGATTCAACTTGGAGCCCAGTTCCTGAGAAAGGGTTCTACGGAGGTAGGTATGTGCAAGTCTACCATATCGTCGTTGCATCGCATTTCACGGCATACACGCAATATCCAGTAGTGAATTGCCTGGTAGATGCGACTCATAGAGGTTAGGTTGAGAGGCAGGTACCTATCTGTTGGCGGTACTTCCTCTAAGAGGTAAGAGAGGTAGGTATATAGGTACATTAGGTAGGAGGTACCTACCCGAGGCAGGTATACCTTAGGTAGGTACTTACCCTACCTGTACCTAGGTACCTAAGATAGGTAGCATAGCCACACAACCACCCCGCCAAGTCAAGCCACAGAGAGACTTATCTGTACACATACCATATCGCCCCGGTTGTCAGAGAGTAACGCTCAGGCTCACATGGCAACCGCATTGCACTGATTTGACGTCCTATTATTTTCTTGGCCCCTCTTTCCCTCGATACACGTCCGTCCCATACTAAAGCACAGCCTCGCCTACCTAAGAACGTGCCTACCTTGCATATTCTCCTTGGTGGAAGCAACAAGGAGAGAGGGCGAAAAAAAGAGGACGGAAGGTAGCAGCGGTCATCTTCCCTCCCACTATTTCCAGGTCGCTTTGCTCAGCGCATCCTGCGCGCATTTCACTACCGCCTCTCAACAGCACCAACGGCACCTCTCCGTCTGCCTCCTACCTGTCCTTCATCGTCCCCGTAGCACTCTGCCGACCCTGCGACGCCTCCCGACCGGCGGCCACCGCTGCTGCTCCCAGATCCGCGTGCCCACCCCACGACCGCCGACCTGACCGATACCACCCGCGCATCATGGCCACAAACGGAGCGCAACTGGCCTTTGGGCCGGGCGAGGTGCTTCAGGCCATGCTGACCATGCGGGGTGGGGACTCGAGCAAGAAGATGGAGGCCCACGAATATCTCGAGAGCTTCCAGAAGTCGGTCAGTACCCGTTAGCCAGCAGACGCTATATCTAGCCTCAACTCATCTCGCGTGCCGGTGTTAATATACGGTATAGCCGATAGCATGGACTACTACCATCACGATACTGCAGTCGAATGCGGAACCAGACGTCAAATTATTCGCGGCGACGACCCTGAGAGGAAAGGTAGGCTGCGATAGCATCCGGCACAGCACCGATCGCGGGCAAAGCTAATAATTTCCGGCTAGATAACGTACGATCTCGCGACCCAAGTGCCTCCGTCCGAAATCCTAGCCGTACGAACTCAACTGCTTGCTCTCCTCAAGAGTTTCGCACTGGGGCCGAAGCCGATAAGGGTGCAACTCTGCGTATGTCTGGCGATCCTGGCCATACAGATGCAGTCGTGGAAGGACGTCCTACCCGTCGTGGTCTCCTCCCTCGGCGGCGACGTCGAAAGCCATGCCTGCATCTTAGATTTCCTCAGAGTCCTGCCGGAAGAGGTGACCGATGGACGCAAGATCACCTTGACAGTACGTGGATCGACATACCAGCCTCGACCTTTGCTTTCCTTTCCTCGGCGACGTTTCGTGACGACACGGCTCGAAGTGAACCGCAATCTAATAAGTTATCGTTTAGGACGAGGAGCTCAGCCAGAGAACCACCGAATTACTGGGGCAGAACGCTCCAGAGGTGGTGCAACTCTTGATAAATTATGCCCAGTCATCACGTAAGGCCGCCGTTCCCGTACCTAGACGCCAAAGACTAATTGTAGAGAAAACCAGCGGCCGCCGCAACGAATCCCCTGTTGTTCGAGTGCATTACATCTTGGCTGCGCGAGATTCCCATCAATGATATCGTTAAATCACCGCTGCTAGGCGTCGTGTTTAGCGCGTTGGGGAGCGATTCATCTTTCCAAGCAGCCGCCGAATGCATTTCGACCATGGTCAAAGAAACTAGGGAAATTGACGACAATATCGAGACCATTCAGATACTCCTCCCGATGATCATCGCTCTGCGCCCGAAGATCCAGAAGATGGTCGAGGAGGGAGATACCGAATCCTACAAGTCGCTCACCAAACTCTTCGCCGATGCCGGGGCTTCCTGGGCCGTCGCCATTGCTCGCGAGCCAATCCATTTTCGACCCCTGGTAGAAGCAATCCTCGACTGTGCCGCCCAGGATAAAGAAAGAGAAGTTATCGAGTACACTTTTGATTTCTGGTACGATCTCAAGCAATATCTTGTCCTTGAAAAATACATCCAAGCACGCTTGGAACTCGTAGATGTCTACGCGAAGCTTGTCGACATTCTCTTAAAGCAGCTCGAGTATCCAGAGCCGGAATCCGGGGATGAGAAGGATCTCTTCGATGGGGATCGAGAGGCCGAGGAAAAGTTCCGCGAGTTCCGACACCTCATGGGCGACACGCTGAAGGACTGCTGCGAAATCATGGGGGTTTCCGAATGTCTCTCCAAAGTTCTCGACGGCATCAAGCTCTGGATGCAAAAGTACGCGAGTATGGCTAATGACACCTTGGTCCCCCACTGGCAACAGTTAGAGGCGCCGCTGTTCGCCATGCGAGCAATGGGCCGTATGGTAGAAAGGGATGAGAATTCGATTCTGCCACAGCTCATGCCGCTTCTAGTCCAGATGCCGGCCCAGGAGAAGTTGCGCTTCGCGACGATCATGGTGCTAGGAAGATACACGGAGTGGACTGCTTTCCATCCGGAGTTCCTCAGTCCCCAGTTCAATTACATCGTGTCGTCCTTCGAAACCGACTCGAAAGAGATCGTCCGGGCAGCTGCGATGGCCGTCAAGTATTTCTGCACGGATTGCAAACACCTCCTGAGTGAGCAGGTCGTCCAGCTACAGCAATTCTACGACCAGATCTTAGATAAGCTTCCGGAGCTCAGCCAAGAGGAAATCACCGAAGGAGTGGCCAACGTCGTATCGGTACAGCCGACGAGCGAGATATACAGACTGCTCAAGGTTTTCTGCGACCCTCTAGTCCGGAGATTGATGGCAAAGGCAAACAATGCGACAGACAACGACGGGAAGCTAGCAGTTGCTGATCATTTGCAACTGATCACGATCTTCGTCCAGAGCGTCGTGATTCTCCCGCCTGTGGAGCCCAGTCACGGAGACCCGGCTGTCAAGTACTGGCAGGAGGTGTTTCCTATACTATCCAAGGTCCTAGAGAGCTTCCTTGACTTCCCTCCTATCTGCGAGAGGGTCTGCCGGTGCTGGAGATTCATGGTTATCTCCCATAGAGGTGCCATGGCGCCAATTCTCCCGGACATGGCAAACCAGCTCGCGAGTGGGTTTACCGCATCAAAACAAGGCTGTTTCCTGTGGGTCACCGGCGCCATCCTGCGGGAATTCTCCGACGATCGAGAGCACGTGGACCGGGCCATGACCGAGCACATTTACGTATTCTTCGAGGCGCAAACGACAAATGTCCTCCGGTTCCTTAGCGAGCTATCGCCACATGAGCTTCCCGACGTTACCGAAGACTTCTTCCGCTTGGCCGTCGACGGACTCTTGTACTACCCCCAGAAATTCGTGCCCTCGTCTCTATTCCCTCCCGTGTTCGAAGCCGCTCTCTCCGTCCTCGTCCTAGAGCAGCGTGAGCCCTTGTCCGCCACTCTGCATTATCTCCGCGACGTCCTTGGATGGGCCACCGAATACTCGGCATCGTCGTACGAGCACCTTTCGGCGTCAGTTGCCGAGCAGCTAAGAAACCTCGTCAAGCAGCTTATCCTGGCGCAGGGGGAGGTATTGGTCAAGCGTCTGCTTGCTGGCATGATGATAACCTTCCCGAAGGACTGCTTCGCCGATGCGAGCGGTGCGCTTCTCTCGCTGTTCAAGACGTTCCCGGATCAATCGACAGTATGGGTCGACCGCACGCTCCGATTGCTACCCGAAGGCACTATTACGCCGACGGAAGTTGATCGTCTCATGGTAAAGATCAAGGAGAAACTTGGCACTAACGACACCGGCGATGTTCGGCAGATACGCTCGATCTTGCAGGACTTTACGAACACATACCGAAGGAGGCACGTTGCGCCCCGGGACGGCTTGGGTGCATTAGAAGGATCCCGGTTCCGATTCGTCGGTTAGTCGCCGCGTTGAACGTGTTTCCTATCGCCTCGTTCGGATTTCAGCGAGGAGGGGGAGCTCGATAACAAGGTATTTTTAAGATGACGAGCAGGATCTGTCCTAGCAGTTGTGGTTAGCTGTGGTGTATCCATTGGCACTCAGATTGGTTCCCACGGTTACGACTTCTCCGCAGCATGTTGAGATATAATAAAGCTAAGTTAGCCGAGTGTGTGGTGGCGTGGGCTGGTGGTGAAAATGGGACGAAAAATGATGATACCTACGTCTACGGTATGTGACGTGCGACGAGTTGAGAGATTGTACATAAGCTGGCTTCTAATCATTTTTTCAGTGATCAGGAAGAGATGAGCTGAGAGGACCGTGAGAGGTTAGCGACTCGCTACCAGATGTGGTGGGTAGCCTCGGATACGCAATGCTACGAGGAGGCCGCGCTTCACACCTATCGGTTCCTTTCCGTAACCACGCCAGAACATAGGCACCCGCAACTTGACCGTGAAGGTATAGAGGTAACTCTGCGATACAATAGAATACAATAGAAATAAAATTCCAAACCGGCTAACGCGTGTATCGATCAGTTCTTGACTTTGGTGTCGACATGACAAAGACGAGGCTGGCCCAACTAGCTCTGTCTTGTGGATTAGCTCTCCCTTTGTCGTATTCGGTGTTCTGCGTGGCGTTACACCTTCTAGATTGTCGAGTACTGTATCAGGCTTTTATTTTTATTTTTATTTTTGGTGGTTCCCCTAGGCTAGTTATCCAGCCAGCGACGAACATACTCGGAGAGTTAGAACAAAGGTTGGCGAGGTGTGCGTCAAGGTAAACCGGGCCAAGGTGAAGGAGGCGGGTAATCACCAGCTCGAGGGACGGTCTGAGTCATCCGGGGAAGCTTTGATGATGCGTTTGCCTAGATTCTTTACCGGACATCAGGTACAGGATGATGAACAGATATATATGTCCACTCGGCATTCACAAATAACGCAGGTCTAGGTCGCAGGCAGAGGTAAGCCGTGCTTAAGCCAGAGGTTCAGTGGTCATCGCTTCGCCGCGTACTTCGGCAGAGGCCCCTTTACCATCTGCGTAGGTGGATGAAGTAGATGTGAAGTTTCATTAGGTTACAGGTGGCGGGTACCTAGAAGGAGCCGGGGCGGACTCCGGTATCATTGTGTGCATTTATCTCGTATTTTAAGGTAAACACTTAGCAAGGAGATGACACACACACACACACGTGTATATACCAACCCACCTATATATGTATATATGTGTAGATACAGAGAGAGAGAGGTATGGTCCTTGAGCTGACCCGGCTAAGGAGAGTACATTAGGTATTAATTGCCGTGGCGAGTTGCTGGAGCTAGGTAACTCTCTGAACTGGACGAATTGTCAGTTCCGGAAAAGAAGGACAAGGGTTATAAACCCTCAACTCCCTCTCTTGATTATTGGCTACATTCCACCTAGGCAGGTAAGGTTGATTACGGGAGGTAGGTGGCAGGTGGTAGTCTTCCCGTCTTCAACTTCTCTGCGAGTCAAGTACCAAGGTACATACCCAGATCCACCACTTCTTCTCCAGGCAGGTCCGTACATTAACCTTTACCTACCCCACCAGCCCACAACTGGGATAAATAATTCAACATGGTTATCCCGAGGGGTACTTGAGGCGTTGATGTCAGCGGGTACCCTTCCTACGTCGGCGTAGGTAAGGGAGGTACATCGATCCGATTACAGATCATGTCACTAATGCATGCACAAATGGGAACACCAAGAATCTTGTTGCCCCTCGCTCTGCCCCGCTTTGCCTGCTTTCCTCAGTCGTCAAAGTTCGCGCCGTAGGTACGTACTGCCGTACTACTACATTAGGTACCTGCCTACCTTTGGTACCTAAGCTACCTGATACCCGCACTCGGCAGCAGGAGGAGGCTATGAGGTACCTAGGTACCTATCACGAAGATACCTAAGTACTGGTACCTTAGCTGACTTAAGGCAATGCTTCTCTGTGGGCAGGTGCGGCAGGGTGGGTGCGGTGCGGGTGTGGGAATTTTTCTCCTCTTGACCCCTCCATTCCCTCCACCTTTCCCGCCTTTAACAACACTCCTCCCATTCTGTGCCCCGACAAATTTTCCTCTATCCTCCTAAGCACCTAAACACCTTGGCTGTCGGTGGTCACTCTCAACTCTGCGATCCCGCCGCCTCAAGCCAACTCCTGGCTGTCATTTATCTTTCGAGCCTTGCACTGATACGACTCTCCCTCTCTCTGTCTAGAGGACAAAGAAGAAGAGATCGCTGGTGATTTGTAGCGACTTGGAGGTGCAATCAGGCCACTTCGACCCATACAACATCACCCCGCCTCCTCTTCCACCTTGGTCCATCGCCAGTCTCAGGACCTGAGCCCTGATCTCGACACACCCACACTTAGCACAGTTTTCGGCATCAAATACTGCCAAAATGGTCAAGTAAGTCTCTTTTTACCCGGCTAACCTCAGCCCTGCCTATCCTCCCCCGACCGGACGAATCTCCTCCTCGAGCACCCGGAGCCTCGTCTTTTTTTTTTCTTTTTCATTACCATTCAATTTCCCTGTCATCTTCACCACCCGAATTTGGCAACCCCACCCGGAGATAAGCTCCGCTACGTCCATCCGTCCATCCAACTCCCCCACCACAGAGCTCTTTTAGCTAATATGCGCTTGCCTCTAGCTTCACGATCGACGAGATCCGGGCGCTTATGGACAAGCCCACCAATGTCCGTAACATGTCCGTTATTGCCCATGTCGACCACGGCAAATCTACCCTGACCGACTCTCTCTTGGCCAAGGCTGGCATCATCTCCACCGCGAAGGCTGGTGATGCCCGAGCCACCGATACAAGAGCAGACGAGCAGGAGCGTGGTATCACTATCAAGTCCACTGCCATCTCCCTATATGGCGAGCTACCCACGGATGATGACCTCAAGGACATCGTTGGCCAGAAGGTCGACGGTAGGGATTTCTTGATCAACCTTATCGACTCGCCCGGTCACGTCGATTTCTCTTCCGAAGTTACCGCTGCTCTCCGAGTCACCGACGGCGCCCTCGTCGTTGTTGATACCATTGAGGGTGTTTGTGTCCAGACTGAGACTGTCCTGCGACAGGCTCTGTCGGAACGTATTAAGCCTGTGGTCATCATCAACAAGGTTGACCGCGCTCTTCTCGAGCTCCAGGTCTCCAAGGAGGATCTATACCAATCCTTCTCCCGAACCATCGAGTCCGTGAACGTGATCATCTCCACCTACCTCGATAAGTCTCTGGGAGACCTACAGGTTTACCCGGAGAAGGGTACCGTTGCTTTCGGCTCCGGCCTTCACGGGTGGGCTTTCACCATTCGTCAATTTGCCATCAGATATGCCAAGAAGTTCGGTGTTGACCGAAATAAGATGATGGAGCGTCTATGGGTAAGCGAAAACATTCGAACAGATCAGCTACGTCCCTATATATCCCCGGCTCTCAAACACCGGAAACCCCCATCCTCTTAACAGTAAAGATTGCTAACATGGGATCAGGGTGACAACTACTTCAATGCAGCAACCAAGAAGTGGACCAACAAGGGTACTCACGACGGCAAGCAGCTAGAGCGCGCCTTCAACCAATTCATTTTAGACCCTATTTTCAAGATCTTCTCCGCTGTCATGAACTTCAAGGAGGAAGAGGTCGCCACCCTTCTATCCAAACTTGACCTCAAGCTGCCATCGGAGGACAAGGACAAGGAAGGAAAGCAGCTGCTGAAGGCGGTCATGAGGACGTTCCTGCCTGCCGCCGACTCTCTGCTGGAGATGATGATTCTCCACCTGCCATCGCCCGTTACTGCTCAAAAGTACCGTGTCGAGACCCTGTACGAGGGCCCTCCTGACGATGAGGCTGCCATTGGCATTCGCGACTGCGACCCCAAGGCCCCTCTCATGCTCTACGTCTCCAAGATGGTGCCAACCTCTGATAAGGGTCGTTTCTACGCTTTTGGCCGTGTATTTTCTGGTACCGTCCGATCCGGCCTCAAGGTCCGCATCCAGGGCCCCAACTATACTCCTGGAAAGAAAGATGATCTGTTCGTCAAGGCTATCCAGCGTACCGTTCTGATGATGGGTGGCAAGGTCGAGCCCATCGATGACATGCCTGCCGGCAACATTGTCGGTCTAGTCGGCATTGATCAGTTCCTGCTCAAGTCCGGTACACTCACCACCCTCGAGACGGCACACAACCTCAAGGTCATGAAGTTTTCCGTATCCCCTGTTGTCCAGCGATCTGTCCAGGTTAAGAATGCCCAGGATCTGCCCAAGCTGGTCGAAGGTCTCAAGCGTCTGTCCAAGTCCGACCCTTGCGTCCTGACTATGACCTCCCCGTCTGGCGAGCACGTTGTCGCTGGTGCCGGCGAGCTACACCTTGAGATCTGCTTGAAGGATCTCGAGGAGGACCACGCTGGTGTTCCTCTCATCTTCTCCGACCCTGTCGTTCAGTACCGAGAGACCGTAGTCGGCAAGTCGAGCATAACTGCTCTGTCCAAGTCGCCCAACAAGCACAACCGTCTATATATGGTTGCCGAGCCTATCGACGAGGAACTTGCAAAGACGATCGAGGACGGCAAGATCGGACCCCGTGACGATTTCAAGGCCCGCGCCCGTATTTTGGCTGATGACTTCGGCTGGGATGTTACCGATGCCCGAAAGATTTGGTGCTTCGGCCCTGACACGGTCGGTGCTAACTTGTTGGTCGACCAAACCAAGGCCGTGCAATACCTGCAAGAAATCAAGGACTCCGTCGTATCCGGTTTCCAGTGGGCTTCGCGTGAAGGGCCCATCGCGGAAGAGCCGATGCGAGCTACCCGATTCAACATTCTCGATGTCACCCTACACGCCGATGCCATCCACCGTGGCGGTGGCCAGATCATCCCGACGGCCCGACGTGTCCTGTACGCCGCTACTCTGCTTGCTGACCCTGCTCTTCAGGAGCCCGTTTTCTTAGTCGAAATCCAAGTCCCCGAGCAAGCCATGGGTGGTGTGTACGGCGTCCTCACCCGAAGAAGAGGTCACGTCTTCAACGAGGAGCAACGTCCTGGTACTCCTCTATTCACCATTAAGGCGTATCTCCCCGTCATAGAATCGTTCGGCTTCAACAGTGACCTTCGACAAGCTACTTCTGGTCAGGCTTTCCCGCAAATGGTGTTCGACCACTGGCAAGTGCTTCCTGGCGGATCACCACTCGAAAAGACCTCAAAGGTTGGGCAAATCGTCGAGGCGATGCGCAAGCGCAAGGGTCTCAAGGTCGAGGTGCCCGACGTAAACAACGTAGGTGCAAGATTTCTAACTGCCATGGCTTGCTGTGTGCTAACCACATGCTCTAGTACTACGACAAGCTATAAAAGGCTCGCTGCTATGCTTTATAAACTACGACCTGGCGCCATTATCGGGGACTATCACGAGAGGGCTCGGCACGCTGCTTCCGAGTTGGTCGCATGGATGGGGCGGCCTCCACAAGGTCCAAGAGGAATGATCTGCGGCCGTGGGTACAGAAAAGGTGTGCAAAGATGCTGAGCACGGAACTTCCATTGGTTGTCGTGCATCTTAGTTACTTCAGTTTTCATGCAATTGATGATAATTTAGACAGTTTAGTCCTCGGTGAAATCGTCCTTGATTCGGCTTTCTCTCACTAAGAAGTTGCCTACTCGTTGGAGGTTTGTGAGCAATCAGCAATTGCTAAGTAGGCATACGGAATCTCTCGAGGCAGATCTGAGGAGGGTTATTCTGGATTGAGGGCAAGACTGACAGGTGGGCGAAGTCGAACTGGATGCTGAGGCTGATATGAGCGAAGGGGGGAGGGGGAGAGGGAGAGAGAGACGGGAAGAAAAAAAAGAGTTGGTCGACACAGGGTGGGAGGGAGAGAGGGAGAGAGAGACGGGAAGAAAAAAAAGAGTTGGTCGACACAAGGGGGAGGGAGAGAGAGAGACGGGAAGGAAAAAAGATGGTCGGCGCAGGGATCGAACCTGCGACCTTCTGCAAACTCACACGCTCAATACGCTGGGCCAGGACCAGGATAGCAACGCTTGTATCTGGCCTGTAACAGGAATCAAGACATAATGCAAGGCAGATGTGCTACCACTACACCAGCCGACCTATTTTATTACTTTACCTGAACACTATTATGCAATATAAGGCCTTTGCCCCTTTGTAATGGGGGGGGGGGGGGGGCATATTACTAAAGCTCTTAGGTTCATTACCTAACTTCAAAGTATCGAATGGACGGAAGGGGAGCGTACGGCGGACCCGTCTGGTTATGTGTTTATATCGAGAGGAGACAAAAGTATTTGATCTGGGCAGGTGCTTAGTTGGTGCTTACGTCTAGGAAAATACGTCTAGGAAAAGGGGGCGAAGTCGAGACGTACGCGAGCGAGATAGATGTGTAGACGTCCTTTATTTACTTATTTTTTATTTATTTAATCCTACTATCTCCCCTGCCCCCAAAGGATAGAATAAGGGATGTCATCCCCCCCTTCCTCTGTCAGTCTTGTCCGGTTGGCCCGCCTGTATGAGTCTTCTCCTGGGCAGCTAGTAGTGCTATATAGCCCGCTTCTGCCATGTCCGCTGGCAACGAGAGCAAGGGAAACAAGAACAAGAGCAAGGGGAGAAGAGAGAGGTGGGATTTATGGGCTGACGAGGTAGCGAATAGAAAGCGTAAATTAAAAAGAAGCCAACCCATCCTCCCCCGTGTTTGCGCCAGGCTATGCTAGGAAGCGATCGATACGACATAATTAATTACCTACTGGAGTTGACCGACCGAACCGACCGACCAACCGAGCCGCGAGTGACTGGCGCCCAATGCTCTCCTCTTCCTCACTATCCACGTCCCTTTCCCCTCCTCCTCTCGCCTCTCCATTTTGTCTACCTGATTTAGCCCACACGCATATGTATATATATACCTCTGTATCGTTTCGATCCATTCTTGCCTCTCTCCTCCTCCGTTTCCTCCTCTATCCTCTCTCTCTCTCTCTCTCTCTCTCTCTCTCTCTCTCTTTCTCTAGCTAACTCACTCGCACAGTTCGCTGGCACGCTCTCTTTCGCCGTCCCTGGCCCTCGACGCCGCGGCCGCCATCCGCCGTCCAGCTCACGAGGAGCCCAAGATCTTAGCGTACGCGTCCTCGACCTCGCCGGCGAGCTCGAGCAGCGAGACGATGACGATCTGGTGCGTCAGGTTCGGCAGGCGGTCGCGGTGCAGGCCGATCCACTCGAGCGGGGGCGTCGCCTCGCCCATGTCCCGCAGCTGCGGCGTCTCGATCACGGGGGGCTCGAGCGCCACGTACTCGTACTTGGACTGCGGCACGTTGACCTCGGCCGTGATCTTCTGCTGCTGCTGCTGCTGCCGCCGCTCGGCCCCGGGTTCCCCTCCGTCCCGCGCTTGCTCCGACTCGGGCACCCCCGTCACCTTGATTGTCGATATCGCCGGCAACTCGCGGCCCCACGTCTGCGCGAGGGCCCTGGTGTGGTTCGCCCACATGCTCCGGATGAAGCTGATGCGCGAGTAGTTCCAGCCGACTTCCACCTTGCCCTCGAACGAGCTCCTGAATATGTACTCGATGCTGCGGGATTCCGGAGTCTGCCAGGTTTGCATCATAGCCTCGACCTTGGGCACCTTAAGGATCGTCCCGCCCCTTGAGCCTGTAGAACTTGCTACCACATCCTCTACTGAGATCTCGCTAGCCGCCTTCGGTGCCTGGATTCTGCGTACGCCTGCGAGGCCGATACGTAGCTGGCCGAGCGTCAACCCCAGAATGCTGTGTATCCGCTTGTCTTCCATGCTCGCCGCAAACCTCGCTTGAGCATTGAGGGCTTCTAATTTGAAGACCTGGTTGTCCGTAAAGGCACTTGGGAAGACGCCCATATTCACCGCCTTGAGCGTTACCACCACATCGGTATCGAGGGATATGGGAGATCTCGTAACGGACCTGTCGGTCTGGGGCTTGGTAGCGCTGGTCTGGTGGATAGGAGGTTGGCTCGCTAGTGATTTTCTTTTTATAAACTTCTCTATATCACGCAGCGACGCTTCGTAGCTTGCTTTTCTCTCTTGTATGAGCTTCTGGATGGCTTGCCATAGCGCAACACTCTGTGCCGCGGAGGCAGTAATGCCGAACAGTTGAACAGCTTCTCCATCGAGTGTTGCCACGAGTCTATCGCCGGAGGCCCCTTTCTGTTCCCGCACATTGTACATGAGGAACTCCATCGACGTAATGTCCCCGACTAAGAACGCCTGGTAGTCAAACGCAGCCTTCAGTCGGAACTGGTTGAAGCTTATAGAGGCCTGGACTCTTGGCGTTTCGTTCAGTGCTTGCTCACGCTCCGGCCACTCTATAGACGTGCGTAGTTTAAATCTTTGAAGGGCAACGAAGCCGCTCAACCGGCCAACGCAATCAATGCCGATTCTCTCAAAACCAAGGCAGAGATTCTGCTCCCAGTCCGATGTCTTCTTCGAAGATACCCAGAACTCGGTTATAGCAAATTTGGACTTGCCAAGAGATTGTCCCAAGTCGACGGCGACGTCTAGGGCAGCGATGGATATCGTAGCAGTCCAGGGGAATGCTGCAGTGGCGGCAACTTGTTGGTACCTTTGGACGAGATGGCCCTGTGCGATTGATTCTGAGGTGGCCGTCGCAACGGGTGCTGCCGCACCTTGCCTGATTTCTCCCGGGATCCATATTTCCCGGAAGAGTAAGAAGTCCTGTAGCTGTTTGGCATTTATTGCTACCTCCATCGGGCTGACTTTAAGAATGGCGGAGATCCCGCTTGTGCCGCTGACATGTTTACTGTTCATCATTGAAAGCACAATTGAGTCGACTTCGAAGCTACCGGTAGATTCACGCGAGTAGACGTGCTGCACCGAGGTGTGGAATCCACTGAAAGTAGCCGAGATGGCAAAGAAATTCCCCTGTTCGGCGGCATGCACCGTGTTCATCGTGATATAGATATCGTCGAAGCGGGCCGTAGCGGCAACCCTACCGATAGGTTGACAACTGAGAGTGAACTCTTGCTTGCAAATGCGAAGGCCCAAATTCAGTTTCATGCGCCCTAGAACTGCGCTTGGGTCGGCTGTGAGAATATTTTCGTCTCCGTTGGCCTTAGCCTTACCCTTCTCTCCGCTTGATGTTGTTGGCGATATTGGCGATTTGGGCATGTCGTCGCCCACAACCTTCTTGATGCTCGAGCTTATGTCCATGATGAGAGGAACGATGCTTGGGTAGATGATGTTGCGTGATGGAGCGATCTTGACTTCTCCGTATAACGTCGGGTCATCTCGACCATTGTCTCTGTATTCGGTCTTCCAAGCCAGGCCGGGGCTGCGAAGGATCGTGCTTCCTCCGGTCTCGTCTCCGTTGAATTGTCCGTATTTGCCAGCCAACGTGGGTCGATTTAGGCCTGGGGCACTTGTCGCGGCCACATCCTCCACGGACCTCTTTCCGGAGATATGTGCCACAGCCCCCGCGAAGTCGGCGTCGATTAAAAGCGATTCTAGCCTTCTACCCCCAAACACCGAGCGGCTAGCTCCAGCTGGCCTTGCGACTGGATCCTCTGCGGCTGGTTTCTCCGCTGCGACTAACGGTGCCCAATGCTGCGAGGCTTGCTGGACGTTCTTCATCGACAGACTAATCGAATCTGCGAGATGTGCTGCTGGAATGATAAAAGCATACGTCAGTCGAAGATCCAGGGACTTCCCCACTGCCTGGAATGCTAGCCGACGAGCGCCGACCGTCGAAACGAAGGCGATATTAAATACCACCTCTGGGAGAAGCGCCGAGTTGGAAGTCCGGCGTGACTTGTCCTGGTCTGGAGGGACCATCTGTACTTGAAAGTCTTCAATGGTCAACTTCGCCGACCTCTTTTTGTGCGTCGCGAATTCGATGCGTCGGAAGGATAATACTAGATCTTCTTGGCCCATAGCGGGTTGTTCCGGGGTAGAAACAAGCCAGCTTAGCTGGATATCGCGTATTTCAAAGGAATATATAACCGAGGAGAGGAAGGAGTCGAGGATGTCACTCTCCGTATCCTGCTCTTCATCATTGATAGCAATTCGGGGCTTCGATTGCCTAAGCTTCCGTAAATACTCGAGCTCGCGTGACGTGTCGAGGTCTTTGATTTTGTCGCCCATATAGCCGACTACGTCTACAAACGTTGACACGGTGTCGGATGATAGGTTTGCTTCAAAGCCATCGGACTTGAAGTCGAACGATCTCAGCTCCTTTCCATCTTCCGACTCACGACTCGCGACGGTAATCAGAGCGCCAAAGGAGAGGTTGCCGCAAGACCTCATTTCCGCAATGGACCCTTTCTCGATGTCGAATTTGATCTGGCGTAGGTTCACACGCATCTCGGGGTTCTCTAGGATCGTTCCTTCACCCAACTTATTAGCAAGCTCGACTTGCACGCTGCCCAAGCAAAATGATAAGCGCGCTCGGGACTCGCTACTTGGTTTGATCGGCGCGCTCCCCCAGATCTCGAGTCCGGCAAGGCTGCTGTGAACGACATAGGTCAACTTCGAATCGCCTGGATTTGACGATGCTGGTGTCTTTAACTCGGGCCGAGCGGACCCGAAAATCTCCTCGATGTGTTCTTGTATTATTCTACCCTGGTGCTTCAGATCGTCGATGGCATTCGAAATTTCAGGTCGGTTGAGCGCAGTGAGCAAACTGTAGACAGCTGAGGCGTCTAGTTGCACGAGCTCGAGGGAGGCTAGCACCGTAATCGAATGCTCCTGCGGCGTGGTGTGGCTAGTGATACGACCATTTGTCGGAGGTATCTGTAGCAAGGAAATGCTGCGAGGCGTATTGTTGACCTCAATCTGCATGTCGTGCGAGTTCTCTTTAATATCGAAATCGAGTATCACCTCCTTGCCAAAGTCTGCCGTCATATTCGTTCGCGCAACGTTTCCGGAGATGGCATAGGTTAGAGATCGTAGTAACGGCAATGTGATAGTATACGACTCTAAAAACATCGCCAGATTCACTCGAAACGTCGAGGGGTGCTCTGTCTCCTTATGCTCCTGGGACTTTTTGGGGGATGAAGGAAATCTCTGCTGTAACTCATAAAGTTGTGCGACTTCGTCCCTGACTAGTAGGTCCAGGACCTCGGCTAACACTATCGGGTCTTGTTTAACAACGAATTCGAGGCCCTGACTGCTCGCAGCGGCTCTAATAGTATGGGCCGAAGAATGTCTGTCGACTTGAAGTTCATGGGCGATCAGTACACTCGGGCTTTGGAGTCGTGAAGTAGTTAGGACCTGTGAATGGCTCTTGATCTTCACGGAGGCCGCATCGCACCCTAGAACGAGGTTTGATTTCGTGATGCCTTGTGCTCCACTTGTGAGCATGGACAGTTTAAGGTTGGCGGTTTGAGACCGGGTACTGAGATTGATGGTCTCAACAGAAATAGCGCCCTCTTCCAATACAAACACTATGTGGAGGTGACGGTATGGGATGTGTTCGGCGATGTCTTGCTGCTGAGGGTGCGGTTCGTCGGATCCCGATGATTCGGCCTTTTTGTAAAGTCGGAGTATGTCGTTTACAAGTTCGCAGAGTTCCCAATTGGACTTGAGCCCGGCTTTGCCACAATATATATTGACGAGAGTCAGTAGTTTATCTCCGCCCGTGGCTTTCTTGAGATCTGGCTCGTCATCGTTCTTTTCTTGGACGCGCACGTTGAGATCCACGGCGACAACCTCGTTCTGTTTGGGACCGGGATCGAGCACAAATTGTATTTCCTGTATCCGTGCCACGGCCATCATAGGGATGGTATCAGAGACATGCGAGCCAGACTCAGGTAACTTGCCAAAGACATTGTCCAAAAGCATTGCATGGCTCGGGTCTTCCAGATCCCAGTTCTGCAATCGATCGAAGATTGCCGTAACCTGTTGTCTCGCATCGGCAGGACATCGCGCAAATCCGAACCGGCAGCCACGCTTTAAGTTCTCTTTGACGTCTACGTCTAACGTCGACCACAATTGGCGCAATCTGGTGACGAGCTTCCAGGAGTCGTACGTCCTTAGGTGCTGCGTGGCTGTTCGTAGGACTGCCGAGGGTCGGACGACGAAGGGGGCCTCACTTTCCTGTTGTCCTTCCTTTATAACATGATAGATGAACTGCTTTAAGCGCTCATCCGCAATCGAGAATACTTTTGCGAAGAGCTTTCCCGCCTCCGATGCCAGCATATTGGTCCTGTGAATCAAAGAGGCGAGATATTCGACCTTGCCTGAAGAAGAAGAGGTGTGGATAGCACCGATGTCGGCATCGATATAGTTTACTTCCTTGGACCCCATCGAGATCATAATTCTCTCTACTCGGGCTAACACTGCGGCTTGTGTTTCATCTAAGTTCGTGAGCCTCTCTGCGGCAGACAATTGGAGAGAAGCAAGGCGGAAATGGAATGATAATCGAGAAACGTTACCGGTTGATCCACTGTCAGCCGGTCCAGTGTGTATCCCAGTTCGTGTGGCGAACAATAGTGTTCTTAACGACACGTCGTACTGGTCTTGCGGCTCCTGTGAAGGGTCCGCAGAGTCAACATTAGAACAATTTAGGAACCGTAAGTTCGCTTGTGGTAGCCGCACGACAAAATCTGTCACAGTGCCTTTCACTTTTGCTCGCTTTTGCGTGTCAAATACATCTGTTACTGCTTCGATCTGGAGAGTATCAAGAATGTCTTCGGGGTCAGAGGGCGACAGGGCTCGTGTAAGCGACGCTATACACTGTAAGGAGGAGGTATTGACGAAAACGGCAATACCATCTGGAAGTTCGAGGAGTAGGCTCTGGTGAGCCTCGTCTTGCCCTAGTTGCTCGGTGGGTATGTCTTCGAGATTAAAATCGGAGGAATCTAGCAGAGTATCATCTCCGTCTGTTTCGATGCTTTGCAGTACCGCTTCTCTCGTGTCCGGTCGAGTGTTCTGGAGGGGAAAGGAGGGCGCGAAGTATTGACTCGAAAAGGCAATACTCGTAGGCGGAGTATCTCTCCTGCTCCCTAGCTCACTGTGAGCACCAATGGAAGTCGAACGGTTCCCAGCATGAGTGCGGTGCTCGCGGGGCGAAGTCGTTTGCTTCGACCCGTTGGTCTTTAGCAAGATAACATTAGCAGCACCATAACCCGAAACACGAGATTGCTGTGTGGTCTTGATCGAACCCGGTCGTATAATACTACTATTTCTCGAGCTAGCCAATGAGAGGAAGGAGCTTTTATGGCGAAGTCCCCCGGAGCGACGCGACGAGCCTAGTGACGATATCGACTCCTTATCAGTCCCTGATAGAACTGGCTGAGGAACCGACGGGACGCTTTGCGCAGGGGGATCGACAGGATCAGGAATAAACTCATCCAGGAGCCTCGGGAGTAGCAGAAAACTAGCCCGGTGGGTTCGCTGATCATGGCGACGTATAAGCTCCTGCTGTAGCAGCCTTTCCTGCGCGAAGTCATACTTCCGCCCGATGAGAGCGAAATGAATGGTCGTCCTGAGGAACATATCGGTATCAGCGCGGGAGCCGGGCCCTGCTTTGCGTCTCATAGCAGATTCCGAGTTTACGCAGGCAACCTCGAGACTTGGCACTCTAACGTCGGCACGTCTAGAATAATGCGTCTTAGCCCAGTCGTTGTAATTGATATCGATCGTCCCAGTGGAGAATAAGAAAGCTGCTTCGTCTACGTGCACCCAAACCTGGACTGCTTCAACGAAAAGTCTCAGAAAGGTGACGTCGTACAGCACAACAGATGAATATGGGATCAGCGCATTTTCGTCGTCGTCAAGAGAGAAGCCGAATGCCCGCCCTCCCCTGGCGAGGGTCGTTATAAATTCGGTTGAACATTCCCCGGTAACGCTTCCAACCTCCAAGTCCCAATTGCAGAGATAAGTCGGCTCAGAAGGTGGCAAGCCGAACATGCGGTGGCCGTAAACATTGATGCCATCGATGAACAGCTGGGTGCTCTGGAGGGCGCTCATCGGACTTGCCGCACCTTCATCGTCGTCGGCGAAAGAAAGACTGAGGGGGCTAAGGGATAAATCGAGATCCATGTAGTAGTTCGTGAAACGAAGGTCGACGGCTAACGAGGCGGCCTCGATTGGAATGCGACGCTTCGCTGAATACATGTTGCCGGGGAGAAAAACCTTGGGATCATCCGTACGGATGCCCAGGATAACATCTAAATCATTCGATTTCTTGGCAGGTGGACGATTTATCGGCTCCGTATCTGGGGTGGCTCCTGTGGTCCGGAGAGCTTCTTGGTGCTCATCCAAGGTCCTGAAATGCACATTGTCGCCAAAGTAATTGTCTTTGAGCTGTAGGAAGTAACGAATGAGGAAACCGTGAAGGAATATGTTGAGCGATTGTCCATAGACGTCGAGGACGAGAGTATCGGTATTAGCGGGGGATGTTGTTGCATTATAATGGTATTTCCCGTCTACGGTTATACTCTCGAGCCCCCCGATTCTCTTTGAAGCCAGGAAGGTCGCCTGGGTATTCCATGGCGGTACGTGCAAATCAAGACAGAGAGGTTCGGCTGCAAGTTTGAAGGCGACAGCATTTCTCGGAGGGCGATAGGTATCCAACGATATGCAGGTATCCACCACTAAACACGGGCTAGATAGAACGAGATACGTATTTTCTTCGAAACTCGTGGGGTCGTTGATGATATTCACGTCGTTAACATTCAGGTAAAGCTTGACCCTGCGAAGTCGTAAGTTCAAGAAGTATTTGAAGGGTGTGAAGAGAAGATATTCAGAGGGCGGCCCACTGCCCCAGTCATCTATGAGGTCTATGAGCAAGAATATGTGATCTCGTAGGATAAAAAGTTCGAGACCATCACTATCAACATCGAAGTGCCAATTACGGAGGCCGTTCCATTTAAGAGGTGTCGAAAGGTCGCAAGAAATCTGCTGAGGTCCGGATCTCCATAGAAGCCCGTGGTTAACGCTGGTCGACACTTCTGTTGCAGGAAGGTCGATTTTAACTGTGTTCGTATACCCGGTGGATTTTGCTAGCATATCCATCGTGTACGACACAGTCGCGTTCGGCGCTATCTTGATGTCGAGCCATCCATGTGGACGCTGCTCCGCCGCCGTGGTGGTAACAGACTTTTGATTGCGAACCCCTTCCCGCTGACCTTCCTGGCCTCGTTGATGCTTTAATGTGAGCGCCTCCTTCTTCCACCTCCAATTCTTCGAGTCCTCACGTGTGGGCAACCTAAGTATGACCTCTTTTTCGAGCTCCAGATAGAAGTTGAATCGTGTAGGCACGCGATCCACGCCGGGCGGAAGTTTCCGTGCGGGCGTCGCATCCTTGCATAGGCCTGGGAAGAAGACCCTCTGGATTTCAGCCCGTTGCCTGTCCGCCCAAGGGCCGTAGTTGATTGTGCCCCCTTTTAAGGATAGGCTAATCGCCCAGGCGGGTGCTGTCGTCCCATTGATTTCGTCTAGCGGATCGTCACCAGGTGCGAGTGGGCGCAACGCGGCATGCGATGCGACTTTTCCGGGAACGTCCCAGAGTATGGTCAATACAGCCTCGGGGCTGTCAACCACTGTGTTTACAGCGGCGTACTCGACCGACGACCATCTAAGCTTGTCATCGCCGTCGTCGTTGAGATACCGAGAAAGTCCCTGCCATTGATTGGAGCCAGGCATGCGGGCTTCGGTAGGTTCCCCGCCATCCTGTGAATTCACCGAAAACGACTCAACCGATGACCTCCAATACGGAACTCTATTCCGAAACTGCTCGATGAATTTACGGCGCTGTCTCCGGAAGAATGGCCGGTGTTGGACGGGGCTGGAACCCAAGGCTGCCTGCTTGTCCTTGGCTGCCTTAGCAAGTTGCTCATCCTTGTAACCACCATTCTCCTTCATCTCGAGCACCAGGTTGTCGAAGCGAATTTTGAAGAGTTGCCTGTAGGGATCGGGGGTTCGGCAATCGGTTGCGTCAACTTCTCCGGACAGTGATCGAGTTTTCACAATAAGAACCGATTTCGTATTCTCGTTACCCATAACAAGAGCCGCCTTGTCACATTTATAGTGTATCGGGAAGAGCTGCAGCATCAGCGGAAGCTCCTCCTTCCCGGCCGCCTCACGGCCACTATTAGGAGGATGGGCAGGGACGAAGGCGCCGGGTTGGTGGCTCCCGAGATTATCCTTCTCGTGATGTACGTGCAAACCGGACCCCTTTAGATCTTCGGGTTTGTCGTGGGATTTATTTAGCCGCTGTCGCGATTTCGTCGGGCTGCTTGTTGGTTCTTCGGCTCTATACGGGTTGCCGGCGCTGCTCGGCCGAGGGCGCTCGATCATCGCATCGAGAATAGAATCGTACGCAGCGCTGCGGTTGTATACAAACCATTCTAGTCCAGACACGACCACGTTGACACGACAGGGGAGCTCCGATCGTTTATTGGAATCTGATATGTTTCCATCTTCACCAGTCTTTGGACCGGGGTCTTTTCCCCCCTCGCCAAATCCGACACTGCGTACCCTCCGTGACCAATACGCCCAGGTGATGTGCCCATTCTGTATGAGTATAGACTCATTATTCCCGTGGTACCGGAAGCCGGCAAAGAATAGACGACCTCCAAGCAAGGATAACTGCAGGGCTTGTATATCGATATAGACGCGGTACTGGTGCCAGGTGTATGCGCGGATGATGTACGAGACGATAGAGGCAAATATGCGGTTGAAGTATAGCAGGAAGAAGACGGCGCTGACGACATGTTAGGCCTGTGGAAAAGAGACCGACGAGGGTGGCAGGAGGGAGGAGCGGCTCACAGGACTCCACAGACTATGATATAAGCCAGGAATTGGCTTGGTCTGGTTAGTTGTGATGTGTGGATGGTGGTGAATCTTCCGGCTTACGCATTGAAGTCATGCCAGCCAGGCAAGATGTTGTTGGCCATGATAACTCTCGCAAAGCTCCCCTCGCCTCTTCGAGATCCCCCCTACGATCCGTCGCGTGTAGCTTGGGTCCGCAGTCCCCTATCCCCTACTTGACCGCGCTGACACCACGAGGCATTGAATCCCATGTCATAGGTGTCGGTTAAATCGCGTAATTTCCCTGGGAGAGCATCACTTGTTCGTATCGGACTGGTGTCGTCTGTGTTATGCTGAATCTGAGAGGAGAGAAGGTAATGAAGCCGCGAAGTTTAGCTGCCGAATACACCAATTGATTCCGATTCTGGGGATGCCTGCCAAGCAGGTTACGTACGGTAGTATCTAAGGAGGTACGGAGTACTGTCTTTGAAGGTTAGGTCATCGTACCTGCCTTATGGTACGTTATGTACGGACATCTGCATGGAGATCCATTACAGGTACCTAGTACCTATTCTTACCTGCTATAGGCCGGGGTCACATTGCGTCTGCTGTACTCCGTATAGGTACCTACTCATATACACCTACGTACCTTAGGTAGGTATGTGCATATAGGTATATATACATCGCATACTTGCCCAATACCTCAGGTACCCACCTACCTACCTAGGTACCTACCTGACCCACTGATGTCCACTAGAGGTACATAATCTTGTGGCACTCATCCAGAATGATAAGATAAAGGACCCTAATTAGGGTGATTTATTCGCAGTACTAGCACGTACCCCTAATTGGCCGGAACATGTCTAGGTACCTTAGATACCTCCTAGGTGCCTATAAGGCATTGCTTCATATGACCATTAGGCACCTGATGTAGGCACCTCTTATGGTATGTAGGACCTCCTCCAATAAGGTTGTCGACGTTGATCAAATACGTACCTCCTAGGTAATACCCGTAGGCACCTAAAACATCACTCCCATCCCGTCTCTCCAGTCAAAGCTCCCAAATCCTCCACTTCCAGCAACTCACGATACAGACAGACGTTTGGGTACACAACTACGGCACCACTACCCCCGGGTGTCTTCTCATCGTCATCGTCTACGCATCACCCATTCCACCCATCTCCCTACCTGCAACCCGCCATCTCTCTCCCAGCCATGCCTCTCTTGACCTTCTTCTCCCCGGCATAGTCAGAAATACCCAGGTCGCCTTTGGTGCTATCTCATCGTCAACCCGAGAAAATGGTCAGCGGCACCGGCCAGAAGTTCACCACTGCCACCACGGTGATTGCTGGTGTCTTCTCTCTATCAGCAACTTTGGTGTCTATCGTGTAAGCTCGATCTCCCTTCCCATCTATCTTGGCCTGGAGCTGACGAGTACTAACTGGTCTACCTCTCGAACAGCTCGATATGGCTTCAATTGTACATATTACTGCCCGAGTCTCCTATCCTCTCCTGCAGCTGGTTAAACGTGCACACAGGAAGAACTACCGAAAGCCGCTCCTGCAGCGATATGTCGTGCGGATATTGTTGATGTGAGTGCCTGGCAACTTACCCTACTCCTCAGCCTCACTCCCTGATGTGATTAGGGTCCCCATCTATTCGATCAGCTCGTGGTCTAGCATGGTGTCCCGCACCGCCGCAGCGTTTCTGGCCCCCGTAAGGGATATCTACGAGGTATGCATACCACCCCGCCTCCGCGCTCTCATATTCGACCTAACTCTGCCTGCGAGGAAAAAAGGCGTTCACGATATATACCTTCTTTCAGCTTCTAATCAACTATCTCGATGGCGAACGAGCTCTTATAATCATGACCCACGGCCGTGCCCCGGTACATCACCTATGGCCCCTGAACCACGTCCTATCGAAAGTCGACATATCCGACCCGCATACCTTCTTAGCTATCAAACGAGGGATACTCCAATATGCCTGGCTTAAGCCTATTCTAGCTTTGGCCGCTATCATCATGAAGGCTACAGGCACTTACCAAGAGGGGTATATCGGCCTCACGTCAGGCTACCTCTGGAGTGGCATCATCTACAACATCAGTGTCACCGTCAGTCTATACTCCCTAGGCCTGTTCTGGGTCTGCATGCACCACGACTTGCAGCCCTACCGGCCCGTGCCAAAATTCTTGAGCATCAAGCTCATCATCTTCGCTTCCTATTGGCAAGGCTTCTTTCTCTCCATCCTGGTTTGGCTGGGCGCGATTCCGGACGACGTTCAGGGCTATACCTCGGACAATCTTGCAGCTGCCATCCAGGATGCCTTGATCTGCTGCGAGATGCCTGTCTTTGCCGTGGCCCACTGGTACGCTTTCTCATGGCACGATTACGCCGACAATACCGTTTCTTCTGCCAGGTTACCCGTCAAATTTGCGATGAGGGATGCTTTCGGCATTGTTGACCTTATTGAAGACTCTAAACAGACCTTTAGGGGCGATCAGTATAGCTATAGGATATTTGACTCTAGTGGAAAAGTCATTGCACACGAAGACTCGAGTTCCCGATTCGCCAGACTAAAAGATGGGATGAGGTATATGCGAGGGGGTGAAGCTAAATATTGGATTCCTAAACCCGGCGAGCTCAGGGGCGAAATGAGCGTGAATACGCCCCTTTTAGGCTCAAGCGGGGGGCCCAGTGGTACGAACAACCCACGGCCTAACTATGATCATGACCCTCTCAACGGTGTCGAATTAGACGCCGATGACGAAGCCATCTACCATAAAGCCCGAGAGCTGGAGTTCGGGGATTGGAATGTGAGTTCAGAGGTCAATTTTCTCGCTGCCGCAGGCGCTGACACAACTCACCAGTATCCTGTAATCACAGCCAATGTCCCGTCGAGGGATCTCTGGACCTCCGGGACTCCGGCTGTGTACCAGTCGAGCACCGGAGCCTGGCACGCATCCCGGTCCCGCTCGTCTCAAAGTATAAGCAATAAGCCGATAACAAAACCGGCACCCAGTGCGCAGACCGTCATCAGCAAGAAAAAGAAAGGCAAACAAAAGCAGTCGAAATCCGCACCCAAACGCCCCCCTGAACCCGCGGTTGTCGCCGCGCAAGAGTCGCAGTCTCAGGGCCCACTCGGCCCCCCCGTGCTCACGACGTCCGATCCCCATATCCTAGAGCAGGAGGCCGAGGAAGAGGATCCCAACTTTAGGATAGGTGACGCGACCCCAGACAAGACCACTCCCGGAGTGCAGGCGGAAGACAGAAGCGGCGGAGATGGGCCGTGGGGCGGCGCGGAGGTGGAGCAAGAAGGTACCAGGAGTCCATTCTTCAGCGCCGGGAACGAGGATGAGTTCCGGAACGTTTGGGGCGGCGACCGCTAGTGATTTTTTTTCTCTCTTCCCTGATTCCCCCCTGGAGGTTGATTGGTCGAATTTGAATTTGAGATTCTTTTTTTGTTTTGGCGATATATTCTTAGATACCCCTGGGACTCGCATACGGCCTTTCTTGCATCTAGAGGGGGGGTAGCATTGGTGGTAATAGTAAAAAGAGTGAGAGAAGACGAAGGAAAACATAGCATAATATTTAGAGCTAGCAGTCGTTCTCGAAAACCGTGCTTGTTAAGTGCGCAGCCATCTGGGAGAGGGGGTCTAAGCATCTCGTGTTAGACATATTACGGGTTCGATAATAGACACGTTAACCCAACCGCCATAACGCCAAGCTCTAGGGCGTAGCGATTCTTTTCTAAGTCGAGCGTGGACCGACCTATAATACGCGAAGTGATCCAACTTCGCGTCGTCTATATATATACCCATGTGTATAGGTTTGTGTAGAGGTAAGTGTATATACATCTATCTACTCCGCTGATTCGCGAACCCGAGAGAAGGCCGCGCAATCCATTCACGTCCACTGCAGGAAGGAAAAGAACATGGCGACGTATGCATATATCCGAAACCGGTCGCCTCTTCCGTCTCCCTCGCGTTTTATCCACCGAGCATGTCCGCTGCCCGTAGGGAGTCCATCATCCGCCGTGTCCAAGCTCGGGGGCTCCGTGTCCTCCGAGCTTGGGGGCTCCGTGGCCGGGCTCGGGGGCGGGGCGCCGGTCGCCCAGTCAGCGGGCTCGGGGCCGAGCACGAAGTGCATGGTGCCGCCGTTGGCGAAGACGTCCTCCCACGCGACCCACGCCTTGTCCCAGCTCTCGCCGTTGACGTCGAGCGACTGCACGTAGATGGCGTCCTCGGCGCCGCCCGCCGTCGTGATGACGAGCTTCTTGCCGTCGCCGAGGTCGATGGCCAGGTCGCGGAACCACGGCGACCCGATCAGGAACGTCGTCTGGCCCGTGATCGGGTACAGGCCGATGATCGACCACAGGACCCACGACTCCATGGCGCCGGCGTCCGAGTTGCCCGGCAGGCCCGCGGACGTCGGCGCGTAGTAGCTGCGGGCGACGTGGCGGCTGTGCTTGACGCTCAGGTCCTGTCGTCCGACGAAGTTGAATAGGTAGGGAGACGTGAAGCTCGGCTCGTTGCCCGGGTTGAAGAGGGTCCGGTTGAACTGCGAATTGCCAGAGCTCACGCCGCCCTCAAACAACTTCTCGAGCCGCGCGACGAAGCGATCGGAACTACCGCTAAGCTCAATCAACTTGTTCACGTCGTGGTGAGCATTGAACGAGTATTCGAACGGCAAACCCTGATAGTAGTGATCACCCCAGTAGCAACCTCCACAGCTGAGCGGGTCCTGATTGATGAAGTTGCCATCCTCGTCAATGGGGCCGAGGAAACCCATGAATCCCAACGCCTCCATGTTAGGGTTCCACTGGTTGCGCCAGTTGCGCGACCGGTTGAGATACTTCTCTGCTTCTTCGTCCTTTCCTAGCCCCTTCGCCACTTGGTAGAGACCGAAGTCATTCCCCGCGCTGGGTGGCTCATTAGTCTCAAGTCACCATCAACCTGCTAGGACTAGGTTACGGCTTACTATTCGATGGCTCGGCTCACCGAACGGCGGTACTTGGTGGTGATGAAGCCGCGGTCCTTCCAGTCGGGCAAGGCACCACGTCCCTCCTTCGTCGACGAGGACCTATCTCTCGGATCGTTGTTGTTCGGAGGTACCTCCTCAGCATCCGTGACCATAGCGGCGAATGCGTCTTCCCAGTTGATGGCGCCACGGACGCCCTTCACGTAAGCATCGGCAAGCACATTGTCCGCGTTAGAGCCACCTTGCGTAGCACCGTTGAAGAATGAGGACCTCCCGTCAGGCAGGAAACCATCGTGTCTCCAGATGTCGACGAGAGAGCGGACGAATTCTTCGTAGACTACGGGTTGCAAGATATGCATTAGAGCCGTTGTGCATCTGAACTATATCACGTTAGATTACGGATACCGCGATCTTCGGAGCCATTTAACCTACCAGATCCCAAAACGTGAAGATATCGTCGTAATAAGGCTCGTCTGACGACCATAACGGGTTCTCTCCGGTCTTGTTGGTGGGGATGAGGGTCATGTGATACAAGGATGAGTAGAGGAGTTGTAGCTTCGTGGTGTTCGACGTGTCTGTCGTGGTGATCTTCGACAGCACCTGACTATTCCAGGCGGACTTCACATTGTCCTCTAGAGTTTCGAGGGGAGTTCCTGCGGGGATCTCCCTGTCTACGTTTTCGCACGCCTGCTCGGGCGAGATGAAGGACACTCCCACTCTTGAGGTGACTGCTGTGCTGTTGAAAGTGAAAATAGCTCCTAGTCGAGCCTCGGACTCCTGTGTGGTCGCATCGCCATATTCGTCCAGATCCTCGCCAGTGGCACCTTTCCCGAGGAATGTTTTGAACGTTGCCGGCCGGTCGAAATATCCACAGAAATGTACCGTCCATTTCGGCGCCCGGTTCCAGCCCTACCTAGCGTTAGCAACTGTATTCAACAAACCTCCTCGGCCAGCATCCATAAAACGTACGTTGTCATAAGATCCTGACCCCTGGTAGCGGAAGCCAGCATCTGTTGCAGCCACTGAGATATTGCCGCCCAAGTAGTTTTGGCCCAGGCCCTGGCCTCTGTAGGACGGAAGAACGTGAGAGACGTCAACGATGACATTTGCGGCGCCGGCGTCTTCCGGGAATTGGTATCTATACAAGCCGGCTTTGGTTGTCGCTCCCAGTTCGATGGTAATGCCATTAAACATGTTTGACTTGTAGTAGCCTAGTCGTATGTCGTCGGCCTTGCTTCGGTTGACCCCCTGGTCGGTTAAGGGGTTGTCGACGGAGCCGAGGACGGGCATTTGCGCAACGACTCCATATTTAGGGGCGCCTCCGGTGCCGCTCTCGTGCAGAAGGCTGAAGCCGATGAATTTGCCGGTCGGCTGGTACCCGGAGTAGCTATCGGATCCGGTATACAAATCGGGACCTAGCTTCACCACTCCGAACGGCAAACTGACGCCGGGGAACGTGTTGCCTCCGTTGATAGCGCCGGTCTTGTGCGATGAGAGAGATGTCAGTCCGATTACGCGCGAAATCCATCTCAGAAGGCCCCATCACATACATCTGGCAACACAAAATGGCTCAGATCCTGAGCTTGAACAAGCGACAGGCCTAGCGATAGACCGAGCTGGGCCGAGGCACGCATCGTGACGGGATTTCGAAGCTAAAATTGCCCAGACTAGTCGATGCTGAACACCAACTATCCGGCCTCGACAGAAGGATTAAAGAAACGAGCGTGCCCCTTAGTTATATAACGATAGATTTAGCGAGTGCCCCAGAAAAGAAGGTCTCATTTGGGGAAAAGGCATATTGGAATGCTGATGCAGATAGATGAACAACGGACGGCTACACGCGACGACATAATATTGCATTAACCCCGGACCTACCTAGTTAGGCATCTATTTCTAGCCGTATGAGAAGGCGTATCTAAGCCACGATGCTCGAATCCTACGACCTGGTATCTGGGTAGCCGACCGGCTTGCATATTCTGCGGAGCGGGCGACCAGGACCTGCCGCTGCGACGTGGACTGATTTGGTGGGAAGCCCTGCAAGAATCATAAAAGCGCCGTCGCTAGTGGAGCTATGTAGACAGGGCGCAGTGTCGATCGCAACCTGGGAAGAGCCCTGGAGAAGATGAAATTTGACGCCTCGACGTCAGGCAGCTCCAGTTTCGCGAGCACAGAGATATTTGGATGCACATGTACGGTAAGCAGGTGCTGGACTGGGAATGGGCGTATCGATCTCACGGCCGGGCGAGGACGGGAAAGTTCGAATGATCCGTCCGATGGAAGGGAGACCATGACGACGACCTCGGCCGGGGCCATTGTGGGCCGTTCCTAGCCGGGCGTGCCGGAGCTCTAAGCGACCATGATGCCGGTCTTCGGCGGCACGTGTTGGATCTCGTTGGTATTCCTTGACCTGTCTTCGGGAATGGCTCTCCCGACTTCCGTTGGCCTTGCAAGGCGAGCTGCGGTAACTTGCGAGCCCAGACACGACTAGATAAAAGACGTGACGGATTATGGAGTCTTCCAAGCTCTCGAATGGGCAGGTCTTACCAGCCCTATCTGAGAGGGTGCGAGACGTTTACCAATCAAGACTGTGGCCGCGTCCAGGTGCGTAGACGTCTCCCGGGTCGGTTTCCCGCATCAGGCAATTTGCACCATAGCCAATGTTGAGTTTCGAGGAAGCTATGGCGAAGCTAATGCTACGTGCGTGGAAGGCCTTTTCTCTTTCGAGGCTGAAGCAACCTAGTTCTGCTGCAACCGTCTGAGGTCTAAACGGAAACGGATATCACGGACAGACAGAGGTGCTAGCGAGAGTCCAGGGGGGTTAAGAGAGGGGATAATAAGGATGACGGGTCCCTTCGCTTGGGGTCGATACCAGGGCACGGGCACGTGTGTGCTCGTGTGCTCTTTGTGTTGCTCGTGTGTGCGCATGTGTATGTAGCTTAGGCAGACAGATGGGTAAAATGAAAAGGGGGTAAGAGGGGTGTTTTACCATGATGGAAGTCGACCATTACCTAATCCACCAGGTGGGCACCTGACCTAACTAAGGTTTGCATGTATCTAGGAGATACCTGTACACAGGGTTGAAAAAAAAGTTTAAGTTTTTAAGTTAAGTTAAGTTAAGTTAGGTTAACTTTTTTAAAAAAAAATAAGTTTTTTTTTAAGTTTTTTTAAGTTAAGTTTAAGTTAAGTTTCAATAAAACTTAACTTAAAAACTTTTTTTGCAACCCTACCTGTACGTACCTATATAAGTACCTACTACCTAAGGTACCTAACCTCTTAAGCGGCACCTCGGCAGGGATCGATCATTATGGAAGGCATGCAGGCACCGGATTGTGACTGACCGCCTTACGTATGTACGTTTGGTACCCACATATACAGAGCAGGGCAGGCTCCAACCTTCCCCATCCGCGACAGCTGTCAGCTGCCCGATACCAGCTGAGACCGGCTGCATGTACATAGTCCACACATGTACCTAGGTAATTAAGGGAGGCTCCAATCCCACCCCCTTAGCTAAAACCCGCCGCTGGCTCCTAAATCCCTTTCCGCACACCTCCATTTCATAGGTCGGTACCTAGGTACCTAGGTATCCTCCGAAACCCCTACTTCCCTCCCCTTCCTGTGGGCTGTCCCGCTTGCCTTAGGTACCCGCCTCCTCACCTACCGGCCAGGTACCTGACCTAAGCTCCGGTGGTTTAGGTAAGTTGGGTGCAGGTCAGCTCGGTCCGATGGATTTCTCCATGTGGTCAAACTCGAGACTCACCGCATTCAAGATTCTGCCAGCTTTATTCTCTACCTACCTTTCTTGCCTGCCATCTTACATCAGTATCGTCAGCATCGCCAATCTCAGCAACGGCCGACAAGATGGGCCGCAAGCCCAATGCCTTGATCCTCGAGTTCTTTGAACGCGGAGCCAAGCTGAACGACAATAGCAATAGATACCGCCATCGTTGCAAGGCCTGTGGCGAGGACTTCCCCAAGGGTCGCATCGACAGCTTGACAGCTCACTTGACTAAGAAATGCCCAGCTATTTCCGAGACCGATAGGATCAATGCTTGCCTTGCCCTTCACGGCTTCAACAATGCGTCTAGTCGCCACGGATTTGACGGTCTTGTGCACTCGAGTCCCAACACTGGTCCCACCGCCGCTGTTGTTCCCATGCCGGGTCCTACTGCTGCCGGTCCTGCTGCCGGTTCTGCCACCAACTCCCCCATCGCTCAGGCCCAGAATCCGATCTGGACTCCTCTCGAGACATTAGCCGAAGTCTCCCGCCAGATCGAGGCCAACGAGAAGCATGAAGACCCAATGCCCCCTGTACACGAGTCTGTAGACGAGACTATGCAGACAAGTCTAGCTACTCCTGGTCCCGTCACTACCAATGCAACCCCGTCCGAACTCCACGAGCAGTTCACTCTGGAACACCCGCCCATGAACACAGAAAATGCCCCTCAGGATGTTGGTAAGGGCATCCCTCTCCCCCAACTATGGCATGAGTCGGAAGTCTTGCTAACTAAGAGTGTGGTTGCCAGACACGCCGCAGAACTCTCCCCAGAAGCTCACTGCAGAAGAGAGGTTGCAACGATTGTTGCAACATGCAGGCCCCGCCATCCCCGGGCAGTCTGCGCTATCTGTTGCTGCTGCTGCTGCGGCTCGCCTGAATCCGTCTCTTCTCGATCCGCAGCTTGATGACGAGCCGATCACTGAGCCTGCTTCTCAGTCCCAACCCCAGCCTCAGCCCGATTCAACCGACATGATGGTTGACTATCCTTCGCCTAAACCACCTGTGCCGGCCGAGCCTGCTACACCCTGGGATAGCATGGCATATATTCAGGACGGCATTTATGCACCTGCAACCGTCAACAGCCACAGTCAGCACTCTGCCCCAGTATTAAACAAGGGTGGCTTTCGTATGGACACAAGCAATGGTCCCAACGGCCCACGACACCGCCATGGCCGGGCAAGATTTGATTCCAGCAGACGAAAGGAGGTTCAAGAGGTTCGACGCATTGGAGCCTGCATCCGATGTCGCATTCTACGAAAGACATGCTCTAAGGGCACTCCGTGTGATACTTGCAAGAAGGTGTTATCCCCTCGTGTCTGGCGTACCGGGTGTGTCCGGACAAAACTCTCTGAGTACATCGATCTCTACTCGGCTGGCGTTCAGGTAGTCATGGCCCAGAAAAGGATAAATAACTACAAGACTACTCATCGGCTTAAGAACACAGGGATCCTGGTAGAGGCCTCCCACTTTCCCGATACTGCCTTTAAGGTTGTCTTCGAAGTCGTGCAAGGAGCTCCCAAAGAGGTGGAGAACGATCTCCCTAACGACAGCAATAATAATGGCCCTCAAAATCCGGGGCCGGTGATCTTACTCGATAACAACAAGGAGGATATCCCTAGCAAAGTTGAGCAGTACATGCGCCAAGTGCTCCCTGAATTGATCCGACGTGAACCATCCCACTATGTTCGCCTTACCTTAGAGGTGGCTGTCTCTGTGGTTAAGGACAACAATGACGAGCTGCTCCAGAGGTCTCTAGAACTTTGGGGAATTGTTGAGATGATGGACCGAGAGCGCCAGTGGACTATGCTTGCGAAGTCCCCCGAAGAAGGTGTTAAAGACTACTGGATTAGCGATGAGTCTGACAGCGAAGCCTACACCAATATATGCATGCAGCTCACTGCTGCTGCGGAGCGTAAAGCCTCCACTGCCAGCAAGAACCTACTGAACGGCATCCAGCGCAATCTACAAGATGGGAAGACAAAGCTCGGATTTCCCATGTTTCTCACTGTCATGCTTTTCCTCAACTGTATGGAGAAGACAACATGGGCGTTCAAAGCGTGGGACGAGGAGAACCTTCGTCCGAAATGGCCGTTGGAGAAGCCACCGAGCAACTTCACGAACCAAGGACAAGGGTTGACAGAGCTTTTGAGGATGCTGCTTGTCATCCGACACATCCTTCCTAAAACAACAGCTGCGCACCCAGATGCTCCGATTGTGGCCGACGAGGATGACCCTACGATCCAGGACTATTTCCGACATCTCAACATAACGCGTAAGTACCCTTTCAGTGTCATTCCCCATATCTACACACTGCTAACTCATTTCTCTATGCAGCTGCTTATTTGCGTGCGCGCCACGAACAAAATAATTTTCAACCAACCGACTCACGGTCGCTGGAATTCTTATTCTGTGCACCTCTCCTGCTTAATTAAGAGTTCTGTCTGCTTTACACCCACAACCTTACATAACATACCACATCCCTCCAGGATGCTTGTATAAACTCCTGGGGGCTTACGAGCCAGCTCTAGGCTGTTCTCTTAAAAAAACGGACCCGCAACCCCTTCCCAGTACTACTCTGAGATGGTGTTTACCTCCGCTCCTCCGGCCAGAGGAGCAAGTATAAAGATCGGCCAGAAGTACAAACATGGGCATGATTTACGATATAGATATTATACGAATGACGATAACAAGACTAATATGGTGTACTCCTGATACTCCGACCCCCCGATCACTGGTCATACATGCATCGGGGTTTCTCTTCTTTCCAGCATCGTCAGACAAGAACGGATAGAGAAAAGAAAGCTGCGTTGCAAGAACAGATGTCTCACGACACAAACAGAGAAATACGAAAAAGGAAAGAAAAAAACAGACAGTACGGTAGTCAAGAGACGGGATGAATGAACGGATGAAGGAGAAGTCATCTCTCTTTTTTCCACTTCGAATTAGTTCAAAAACGGAAGGGAACAGGTCAGAAGAACCCTGGCACGCATATCTCTCTGCTCTTGTCTTATAGATGTTGAAAAATATACCCCAATCCCCCTTTCGTGTAGACTATATACAACACAACACAAAATGTCATCAAAGTAACTTGATTAACCAGGCTGGTTGAACCCTAGTTCCTCCTCCCCTCGAATAAACAAAATAACCAAGAAATTCCGCCATGCAACTATCTGTATCTCGCGCTTGGCGGTCTAGTAGATATGATTCCAGGGGGCTTTCGAAGTCGCGTCGTGGCCTTGCAATCTGGTGGCTGAAGACAACTCCTGGATCGAAGCAGCAGCAGCGGCGGCGGCGGCAGTAGCACAACTAGGGTGATAAACAAGTATGCCTCGTCTACTTAGATCTGTACTGGTACCAGCCCATCTTAAGCAATTGCCAATATACATTTAGCATTCAGTCCTAGCACCCCAGTCTCCTAATTTCTACCATCACAGCCCCTACCTCCTAGTCTACAGTCGAATACAGGCATCTTAGCTCTCCCTCCCTCTCTCCCTCTCTCATCTTCCCTTCTCCACCTCTTTCCCGCTTTTCCATTCCCCTACCTCTATGCTTCTCGCCCCCTTCTTCCTCTAAACGCAGGGGGGGAAGGGGGGGGGTAGTTGGCTAGATTGTTTAGGTAGGCATATTGCCAAGGGCAATCACCCCCCTCTCCCTAACATCAACAATCCCTGTCCTTCTCCATTTTCATATCCGTCAAGCATTTCACTTGACGGAACGGTTGCTGACACGATAGCCATAATCAAGCGGCCCCGGCTACCGACCGCTGTAGTATAGCAGTATGTGCGGTCCCAGGGACTAAAACAGCTGAGCTAATGGCCGCGCCCCGGATGTCCGAGGCACCGTAGCCATCTAAGCCGGGGCCGGCGGCTGCTCGGGGGCGGGCTGGGACTGGGAAGAGCTCTGGTTCGGGCTGCGGCGCGGCCGCTTGAAGCAGGCGAACTCGTTCCTGGACTGCTCGCGGAGCTTCTTGAGCACTTCACGCATGCCGGGCAGCTCGTCCTGGAGGCGGGCGCGCGCCTGGCTGTCCGTCTTGGAGTCGAGCATGGTGTAGATCTCGCTCTGCGTCGCCGAGGCGCGCTCCGTCGTGTACTGGCTCAGCGTCTGCGCGAAGAACTCGACGTCGAGCGTCGCCTGCATCAGGGCCCCCAGGTCGAACCCGCTCGTCCGCGCCTTGAGCCCGTCTAGCAGCTCCCGGCTGATCTGCTCCAGCAGGTACGAGAGCACCTGGTGCGTCATGCTCGGCGCCGTCGTCGACACTTGTGTGTGTACCAGCACTAGCGTGAGCAGGGCCTCGTACACGTAAGGCTTAACCCCCGTAGGCTTGGGAGACGACCAGTCCGGGTCAGCGAGTCCGGCGCGGATGATCTTACGCAGACTTTCCAGCGAAGGCTTCGTATATGTCTGGAACAGCCTGGCGTCGATCTGACCAAGCACGTCCTTGATGAGCTTAGACTCGTCGGTAAGCTTAACAGAGAAGGCGTTCTCGAATTGGCCATTGAGACTAGGCACCACCTTGGTCCGCAACGCGTGAAGGTTTCCGAGGGTCAGGAGCATACGGACGTTCTGTATGGTTACCATGTCAGCGCTCAGGTTCAAAATGACTAGATGGCAACTCACCCTATCTCCTGCGTCGACAGTCCCAGGACCAGCAGCTAAAGACGCCTTCTCGCTCCCGGACCTCGCCGTCATGTCTACGTCGGTAGTCCATTCGTCGTCTGCCTTCTTAATGGAGCGTTCTGCATTCTCGACCATCCCACTGAACGTCTTATAGAGCGTTGTCATGTACTGGCCCCTCACTGTTTGTAGGAGCTTCGCTGGTGGTGGGAGGACAATATCCCCGGCACCTGGCTTAGCCATCGCCTCCGGAATGTAGAGGATCTTCTGCATACCCGAGAGCAACGCGGTTTCGAAGGCGGCGAAGCTGGCTGGCATTCGCGTAACGTCTCCCATATCTTTGGAACGCTTCCAGTCCTCGACGCACTTAACGCTCTCGGAATCTCTATTCCAAGCAGCACATAATGCTGTAGCCGCCCTGTCACGCGCGGCGCCTACCAACGTCTTGAGCATCTCCAGCTGCTTCCCGTCGTCTTGGCTCACGGGGGCAACGCTTGCCATTTCCGATGCGCCAGAACCGACCAGGTTGAGCATCTTTGCTAGATAATGGACGCCGCTGATCGAGTTGGACGTGGGCGGCCAAAAGGCAAACTTTTCCCAAGACTCGCCTTTCTTGGGCGATGGCGGGGGGAGGTTATTCGCATCGAAGTTGAAACGAGGATCTCTCCGGTTGGGAGGCAGCCCCGCTGACTTCGGCGTGCCGGGAGAGGGCGGTAGGGGCGAGAATAGAAGCGATATGTCTTCGGGGGGGGCGCCGACGAAGAACTCGAAAACGTGTGACCGTATCATATCAACTAGTTCGACCGTACCTTTTTGTAGATCGGTAGTCCCCTGCTGCGAAAGTTGATGGTGGTCCCGGGATTCGTCATTGTAACCTGTAGGCAACGACTTCTGGGCCTTTCCGTCGATAAACCCTTCGACAGTCTGCCAGAACTCGACTACTTCGCCTAGAATACCTTGCGCCGACAACAATGTTGACAGGAACGCCAGCATCTTTTCCCACAACTCGATGACCTCGGCGGAATCCAGCCCGGCGACTTTGTTCTCGACTGATTGGCGACCAAGGTTCCGCAGGTACGTGCCCATGGCCTGCGGCGGTGCTTTGTCGGCATTGGCAAGACGACGTCGGAGCACTTCGATTTCGACTTTAGCCCGCTCGCTCGTCGATGAGATTTTACCCTTAAGATAATCATATTTGCTCAGGAGCCAGACCCAGATCGGATTATCGTCCACGCCGAGTTCTAGCAACAGGCTGATCAATTCCACGTGCTGGTCTCGTGGCTGCCCGACCGAGGTCTCGGCTCGGGAGACGTTATGGAGCGAGGTGAGCCTCCTCCAAACATCGCGCTTGAAAAGCTGGATCTGCTCATCGACATCGTACCACATCCGTGCCGCGAGGACAATCTGGTACATCTCCGTCTCACTCGGCGGGGTCGAGTCGAACTCCTCAACGAGCCTACGTGTCTCGTCGGCAAACCTCCGGGCACGGACATACTCCTCCACCAACGCTTCGTAGTCCTTACGCCTTATGCTGTCGGCAATATTGGAGCTCGCCTCGATGTATTCCCTGAACCGGTCGAGGGAAGTCGATACGGTCTTGAGATTCTCCTCCTTCTCACGCCCGCCCAGCGCTGGGCCCCAAACGTCCTCCGCCTTTGCCGAGACATCGAGCAAAGGCGTCTTGATGCCCATGACCCCATAATCGCTCTCCTTGACAAGCGCGTTCTTCTTTCTAGTATCGTTGAGAAGAGGCGCCACCAGCGGGTTTGGCCCAAGAGCAGCCCCGCCACTGCTATTCCTGAAGCTGCTTTTGCTGGGATGCCGCGAGTGGCCGCGGCCGCGAGACGGAGATGGGGGCTCGGCGCCGCGATACTTCATCTCCTTGTAGACATTGTCAATGGTCGCCTTGGCTCGTACAAACCGCTCGAAGTTGGATTCGACCAGAACCTTCAGCGACGCCGACTTCTGGTCGATGGATTTCGACAGGATATCAAGCCCGTTCAGCAAGGAGTCGGTGTCGGCGGTAGCGTGCATCTGCGAGAGGAACAGGGCCGGGGAGAAGCTGGTAGAAGACAGGAGGAAGCGATTGCCTGCGAGGGCGGTAGTCAGCCAGGGTCACCACACACGCATATATGTATGTGTATATACACATATATAGGGTTCGTTTTCGTCTGACATACGTAGGCGGACATCATCTTGAACGGGCACTCCTAATTGCTTCAGGGATCTCACGACGCTATCCGATGTCCCCAACGGGTCGGGCTCGTCCCGCTGCACCAAGTTGCTCACCCCATTCGCCGACTTCTCGGACCCCTGGACGATGCTGGCCCTGTTGCTGACGGCGCGTTCGAGCGCTTGGTATCTCGATTTCCTGCGGTTTATCTTCTGCTTGGACAGCTCTTGCTCGCTATCGGAATTATCGCTCTTGTCTTTTTCGGCGGGCCATTCGGTAGGGAAGGGCGTCGATAGCTGGTAGAACTCCAGGACGTTTCGGTCGAAGTCAGCCATGGCTCGTCACTCGCGATGCCTCCTGGCAGTAACAGTGATGTGGCTATGCGCCAGTGTATCTACGGGCATCCCATCCATCAAGGTCGGGCCCTTGTGCTGGTAGCGCCAGCGTATTGCGTATTATGGGTATGTAGACCTTCCGCGATCAGGCATGTGAATCTCGTTGCGGGTTCATGATGATATCCTGGGTATATGGATCTGGCCAGCAGCTTAGGGGTTGCACGAGAAGGGGTTCAGGTAAGGCTGCGTCGCCCTGAATGCCCTTGGCTTGATGCGGTCAAGTGCAAGTTCCTTAGGTACCTACCTGCCTGTACCTCTGCGCACATACCCGTATGTATAAGATATTACGTAAGCATGGCAGCTCAGTTGGGTGGGTACTATTACCTTAGGCTAGGCACCTGCCTTGCCTTAGGTAAGTACCTTCTAAGCTATGTGCCTAGTCCTGCACAAGTGGACATTACGTAGATGAACCTGGTAGTGCCTACCGGCAAATCTGAAAAGGCTGCGGTGAAATTTTTTTGCGTCGGGTCCTGCGGCTCAAGCCCACCTAAGGCACATGTACACATAGGCAGGTGACAGGTGGGTGGGCCTGCCGGCCTCCGGACCTTGGATAAAGTACCTCAGGTAAGGTACCTGCCTGTGTGCTTGAGGCGGGAGGTACCTACGAGGCACGTACCCAGCAAGGTTGCTCTTCTTTTGTTATCAGATCGATGCAACGCATAAGTGCATCCCTACTAGATATGCATTTCTGAACATTTGACCCGTCTGTCCGTCCGACACCACCCGAGCTCGACAAAAAAAAAGTGCGGTTTCGCAAACCAATCCCACTCGTTCATACCCATCTACGCCTACAACAACTCTCTCTCCCTGCTGCGCCAGTATTTCTAATTTCCTCCTCTAGGCTTATAGAGAGAAAGGAGGGCTGCGACGATACCGTCATATCCTCTATAATGCTAACCATCCGAGCGGTCGCCGCACCCCTCCGGTGCCAATGCCTTGGTTCTGCTACCCCTCGAGCCGCTGCCCGTCTCGCGTTCCAGGTGGGTGCAGACCTCTCAAGCCATGCTGGCCTTGTTGTACGGCAGCGCGATGCAGTCGCTAACCAGCCACCGGACTCTAGGGTCAGAGGTTTTACTCTAACAAAGTTGCCAAATTCACGGGAACCAAGAATGCCGAAGTACGTGTTGACGCCGTCCTTGTGACCTCTTCCCAGAAGCGAAATTCAACGCGAGGAAAATCACTCAAATCTAGCTATCACCTCGGGAGCACAAATATGATGCCACCTGGCAAATGTTGTGTAGAGTAAACCGACTGATCGCTAGGACTACAGGGCCGCTACCCCGTCAGCATCATCGAGGGTGACGGTATTGGGCCAGAGATCTCGCAGGCTGTGAAGGACATCTTCGCTGCCGCCAAGGTTAGTGGGATTCAGGCTCCCTCGAGCCAGTATTCTCGACGCTAAAGCTCCCCAGACCCCGATCGCCTGGGAACCGGTTAGCGTCAAGCCTATCATCAAAGACGGAAAGACAACATTCCCCCCCGAGACCATTGAGAGCATCCAGAGGAACAAAGTCGCCCTCAAGGGCCCTCTTGCTGTAAGTTGCTACTCCCTCCTTGTATACATAAACATACATACACATAGACACGGGGACACGCAGATGCATAGCTATGCATACATGTACGGAATAACCCTAACTGGCTAATCGACGAACACTACAAGACCCCCGTCGGCGAAGGACACGTCTCCCTGAACCTGACCCTCCGCCGAACCTTCAACCTCTTTGCGAATCTACGCCCTTGCCGATCTGTGGCTGGATATGAGACGCCCTACAAGAACGTCGACACTGTCCTTATCCGAGAGAACACCGAGGGCGAATACTCGGGAATCGAGCACGTCGTTGTCGACGGCGTGGTACAGAGTATCAAGCTGATCACCCGCGAGGCCAGCGAGCGGGTTCTACGATTCGCCTTCCAGCACGCAGAGGAAATCGGGCGCAAGAAGGTCCGCGTTGTGCACAAGGCCACCATCATGAAGATGTCCGACGGCCTGTTCCTCAAGACGGCCCGGGACGTGGCTAAGGATTTCCCTAACATCGAATTCGACGCGGAGCTACTGGACAACACCTGCCTGAAGATGGTAACCGACCCCGTCCCGTATAACGACAAGGTCCTGGTGATGCCAAACCTATACGGTGATATCCTTTCAGATATGTGCGCCGGCCTTATCGGCGGCCTAGGCCTAACGCCCTCGGGAAACATCGGAGACGAGTGTTCCATATTTGAGGCCGTCCATGGATCGGCACCGGACATCGCCGGAAAGGGGCTGGCCAACCCCACGGCTCTACTCCTCAGCTCCATGATGCTGCTGCGGCACATGGGGCTGAACGAATATGCCAACAGAATCGAGAAGGCCACGTTCGATACCCTAGCTGAAGGAAAGTCGCTGACAGGCGACCTCGGCGGAAAGGCCAAGACCCACGAGTATGCCGCCGCTATCATTTCCAAGTTGTAGATACCACCTTACTATCCGTCACCACCGCCACCGCCACCATCATCCTCTTCCTCATCCGTGACGGCGTCCATTCGGTTCGTGAGAGAGGGCCGGGTCGTTTCGCTGTAGAGTGTACAGTACAACAACAATATCAAGAATAGCAATGCGATGACATTTGCACGATCCAAGTGTTGGGTCGAGGTCGGAGATTTGCGTTGGGTGGGGGGGAGCGGCGAATATTATAATGAAAGCTATGAAGTCATTTTCCTCCCTTTTCTTGCTACATACGTCGGATTAATATGTAGCAATAAATGGAGGACATTATGAGCCGTGTTTCTCGCTTTGGGACCCCTGTCTCCTTGGAGACCTCCGCCCGATATCGCTTCAGGTGTTGTCCCACCTGCGCGTGCAACGCTTTCAACAGTACTACGATCTGGGAAGAAAGCCGTGTGATCGGGTAGCACCGATGCTGTCTAAGATTGCATTGCATTCGTATACGGCTGAGCCCAAGGCCCTAGAACGCCACGATCCTGACGTTCTTCTCAATCGGAAAAGAAAGACGGGCAACACGAGGTACGTTCGTCATTTCTATGACGGTGGAAGACTTTTGTCTTGCTAGTCCCCAGAGCGACGCCACGGGCCTGGCCGAGGGCCTGGTCTGGAGCTAACGGGTGGAGGCTGGCGACCCTCCTCTGTTCTGCGGGTACTGCTAGATTATGCGAGCGCCGTCGGACGCCTAGGCTCTTCGAAGGATCCAGCATCTACGGCACTTTGTAGCTACGGTATACGCAGCGCTGGAACGCCATCGAAACTTAAATAGGAGAGCAGAGGCGGGCGAATAGGGGATAGAGATCAGGTCGTCCGGCGAGCCTCGGAAGCAAGATGAGGGGTCGATACGGCGCTTGAAGTACGGGCTGAAACAAGACAATTGGCAGATCAGCGAAGACGGTGAATATAGTAAGAGAGAAAGACAACGAGAGTATCTTTTTTTTTCCCCTAGTCCAATCGTCTAATGCGGGATTCCATGCCTAATCTCGAACAACCCGAGGCTCCCAAGTTGGCCCGTAACGTATCGGAATAACCTCCAGGTCACACGGACATTGTCGCTCTACACGAACGGATCGGTGTTTACGTAGACTCCGTTCCCCGACCCTGATGTCTCTTTTTCTCTCTCTTTCTCTCTTTCTCGCCCTCCCTTTACGTAGGTAGGTGCTCAGGCACAGATTAAAGGGGGGGTATACCTAATAGGTGGGATGTATTTTTGGAAGACCACCTGAATGCCACATGGCTCCCTGTCCTTAGAAAATTAACTTCTTCTACGTCGAGAAATCGGCCGCTTAGTTGCCGACGGTCAACTCCATCTGGCATACCGGTCATGGTGTGTATACTTAGTGTAAGTGATGCATACACACGTCTACACGCCCTAATACCCCACATCCCACATGGATCAGCAGAAGAGCTACTAGAGGTAGCTTTGTTTCGGGAATTATTGCTGTTGTTATCGCCACCATCAAGGCTAGCTGTTGCGTGACGAATCCCGCGAGAGAGAGATCTTTACCTAGGTCGAATCGATCCTGACGAGATGCGTAAGATGCGCACGATGCTGTCGTCTCCGATGGTGGCGGCATTAATAGATTATCCCTCAATTGTTTCAGGCGTGATGTAAGTCCACTGTCGACTAAGCCCTGCGAGCATTTAAAGAAAAGAAGTAAAAACGCCTCCCAAATAGAAATCGGCAACAGCACCGCCGACGTATCGACCTGGTGTCACGGCGACATCGATGAAACCACGAACACCGTGCCCGAAACCAAGTCGGCTCGACTACCAATACTTACTTTTAAGGCGGGGCGTTGCGAATTCCCCAGATGTAGGTACTGTGCGGTCAGGCGGAATGGAGAAGACAGCTTGCCATCTAACGTACCCCAACACGGCCGGGCTGCCGTGCAGGCGACATGTCTCTCAAGCACGTTTCCTTCCTCGATGGACATTCTTCCATCCCACAACAGGTGACGCAGCCCGGCGGAAAGTAGGGCTGGATGGAAGCAAGTAGGCGATGCAGGCCGCATATCACAATGTCTTAATTCTCGGGTTCTAGAAGCACCACCAGCGCGAGCCTCAGCTGCTAAAAGCGGCCTGCTGAAAGTACGACGGCATCCCACGGTTTTTGTCGCGGTGTGACGGCGGCTTGGCTATGACGTAGATGGGCGAGGCCCGGGCCATTGAACACGAGAGGATGGGTAGCAGTCGAGGCAATTAATTACTACTATGTGCGCCTCGAAGCCGGTCGAGGTTGTAGCGAGGCACTGTCATCGCAGCCGGGGAGGAAGACGAGTGGCTCACAGAAAAAAAGACCAGAACATTTCCGCAGCACAATACAACGCAACGCAACACAACACAACGCAACACAGGTACAACGCAGGTCGGGGAACGCTTAGGATCGATGCAATGGGGACGGAATGAATCGAGTTAGAATTCGCTCACCGAGTCTCGGGCGTTCGGTCTACGAGTTAGGCACGGCCAGCCGGCCAAGTCAGCCAGTCCTGGAGCATCAGTCAGCTTGCCAGTTGACGGCAATACCGCGGGAATAAAGGGGAGCCCCGCCGGGCACCTGGCTGCACCAGCACACAGTACTAATCTAGACAGCACTTGTAGAGTATATGGCGCTAGACCAAATATAGACTGGGGGCGCTTCATCTCATATGAGCACCCACTCGGCCAATCACCGAACGCCGGACGATCCGTTTGAGGAAGAGGGGTGGGAGGCTGCAAGAGAGTGTGCGGCCGGGGAGGAGGAGGGGGGTCTACATAGGTATATACCTATCGATTCTGTGTGACGTACCTATTGACGAGAGCCAAGGCTCAATTGAGATCATCCCGACCGTGGCTGACCTCCCTCTCCACACCACATCGCAACCGCACTACGCATGTGCATATATCCCCACCCTCGAACTGAGTGGCGGGAGAGGGTTAACGGGAAACCGACTCTCCGACATGCGGCCTGCCCCCCTCGCCCTTCATAGAGATTCCCCCGTTGGGGATGCGTACATGTCTGCCTACCTACCTACCTACTACTTAAGGCGTAGAGGGAAAGAGGGGGAAGCCACCGACTTATGCCCGCGCTTCGCTGACCTTCAATTCTTGCTGCTATCTTACGGAACCAGATTGGCGGACCAGCTTATACCAACAGAGGCTCACCGGGGCGAGACGCTCACATAACACCATTCGTGCGTTATGCGATGCGGGCGCGCGCGCGGGGGCGGAGAAGAAGGGGGGAGTGTATGTGCCAAGGGCGATCGAAGGGATCTCTCCATCGGATTGTAGAGGGAGCTGCACGTACCTACGTGGCGCGAAACCCGGGTGGTGCGTTTTTTGGGGGGTTTTTTTTTCCCTCGCGCAGCTTTCTAGAAGGAAGCATGGAATTCCGCACGGGGGACGAAGGACGTGCCGCCGGGTTCTGCCGCCGGCACCAACCTCCTGCTGTGGGTGCCTGCCAAGGCTAGTGCTTCGCGAGCGACCCCGCCGGCACGTCGCTCTGCGCGCTCTCCTCCTCTTGTCGCCAAACTGGGGGGGGCCTGGCCGAGAGGGAGAGGACCAGATAGACACCCGCCGGTTGTGTTATCGTGCGTTGCGAACGCTGCGTGTTAGGTACGGCGTAGCCACTCCTTCAGGTACCTGAGGTAAGGTATCCAACGTATGAGTATGAGTTTGTCCGCAGTAGGATGTAAGGAGAAATGTTGCCTACCCTATCTTGGAGGCGGGTACGTAGATAGAGGAGGTATATGGAGTATAGGTATGTACGTGCATAGAGGTGCGTAGGCGGTAGGCATATGCCTGCCGACGGGGTTGCTTACCTATGCTACCTATCTAGGTGCCTTCAGAGGCCCAGCATGAAACCGAACCAACCAACCAACCAACTTAGGCAACTAATCTACCAACCTACATACCTATCTAATACTTATCTATCTACCTACTCTGCTGGGTTCCGTGGATCCTTTCCTGCCTAGGTAGCTACTAACGAAAAAAGTAATAATAAATAAATAGATAAAAACGTCGGCCGGCGGAGAAGAGGAGACCACCCGGACGTTGGCATCGGCTATAGTTGGTCCGCAACTACGAGCGAGCGGGCGAGTTGCGCGAACGGGCGAATGAGCGAATTTAGCCTCGGAATCCCGTACCCAGTGGTACGTATAGGTACCCTACCTGCGTGCATTCATCTGCTGCACCATATAGTACAGGTGCGTGCTATTATCGCTCTCGCGTCCTCGCGTCCCCGAGGATTCGCATCTCCCTTTCCCTTTTCCTTCCTCCCGCCTCTGTTTTCTCTTCGGGTACTAAAAAAGTAAAAATAAAAATAAAAAGCTAAAAAGGAACGTTTTAAACAAAAAACCATCCCCTCTTTCTCCTCCCGTGCTCTTGTCGCCCCGGCCCGGGGCGGGCAGGGTGTGTGGACAGGCTACCCAAGCTCGGGCCTGTACCGACAGTAATCCTGCGGGTGGTGGATGATGGGAGAGGCGCGAGTGGGTGTACAGCTTCCACCACTGAAGCAAAAAACCCTTGGGCACACAATGTTGCACCATGCATAACCCTCACATATGGATGTCGCGTGACACTTCCGGCTACGCCCCCCCGTCTTGCCCACGGCGCGGTGAACGTTCTGGCGGAGGGGGGAAAAGGGAGGGAGGAGGAAGGGGAGGGGGAAGGGCAGGGGAGCATCAAGGCGGTCAGCCCATCTCGTCTGGCTGTCAGAAGGACCTGAGAGTTGTAACTATTCCGACTAATCGCTACCAAGTATGACGAATGTGCTTTGGGGGTGGGGCGCGGACAAGCGCAAGGATAGGTTAGGTATGTCCCGCCAGAGACAAGGGAGGGTGACCAGGGGGGGGGGGGTGCGATCCAAAGCCTGTATGTGGTGGCGTGTGTCTGGGGGTGAGGGGAGGAGACAGGCAGGCTAGGGAGCGCCCTTCGGAAACGCTTCCCACCCACGATCCCGACTTACACGTCAACTTAGTGCGCCGCAAAAGACGCAAGTGCCAACACCCGAGCGGAGCCTTGACAGAACGGCCCACAGGCGAGACGAGAGGGAGGTTTCCCGATGGGCTGGCTGGCTGGCTGGCTGGCTAGCTGGCCTGCGTCCTACTATACGTACACGGTAAACAAAATCACTCACGTAGCCGAACGTGGGCTTTATTACCTTTAGACCTGCGACCACTGGCACGCGGGCAGATGTAGATTAGGGGCCCCCGATCAAGATTTCTACGTACCGTCCTAGGTAGGTAGGTTTGCAGATGACACCAAAGTCCACGGAGTCGAGGGGAGACCCCGGCCCCTCCGGTCGTCTCATCAAAGGCCAACCTATATATAACCCACGCTCCCGTCGCCTCTACTACCGCCTTTGTCCCCCCTATTTCGAGTTGTCCATAACCAACCACTTCTTCGAGACAGGTCCATCTCCCCTCTACCACGCGGCCAAGGCCTTGCTAGTCTTCTAGACCCAGGTGCTCACCTACGTAGCTATACACTACCTACTACTGCCCTCTTCGTTGCCCTCTCCGGCAGACCCACATCTTCCCGGGGGATCCTCACGAGACCGGACTTTTTTTCGTTTTCATACACACGCTTACACTATCTTCGCACGCCGGCCTCCCGCCAACATGCCTTCGGTCGACCTCAAGCAGATCATCGAAACCAAGCCTCTCGGCTTCACCATCAAGACCGGCAACGGCCGGTGGAGGTGTCAGATCCACAGCGACAGAGCCGCATAGTGAGTGTACCCCCCTCCTTCCGACGCGGTCAGCCGGCAGTGCTGGCGTGCCTCAGGTACGCCTCTCGTTAGGTAACGGACTGAAGGCTAACGCATTGGCACCGCAGCGAGCGCTCGCGAACCGTAGCGACCCCGGGCATCTCCCGTTCCGATTCGGGCCTATCGACCTCGGTGGAATCGACGAGCTCGACCGAGTCGCTGTCGAGTTCTAGTTCCTCTGCCAAGTCCTCCGTGTCCCATTAAACGATGACAGCAAAGCGGAGCCCTTAATTAAGGATTTCTCACCCCCTTTCCCTTCGCTCTCTCGTCGTCGTCGGGGAAAATCATCCGTCCTTACTGTTGCTTCAGCTCGCTGCAGCTCTCCTTCCCCCCCACCCCACTCTTCCTCTAGAGCGGCGACAGATTTGGGCGCGAATTCCCCGAATGCTACCTCCCCTACCTAGCACATCGCTACACACTGTTGCAATTTCGTCTTTTCACGTTGGTACGAAGCATTTTTTGGGTTCGTTTCGAAGATCTATGCACTGGGCACCTGATGCGGCATTAATCAAGAAGCTGGAGCCGGGATCAGTCCAAGGAGAGGAATGGGGGAATGGGGGAAGCAGAGTGTGAGAGAGAGAGAGCAAAAAAACAAAAAACAAAAAAACGAAGGTTGTCACATCAGCTCGTGTCACCCCAATTTTAACAATACCCCTCATGACACAGGACGAGGAAGCCTGGGAGCGTGCAGGTGCAGGACGGGGTGGATGGCGGCGACCGGACTGAAGCTGGGGAAGACAAGTTAGTAGGTATGTAACGGAAGTTGACGTGAACTCTCCAGGGTCAGCTTCCCACCCCTGCGGGCCGTCATCACATGGAGGGAGGGAGAGAAACACGACAGAGGAGCGGATAAGAGGCGCGGAGCGTATTAAGGAAAAAAAAAAATTGAACACATTTTCCGTATCGCTATTGGAGTCTTCGCTGCGCACGTGAGGCATGTAATGCCCCGATCGTCGCCTCTGGGGCGGACGAATCGGAGGGCCCGGGATTGGGAGCAGAACGCGGCGTTTTGCTGCATGGCGCCCCGGGCTGGGCGACCGCCTGACTCTCCCCTCCCCTCCCCGCGTTGGACGGTGGGATCAGCAAGCGTCGTATTACTATTTGTTGCGGATGGACCAGATCGGCGAGGTTGCGGATGAGAAAGCATGTAGGTATTACTGTTCCGCCGTCTCGATTCTGGATTCGCGCAGATGCTACCACACACGTAGGTATAGATATACTTAGGTGTAGGTATATGTTCGCCCGACTCCGATCATCACGTAGGTATGCGTTTCGGTATTAAGGGGCAGAGAGTGCGCTACCGGCACGGCCCGTTTGTTCGCCCCGTGGTTTTGTGAATTCGCTCCTGTGGGCATGGCAGACGTATTCGCCCGTCCCAGCTATGAGTACCTATGATACGGGGCTTACGGGGAGCCGTAAACTACCCTCGTAGGTAAGACGGGCAAGCGAGGCTGCCCTTTCCATCCTCACCACCATTCCTGGTGATTACGCCGGCCCTCGTGCTCGTCCTGCTGAGGGAGCCAGGGGTTTCGAAGGCTGCATTGGTAAACTGTGGCCGGCGAAGGGACTCTCGCGTAGCGGAATATCTTGCTACCTGGGTTGGGGAAATTACCTACCTATACCTACCTGCCATTAGAAGAAGACATGCCATTACTCGTGATTATATACCTAGTGCTTAAAAGAAAGAGAGAGCGAGGAGATAACGCAAAGAAACATCAAACCTGCCCCCAAACTAGCATTGATAGCACCGTAGCCAACAACTCCATCCGATCCTCTCAATACCCCGGGCCGGGGGGGGGGGGGGAGTTCGTTTGCAGCCGTTGCTGCGGCGAGGCTGCTGCGGCTCTTCGAGGGCACGATGTCACAGTTGTATTGGTACCGGTTGGGAGTGCCGGGAAGAAGAGGAGGCCGTCTCTGTTGAGTTGTAGGTACCTCTACTTGCAGGACAGCAGGAGAGAACGTGCCTATATAACGGGAATATTGCGGATAGGGCTGTTGCTGCTGTCGAAACCTGACCAGCAGCGTTCCGCAAGTCACGGAGGTGATCGACTATTTGTAATGGTGTTGTCCATGTAGGGTTTCGGATGAGTATTTATATGGGTCTCGCACACATATTTTCACCATCTATCCTTCATTCCTTATCCATCATCCACTCTCGCCATACTCATAGATCGACAGATGGATATCCACTCTTTTGGTCGCCGTCCTTCGCTATGCATTCGTATTAGCCTTCTTCTTCTCAAGAGTTCTTCTTTCCCCCAGCTGCAAGTACAGATGGCCGGTCACAGGTACAGCTGCCACCCTGCCGTTACAGCTGTCTTATCCTATTGATCGGCACCTTAGCCAGTTGTTGGCAGCTGTGGCTGTTCCTATCCGCTCTACTCACTGCGTGCCCACGCTGTTTCTCTTCACCATGTAAGCGATGAGCGGGACCAAACGCCAAATGATAAAACGTAGGTAGGTAGACACCCACTTGAGTGGTTAACACGAAAGGAAGGGGGGAAGGCCGTGGTCCGTGATATTCGACAACTATCTACCTAATACGTGGCCCCAAAATGCACGATAATTCGTACCGAGGCATTGATACGGGCCGCCGATGGCCGGCGCCGTTCTGAATTCGCGATTACAGAATCTCAGCAGCGAGGACTCCTCGTCACAGCTGAATCCGGCGAGCTAAGAAACACAATAAAACGGCGCCCGTGAAAGATGCTCGCAGGGGGAAACGGGGTTCGCTGAATTGCCGCCGGGGGCTCGTGATATTACCATGCGACGGCCTGAGTAGTTGCAATGGACGCACTAATACACGTATATGTCCAGTGGAGAAAGAACGCAATTAAAGAAATGTTCCCCTTGGAAATGTGTACTTCTCCGTACCTGTATGTGAGCTTATGTAATTACGGGCCACTGAGCCGTTGCTTAAGGTACCTAGGTACGTAGTCGGTTCCGCGCCGAGCGTCTGTCCATTCTAGGTTCCCGGGCAACGAACTCACAGGCACAGACACATCTCAACACAACTCAGGTGACGAGGCTTTGATTTCCGGCCAATTTATTCTCCCAGTAGCTTTCTCGGAGCGGGAGTTACCCCTGGTTACCTTGTTATCTGTGTTTGCAAAGTAGACACCCAATATAATGAAGCTATGCTATCATGTGAGTACTCATACAGAACTGGCGAGGAGCTGGCTTCTTGCTCCTGCTCCATCGCAGATGTGGCTCCGGGATAAGTGGTGCGACGAGGCCCGTCCCAACAACGGCGCTGGATCGGATGTGGCTTCACTTGTCGCGCATATGTACATTGGTGTGGCCGACCCAGATTTCAAGGATCCGTAGTTCGCGGACGGATGTACCTGTTGGACAGCCTCGTGACTGTATACCAAGGGGCAGCTCTTCAAAGACACGGATCGAATCTTGCGCCGAGGGTATGCATTTATCGATCCACCATATAGGTACGTGCGTGTACCTGACCTATTACCTGTCTGCCTCCCTGCTTGCCTGGGTACACCTACCGTAGGTAGGTAGGTAGGTGTCAGGTAGGTACCTATGCATACCTACATCTAAGTATGGTGCCTTATCTTGTACCTACCCAACTAATCCCACCAGGCTCTGCGGGGCCCTGCATGCGGTAACCCCGCCGCTAAGACATGCGCGTACCTCCCATCGACTCTCGCCCATAACGAGGGGTTCGTGGGATGCTAGGTGGGACAGTGGCGTACCTAGGTACGTCTGGTAACTTGCCTGGAGAGATGGCGTGGCTAAATCGGGGGCGACCACCCAGCACGCCAGGTAAGGTTGTTAGGCAGACAGACGGTTCATCGTTCTTAAGGGGGCCCGGGGTCTACGCCATAGGCCTACGCGTATCCTCCCTCCTATCTATTCGTACCGTGGGTAGGTGTGGCCCGTGTGGGGAGGGGTTGGGGGGGGAGCATGTATGATGTATGTACATAGGGTGTGTATGCGCTGCATTACGCAATGCGGCGCTGAGCTGACTTGAGCCTTCACAGTAGGATTATCTCCTAACGGTACCCACCTAGGTACCCAGGCAGGCGGGCATACCTAGGTTTATGTAGTTGAAGGTTAATATTTGCGCAGGAAAGTACCTGATCTTACTGTCACGTCACCTCCAGCAATGTTAAGGTAGGCTGGCAGGGTAAAGTGCTGAGGTACTTCCTGCAAAACCCTGATCGAGAGAGTACGAGTAAAACATCCTCTCCGCACAGCCTGCAGGCGGCCCCGGCAAGCGGCGGCAGCGACGGCGGCAACGGCAACAGCTGCAGCCGCACCAGCAGTTGAGTTGGGTACGTACCTTACAAATGTAGACATAAGTACCTACCTACCTTCTGCCTACCTCCCAGTAGCAGCGCTTACAAGGAAGCATCGACCTCGAAGTGGCCGCGCATTGCCACAGACTGCGCTCCCCTCCTACCGTATGCGTATGCATGTACCTACATGTATACCTCTGCCTACCTCTCTCCGCTCCTCCATACGCATGGGCGTGTTGGTACATAACCGCCCTCCGCAACCGAAATCCCATCCGTTCTGTTCTCTTCCCTTTCCCTCTTATTTCCTTACCTACCATTTCATTCCACCTCATCCCATCCTCGAGGGACGCAATCCCCGTTTGCGAGGCCAACCAGCCGCCGACTCGCGAGCGTTGGTCTTCTTTTCTGTCGGCTTCCGTTGGGCTTTGCCATCATGCCTGTTCCCGTTGTCGCCAAGGGTAAGTAGACAAGTCAGAAACCAATTACCCCACGTCAATCACTCGAGCACTGCGGATCTGGGACTCCCAGGCACGTCTGGTCTTCCGGGGTGGCTCAGGTGGCGAAGACAGACGCACGCACTGGAGAACGAACCACGCAAGCCCTCTCTCTTCCTAGTCTTCTCCCCCAGACTGGATCCAGTTGCATTTCTCCCTCCTCCTTCCCGCCTCCCTCCCCCCCCCCCCAAGTCGTCGAGGATCAGGCACCACAGTCCTCATCGTCATCACCGTCAATAAAAACCAGCCTCGAGCCTGGAAGTCCTCATTCCCCCATCCGATACGGAGGCTGAAGCTAGCTACTACCCTTTCCCCCCATTCCGACTGTCACTGGCTCCTAGTGGGTTGCATCAGTTATCTGCCTATCTACGTTATCTTGGTTTGCCATACCTCGCCCACTACCACCAGGTAGCTCGGTGCTAGTTATATCGGCATTTTTGGATCATGCCGCCTATTAACCATGCTGCCATCTCAGTTGGTGTCGTCGCCATCTCGGTTGCTGTCGCAGCCGCCGTGGCCATCTACGAATCCCCCGAGCTGCAACGCATGGCCAACGACCTGCGACGTCGAATTGCCATCGCTCTCCACTCGCTTGGCGACAATATCAGCCCCGCAGAACGAGAGAACCTGTTCAATAGGCCCGAAGACGCCGAAGGATTTTTACGGTCTCGCGGCTTTGGGCCCGACGGCGAACCTGGCGTCGATGCCGATGACGAAACCCGCCGACGGCAGCGAGAAGAGTTGATGTACTGGAATGCGGTCCTCGAGAAGAAGAGAGGAACGCAACGCGGGAGCTCGGTGGAGCTAGATACCTTGCGTCCGCAAGGCACAAGTTTCGATGATTTCATGCGGCAAGATGCCGACGCTGAGAAGGGTACCTACGTTGTTCACACTGGATCGGAACACCACAACACCGAGGGTCTCGTCCGACGTCGTGGTGACGGAGCTCGGGGCTTGACGCAGTCTATCTACACAGATCCCTTTGCGGACGAGCACGGTATCGATGACGATATCGCTTTTGAGAATGGCTTGATGGACCCGGAAAAGGACGAGTTAGCGTCGGATATTTACAGCACTAGTACTGTACCGGGCAACGAGAACCAAACGCCCGAGACCGCTACCCTGGCCCCATCCCCCGTCCCTGCCGCCTCTCTGCTTGTCGATCTTGCCGGCCAGGCGGAAACCGCGCAACCCTCGGAACGGGAGCTGGGTCCGGACGAATACATGACCGCTGGGCAAGACGACCGCCACGATGCTTACAGCTCGATCCAGGCCTGGGCCCACGAGGCTTCCACTGCTGCCAGCTTCTACTCTCCCCTGCCAGAGTCGCCTGCGTCGCCCTTGTCAGAGGCCGAACTCGTCAGCGATGGTGTGCTGACGCCAACCGACTCTGCTTCACTAGCAGGTTCTGGCGAGGACATCGCCGACGAAGCTGCGTCTGCCAGATCTTGGAACCGTGGTCGGTCATTCGATGTGATGAGCGACGACGAGGGCATGGCGACCCCAGCGAGTTGGACCGAGGTCGGAAGTGTAGTAAGCGACAACGAGGACGGAGCAGTGCACGCATAGAAGGCTTATTAACCCCCCTCCCCCTCCCTTTTTACAATTCTCATTATCGATGATACCGCGAATTTGCAACGGCACGGCGTCTTGGAAGGGACTTAAAGTTATGGGCATCTCCAACAAATTAACCGGCTAGAGATGGGAGGGATGGGCAGGTACTGTTTAATAGTGCATTTTGATTTTGCGCTCCGAGGTAGAGAAAACAGAACAATGTTCTCTGATCTGTACCGTCTCACCATTACGTATTGAATAGGGTATCATCTATAGCTGTATCTCATCATGAACATAATAACATGCCGAAATATTCCAAATCCAACTTGCCGCCGGCTAGTGATTAGTCCTGTCCTGGCTTCTTGTCGTCGACCTCTAGTGTCTCCTTGTAGTCTTCGAACAACTGTGCCACTGGTGCCCCGAGGAGCTCGGTCCAGAAGGCTTCCTCGTCGTACTTATCCGTGCGCAGCTTCTCGTTCAGGCGGCGAACAGTGCCGTCGCCGAAGCGACGCTCAAGGTAGTCGAGGAAGTAGGCGGTGTGCTGGTAACCGGCGTCCCAGCTGGACGGGATATCGGTGGGGTGCCAGTGCGGGGGCACCAGGTCGGCACGGAGGCGGACCCAGTCGGCGACGCCCTCTATGAGGCCGCCGGGGGCGAGGCCGCGGCCGTTCCACTGGTAGCAATGGACGAGCTCGTGGGTCAGGACGCCGCGGATCTCGTCGGCGACGCGGGCGGCGTGGGAGGCGAGGGCGACGTAGCGCAGCGACAGGTGGATCTCCTTGTGGTGCAGGGGGTCGAGGTCGGTGCCGGTCGTGTAGGCGACGCCGTCGATGGCGCGGAGGAGGAGCGTCACGGAGAGGGTGGGCGGGACGTGGGGTCTCTTGGCCGCGGCTGAAGACGACGCGGAGCAGGAGGGGGAGGAGAAAGGGGCCCCCGTGTACAGGTGGGTATGCACGGCGCCGAGGCTGTCGCGCAGCAGCGAGACGGCGTTGACGCTGGACAGGAAGACGCGCGCGCCGTCGTGCGCGATGTCTTCGACGTGCAGCCGCAGGCGCGGGAGCACGAGGGGCGCGGCCGGAAGAGGAGGAGAAGAAGGGCGAGGAAGAGGAGGGCGGTCCTGCGGCCCGCCAGCCCGGCGCGACGTGCCAGGCGCCGGGACCGCCGTGGTTTGGGGCGCGAGGGGCATGGGCAGCCGAGGGACGCGTTCCTCCCGGGTATCGGAGTCCGCGGCGGATAGGGCGAGGCTTATGCTGAGGTTGGCAGCTCCGGCTAGAAGACCGTCGTGCTCCCCCCGGTTAGACATGGAATCGGGCGCCTGGCAGCCGTACCTGATCGAGGGTGGTGGGGATTTGTCGAAAGAGTTCCAATTGAGGGTGTGGCCTTTGCGCTATACGGGTTTCGAGGTGAGACAGAGTAGCGGAGGAGGAGGGTGGTGGGAGGAAGAGGGTGTGTGGAAGGAATCGTCGTAGGCGCCATACATAGTACACAGGATGGGTAGGCCTGGGGTGGATGTGGGTATGGTGGCCTAGACAGTCCCATAGGAAGGGGCAGGTATGATGTCTACTCGCTGCCCCTCCGTCCAGCATCCAGCATTATCGATATTCGGGGATATTTAGGGCGTTATCAGTTTTGCCGGGGCACTAATGGCATTGGAATTGTTGAGGTGCATTATGTACCTAGTAGATGTGGTAGATACCTACCTAGGTAGGTACTTACCTGCCCGGGCACCTACGTAGGTACCTATAAGTATAGGTATGTATGCAGTTGTACTATACAAGAGGTAGATACCCCACAGGGGCAACTGGCGAGAAGTGCCTTATCTAAGTAGCCTCATGCTCATTTAGAGAGTGAGGGAGAGTGGGGCATGGCGGTGCCACATGGTGGTGGTTGTTGTGGTGCAGGAACGGGGCGATGCGGGTTGGCTTATTTCCCTCATCAACAGTGCAACTTCGTATCAGTGTGTAGCTATGTCTCAACCGGGCATGTGCTGTTAGTGGGGGTAGTAGTACTAGGGTATCGTGATGTAGCTGCACCACTATATGTGTAGATGGAGATACCTTGAAGGTACTTGCTGGCGGCGCGGCCACTATCATCTTCCCCTAATGGCAACCACAGGAGCAGCAGCAGGAGCGCAGGTAGTAACAATAACAACAACAATAACAAGCAGACGCCCCCTTTGGTGGTTTCTGTAATATACCATACCAACCCTGCCTACGCACTGCCTACCTCTTCATGGCATAACAGCACACAGCACACAACACAACACAGAGACATCTCAGATCCATCCGTGCACTGTCTATACCTCATCCGACCTACGGAACGCATCGTCCCTCTTGTACATACCTACTTATTGTTCATCCACATCCACTCCTGGCCATCTGACATGATTTCTATCTGTCTGACCCTCATCCATCCACTTCCTCGGTGATTTGCTCCCTCAACCTTATACGCTGTCCAACGAAAAAAAGAAGAGAAGAGAAAAAGCCTCCCTACCACCTCTTGACGCACCTAGAACTTGCTAGACGTACCTGCGATACGGCTAGCATTGACTGGATTTGGAGTCGAGAGCGCAGACTTCGACGCGATAGACCGTATTGGGTCGATCTAGCTGCGAACCTCTCTGTGGAATCGAGTCAGGACAGTTGATATATCGATATTACACGATACCATCCAACGCAACACAACACAACAGAACCCACCACCCTCCAGTCCTATAGCCTCGCCCTGTTTTCCCTTACGCCAGCTGCTATTGTTGCGCCCCCTCTCGACCAGCCCGATTGCGACAGCCCCAACAGTTCTAGCTCTCTATACCCTTTTTTTTCCCCTCCCAAGCCTGTACAGGACCAGCGCCCCGATCCTAGAATCCTAGAATCGCCTTGACGATTGCGCCGCTAGAGCCTTCATCTCTTCTGGCGGGGGGTCAATCATGGCCGACATGCTCACCGATGAGCGGGTCGCCGGCCTGCTGGCGATCCTTAGGAAAGATGTGTCCGTCGACGCCAAAGTGCAGCAAGTCACAGCCGTTAAGTCCGCTATCAAGCACTATAGCGTACCTGACACATGCGTCGCGCCACTCTTCGAAGCCCTCCGCCTTGCCTCGAGCTCCCAGCACCTCGTCCTCATCAATGCCGGCTTCACCACCCTAAATCACCTCCTGACGCGCATGTCGCTCCAGGAGCCCAAGTACCTCGCCAAGGAAGCCAAGCATACGTTACCACTTATCGCCGACAAGATGGGCGACCAGAAGGACAAAATTAGGGCGTTGGCCATACAAGCCATGGCTACTATGTACGTCCACGTATCCTTGGATGCCGAGAGGTTCGTGCGCAATGCTGTCATGGCCGGCAAGAACCCAAGGGCGAAGGAGGCCGGTATGCAATGGCTATTGCAGGTACGTACGGCGCGCATCAGGCGGTGCGTCTTGGTGACTGTGCGATTAAGTATCACGCTGACATAACCTGCGGGTATAGATGCATAAGGAGAATGGCTTACAGTTCCGTGCCTACGTGCCGACGCTGATGGAATTACTCGAAGACTCCGATGGCATGGTCCGAGATGCTGCCAAGGGCACTGTGATAGAGCTGTTCAAGTCCGCAAAATCCCCCCCCTCCTCCCCCCCTTTTCGTTTTGTACGTGTCGGGTCTGGACTCTAACTTGGGCCATAGGGACGCCCCGAACGCGGCCAAATCGGATCTGAAGAAACAGTTGAAGAACTTCAAGGTCCGGCCCGCCATAGAGCAGGCTATCGTGAAGGAGCTGGCTCCGACTTCTACCAGGGCCGATCCGGATTCCCGGCCGGGCTCGGCGATGCAGTCGAGCTCCAACCTTGCCGCGAGCGTCGCCTCCCTTTCGAGCGACCGACCGATAACCCCCATGCCCGACGTCAAGGTAGAATCGGTCGAACCATCATACGTCAATACCAACCGAGAACTGGACGACATATTCAGGGACATGCAACCGTGGTTTGAAGGGAGGGAGAGCGAGCAGAACTGGCTCAAAAGAGAAGAGAGCATCACTAAGCTACGGAGGCTCAATGCCGGTAATGTGCCGTCGGATTTTCCGGACGCTTTCATCGCCGGCTGTCGGGCAATGCTGGACGGCATTATCAAAGCTATCACCTCCCTGCGGACCAGTTTATCCAAAGAAGGATGCGCTCTCGTCCAGGACATCGCCAACACCTTCGGCCCGGGCATCGACCCGATGGTCGAATTGCTCATGCAGACATTCATAAAACTGTGTGCGGCTACGAAAAAGATAGCCTCACAGTTGGCTAATACTGCGGTTGACACTCTCATCGGAAGAGCCACATATAATGCTAGGATCATGCAACACATATGGGGCGCTTGCCAGGACAAGAATGTGCAGCCGAGGTTGTACGCCACGGGCTGGTTGAAGACGTTGCTGAAAAAGGAGATGCATCATAAGAGCCATCTCGAGCACGGCGGAGGTCTGGATATGATCGAGAAGTGTATCAAGAAAGGTCTCAATGACGCGAACCCCGGCGTTCGTGAGAAGATGCGTTCGACGTACTGGGCATTTGCGGCGATTTGGCCGCCGAGAGCGGAAGCGTCAGTTTACTGTATTCCTTTCCCCTCGCGACTGTGTTAGCTCACTCCTTTGCAGAATCATGGATGGCCTCGAAGCTACGGCACAAAAGTTGTTACAAAAAGACCCCAACAATCCGAACTCGCCGAAGAAGTCCGAAGCAGCCCCGCGCCCAGGGTTGGGTCTTTCGAAGAGCACTATGGCCAGCTCGAAGCCTTCGTTAAGAGAGGCGATGCTGGCGCAGAAGAAAGCTCTGGCTACGAAGAACCTACCTTCTAGACCTGGGTCGGCGATGGCCACAGTGACGCCAGTGCGGGCAGTGTCCAACGGATCAGGATCGTCGGCTACGCATGCCGCTGCCCCCACAACCCGGACCCGTCCGGAAACTTCGACGAAATCGCACGGAGGTATGTCAGTGGCGCCGATGCGGCCAGCTCGGAGGAGACCAGATATCGCACCCAGGCCGGCAACTGCGGGGCCGTATTCGGGTAGAAACCATGACGGGCCGTCGGCGGAGCGAACGAGCCCTTCTGACAGTACCAAGTCCAAGGGCGTCACGCCAAAGACGATCTCAGGGTCTCCTAGGAGGACGGTACCGAGAACTAGACCTGGCCACATAGCTACCGCCAGCGAATCGAACATCCTAACCCCTTCGAAGCCGGCGACTAGTAAGACCATCGCCTCTCCGAAGAGTAGCCCGGCGAAGGCCAGCCCGGCAAAGGTCAACCGCGCTACAAATGGCGTCGCTTCTAGCAGCCCTTCCAACTCAAATGAGGAATTCACCCTCGTGGTGCCTACCATCGCGCAACTTAAAGACAGCTTGCAGCCGAATTCGCCCAAGCCGTCCCCCGGAGTGGCGGCGGTCGCGGAACGCGAGACGACAATAACGCCGTCAAAGTCTGTCGCCCCGACACCATCCAAATCACTACAAGTGTACGAAGATCCCTTTACCGAGGAGGATCAAGTTACACCTCGCCCGGCTACAGTTACTGTGATAGAGCGACCGGTGCTCGAAGACAAGCCGGTTAACGAAGATGCCGCCAATCTATCTCATGTCCTCGCAGAGCTGAATCAAGCCCCTGCCGGTCCGCCTAGCTCGCCCGACAAGAGCGGGCAGAATTCTCGCCTCATAGAAAGCGGCATCGCTCGGGTGAAGGCGCAAACCCTTGACGTGCACGGCTTCCGCAAACTGCAGTCTCTTCTTCGTGATACCAAGTTGCACCTAAGCGACGATAAATTCGATGCCCTCTTACTCGGCCTCTTCGACTACCTCGAGTCTCCCCTCGACAACCTGCCCCCCGAGAAAGTGCAAGATGTGAAGGCGCAGGTCCTTGCGACGCTCAAGGTGCTGCTCAAGAAGTCGCGCGACAGGTTCCAGCCCCACGTATCCCGCGGCCTCGAAGCCCTCCTTTCGGCGCGGACCCGCTACGACGCGCGCACGCACATCGTCAGCGGGCTCGAGCTGCTCGCCGACGAGTTCGTCGGGATCGGCGACGCGAGCGAGATTGCCGTAACCATGACGCGGAACCTGAGCGCTATGGACGTGGACCGGCCGACCGGCCACCGGAGCTTGAGCATGGGCCTACACGTGCTAAAGGAGCTGATGGAGGCGCCCCGGCGCTCGACGACGCCGCTATTTGCGCCAGGCGATGGCGAGATTGCGGCGCTGCTGGGCCTGGCGAGCCGCTGCCTCGAAAGCAAAGAGAGCGGCGTGCGCATGGACGCCGTGCAGCTATGCGTCGCGCTGCACGCGCACCTCGGCGAAGCCCGATTCTGGGACAGCATGCGTCACGTCAAGGAAGACCCCAAGAGTCTGATCACGTATTACATCGTCAAAAGACAGCGGGAGAACGGTGGACGCGTCTCGGGAGGAGCATCCAGTATCGGTAGTGCTGCTACTGCTTAGACTAAGGCGGCGACGAACAGTCTCCCCCCCCCCCCCCTACGTCTTTTCTCCCCGCGTGTTCTACTTGTTCTATTACGCGGATACGAGCTGGCTGTGCGGGTGTGTGTGTATTATCAATCGATACCCCGGTGAAGGAGATGGCATGAGAGCAAGAGCAACCATTCGCGTTTTGCCCTCGCCCAGTTTGTCATGGCTACCGCTCAAGCCTATAGGGGAAGGGGAGGGGGGGATGTATATGCAAGAGAGTAAGGCAAGGTAAGCGGAAGACGACAGGAGAAGAAGCCAACAAAAAAAACAAAAAAAAAACAAAGAGTGGGCTATACCGGCGTCTCGGGGCGATAAGGGAGTGGATTGCGGCCGAAGGCGAAGCACCAAAAAGGGGGGGGTGGATGGACGGACGGTAGGGAGTTACTTGCGGGCGGCACGGATCGAGGAAACAGGCACACATACCATACCATAATACCATCGTCTTTTCTCTTTCTTTTTTTTTTTTAAAAAAAAAAACCGTACACATCTTGTAATGAATAGTTTTGGCACTTCACACCACCGTGTTGGCAAAAAACAGGTGTTTGTGAGAACTCGTGGGAGAGGGAGCTCCTCTGGGGGTGGCGGTAGGGAGAGAGGGGGGAGAAAGGGGGGGTTGAGGGAGGGAAGACGGAGTGGGGCGGAGTCGAGAGAATATAGTAGGAACGAACGGCTGACGATACCTCTCCACGTTGGCTTGGTCGCCTGCTCGTTCGTGCTGTTGCGCGCTGCGGAGATGTACGTACGGCAGCACGTGTGTGTATTGTGTGTAGTCGTATTTACATAATACGTATTTATACACGTGCTTGTATGTTCGACTTGCGGGTTCTGTTCTTCTTTCGTCCCTGTGGTCGACAGAATATATATTCTCATACATTATCTACAGGTGTATACCCGCAACAACAATTTTCCTCGACTTTGCTTCTTCTCCATAGGGAGGTAAATAAATATCGGCCTGCCGACCTGGGCCTTCATCGCAAGTGCGCGTAAGCAACCCCGAGGTTGCCGCGGAGCCTAGCCTAGCGCAGTGGTGCTCACATAAGGTAGGTGGTCAATACGTGCGCGCGTTTAGAGCAGGTGTCAGGGCAGGCAGAGCTAGTGGCTGGCTGCGTCTTGATTATACAACAAGTAGTAGACGAGGAGAGGTCTTGCCCCACGATACCCGGGACGAGGGCGCCAAGGAGGATCGCTAGCTGCTGCTGATGATGGTAAACCACGCCGACGCCGTTTGTCCTGCAGCTAAAAGAATCGCGCCCGCTCGACGACCACAACCCAGAACTAAGCCCCCCAAGTCCGTAACGCGGCACAGCCAGGGGAAATGGGAGGGGAAGACTAGAGATCCAGCTAGTCCTGCGTTGCCCCAGACTCCCGGTTCGCTTGGCCCTGGACACCCAGCGATCGCAACCGCTGCGAGAGGAGACTCTCCGCCACGCCGGTATTTCCGTTAATCAGATTGGCGAACGCGTTGCCCCCATACCCCACGTCGCCTCGGCTCAGCTTGTCGTACCTGTCGATCTGGCCGTCTGCGCCGTCCCAGCTCAGCACGCCGCTCGAGTTCCGCGTGGTCGGCCGGCTAGTCTGCGAGGAATCTGGGGAGTGAATGTTAGCAGGGCCTGGATAGCCGCGTCTCCCCGTGACATCCCTCGTCCTGCCGTTCGATGCCCCGGGCGGGAGAGGCTCGGTTGGCACGTTGTCCCTGGAGAGGTTAGGGGGAAAAGACTGCTGGAGCCCAGTGCTCGAGGAGAATGCGCCCGCCGCATCGAAGACGTGGCCCGCGGCGCCAATATAAAGACCAGAACTGCGTCGTCTAAATGCCTTCTCGGCAGCTAGATTCGCGCCGGGGCCAGTGCCGCTCAAAATGGGAGGATGCATCGCTCTGATCGGTCTGTAGCTAGTGAACCTCGGCTCGGGTAGAGTAATTTCGTTGCGGAGCTTCTCCTTCCCGTCGGGCACCCGATTTGCGAAGACGACCCGGATACTTTTATAGAGATAATACCGGCTCCGCGAAGGGCAGCAGATGTGTAGGTGAATTAGGTACCTGAGAATCGGACGGCCTGCGATGCCGTCATCATTCGTCTCGGGCATGTTGTCGATGATCGGGCCAGCCGAGTAGCTTCGTTGGCGAATAAAGGTCTTCGTACCAGCCTCCATCCCTGCCAGGTCGTACGGGATCAGAAATAACTTGACGGCTGTCTTGTTGGGATTCTTGATAATGATCTGTATCTGCCCCTTTTCTGGGATACGGTAGCTGCCCCCGGGGGGCGCCTTGGGAGAACCTGACCTACGCTTGGGTCTCGGGGCTCTACGATGGTCGAACTCTGACGGCGCCACAGGACGATGGCCGCCTTCTATCGCATCGTCTCCTGTCGCGGCGCCCTCGGCGGCCCGGGAATGGGCCTTGCGCCTTGATCTCGCATCGTCTCCCGGATTCGGAAGGCCGTTCTCTAAATCAATCTGCCCGACGTATGGGCTGGGACCATCTTCTACTTTGAACAGGCCGTGGGAGGAGCTAGCATAACTATAGAATACGGCAGGAAAAGGCAACGTCACATGAGGCGGACACCGGAGGCTTGACTTGCACTTACCCAAGCCAAGGACACCAATCTGAGCCAAGAAATCGAGGGGTTTGGAGGGAGTGGTCGACATGCGCCCTCGTAAGATGCTCTCTTCGTACGACCCTACCATGGATGCATGTTGCAGCGGCGACATGTCCGAGCCAAATGATGGGCGCCTGGACCGCAGTAGCGCCGGGGATTGCGGCACAGGCATGCTTGTGGGAGGACTGGAGAAGTTGGGGGTGGAGGCGAGAGAGCGTCGGGGTTGATGTGCTTGATAAGGAAATGCTCGCTCTTGACGGAAAGGCATCATCGACTGACCTGGCGACGGGCTGTGCGGGAAGCCGTACCAGGCCAGACTAGACGGCATTGCCGTGTGTCGTCGCGAGCTAATAGAAAGACTCGGGCGAATGTCAATGTCATCCATAGGAGAGGCTAGGTCAACGTCCTCGTTGGTTTCTGACTGGACCAAGGGACTGGTGGGCGGCTTATAAACAAAACTCGAGGAAATGGACGAGGATAGCAGTGCATGGCTTGCCGGCGCCTCATCCGGTCTTCTTATCGCGTCTCGCTGCTTCTCGAATCGGAAGGGCGCGAAATCCCTCGGAGGCGAAGTGGCGAACCATGAGTGGCCGACATCGCCTAAGCCTGGCGGTCGCTGGCCGTCTCGTGCAGGGCAGGTATCCCCTAAGACTTGTTCGTCTTGGGTGAAGTCGCCACTGTGCAGAGCGGACCGCGGGCGCTCGATGCCCATGCCGTCTCGCCGTCTGGCCTCCTCGTCCGAGTCACCACCTCGCTTCTTCTCGGAGGCGATCGCGGCCGAGGGAAGCAGCATCGACGAGGCGGGAGACGAGCGCTTGGGACTCTGAGGAGGGGACGAAGGCTGCTCATCCCATATCGCCTCGGACTGATTGCCGGGCGTGGTGTTAGTGCTCTGGAGCGGACCCCGACCCTGTTCAAGAGAAGGTGGTTTACGAACATGGCGGCTTGGTCTCCAGGTCGGGCTCTCGCCTCTTTTCAGCCGCTCAATCAGTTCCGATCGATTAGAGCAAGGGGTTGAGAGGTCGCGTTCGGACGCTAGGGGACCCGGGCTATCCGCAAAACGGTCCTCGCGTAATTCGGTATTGATGTTCGCTTCTGGCTGTTGCTTCCTTAGGGAGTTCTCCTCTCGACAGTGGCCAGGTGCTGGCGCCATAGCCGGGTTCGAGGACTGTGCAGCGGACTCCCTCCGCCCTAAATCTTCGCGGAATATGGGCATGATACCTACAGTCGTGGCCGTAGGGGTCGTGACCGCTGGTCTCTATGGCTTCCACACAATGAATGGTCTTGCCTTACGAAGGGGATAGGCCCATACGGCAATTTAGCGACCGACCCGACTCGACCTGTTATGCAGGCCTCATTGACTCATAGAAATGGGGGGTTGGGTCGAAACGAATTGGTAAGTGTTCAGCTCTATGTATTGACCAAAGCTATGTTTTCAATACCTGTCTTATTGTGCTTATTATTGTTTTTTTCTCTTTCTCGCCTTGCACCCACGTTAAACTTGGAGGTGATAGAGGGGGAGAGAGGGAGAGAAGAGGAAGAAGAGGAAGAAGGGGGAAGAATGGGAGAGCAAATTCCCGAGAGAGAAAGAAGATGGATGGATGGTAGGTAGGTAGTTGAGGCCGTCGTAAGAGGAGAGTGGTGAGAAGGGAAGAATAAAGGAATTGGGATGGGTTGAAGCACGGAAGGTTCCTAGCGCCGCCTGAGGTTAGCAAATCTACCACTGCCCAGCGCAGTTCGGCAGCGTGATAATTAGCGCCCATTATGCCCAGGCCCATCCGGAGTTGTTGGTCTATGTACAGTAGGTACAATTTTTCATTTTCCTCTTGGGGACGAAATTGATCAAGACAAGGATGGGACAGAGCGACCGGTGACGTGGTTGCCAGCAAGAGTGGGAAGAGGTCATTTACATATAGGTACCTAAAAGGTTAGGTAGGTACCTACAGCAGGCAGTGCCTAACCTGGGCGAACTTAACCTTGAGTAGGCAAATGGCCACATGGCACTGGCGCCTGACCAGGTGGCATATGGTAGGTACCTCGGGTACTTGAGGTATGTACCTGTAATTAGGCAGGTTAATATACTATAGGAGGTACTTTATGAGGTACTTCTCTTTACTTGGATACCTGGGTACCTAGTTTTATGCATGCACATGTACGGCATCACTTTTATTGGGGGGTTTTTTTTCTTATCGATACCCTCTCGACTGCACCCATATCGCGGAACAGCCTCGATTCCTTTTCAACACCACATTTGCAACACGACTCGACTCGTCCTCATCCTGCTCCTAAGCTCGCCAATCATGGCGCCCAAACGACCCCTCGACTCCGACAGCGCAGAGGCTCCCGCCGCAAAGAAGCATCGAAAAGGCTTCCGCGTAGGCCCGCAGAACTTACCAGATGGTCCGTGGAAGAGAAAAGGTCGGTTAATCAACTTGAATGTACCTTAGTGATGTCCATGGGGTATAGGCATAACTAATCCGGGTCCTCCCTCCCTCCAGTGGATAAGATAAAGAAAAACCTCATCCACAAGGCGAAGGTGAAAAAGGCATACAAAAAGATAAAGGCCGCCGAATTAGCCTCCTCTTCTTCTTCCAAGCCCGAGCTTGCTGCCGCTGCCGAAGGCGCCGAGGAAGCCCCTTCGTCGGCACAAATTCACCCCGAAAGGCAGGCCATGCTAGGCGAGGACGACCAGCCAGATCCGTCCTCACTGCCCCCCGACGACGTCCGCAGTCCGCGTAAGCGGAGGGGGAAAGCACGCAAACCCGGGTATTTCGACAAGGCCCTGCTCAAGGCCGAGGTCAAGAAGGCCGAGGCGGAAGCCCGTGCCCAAGAAGCCGAGAAGAGGAAGGAGGAACGAAATCGCAAGAGCGCCGAACGCGAGAGGTTCAGGAAGGCCATGGCGAAGGCGCGGGCCCCCGGTCGAGACGGTCAACGCCGATTGGGCCGAGAGAGCGGATTGTTGCTTGAGAAAGTGAAGAAGTTGGTCGGAGAGGGAAACTGAAAGAGGCACTCATGCCTGGTAGCGACGTCGCGAGCCCTGCGCACCAAGGGCTACCCTACATTTGCAGCCGCCAAGATAACAATTTACCGTTCGTGGCTCTCTCGCCGTGCGTTGATCAAGCCAGATGGATATACGTCGGGGGGTTGGCCGAATACGATTCCCTAAAGGCTCACATGCAATAGGCTAGGGACGGCGCCGGTAATCTCCTTTCCCTCCCCACTGCGGCTACAAAGCAGGGTGCTGCAGGGCCTTCATCTGAAAATGATATCCTCCGGGATATGCAATTATATTAAATTGTGTATTCCTTATCCGGAAGCTCAGGCCTCAGTCGCGGCGTAGGGGCTGGAAGCTCATACGCCCATTCTAAATCCGGACCTGGCAGCTCCCCTCTCCCTATCCCGCTCATCTCCGCCGGCTCCGGTGTCGGCCCCAGCGTCGTCCCCGGCGTCACCGATCCGAATCGCGGCCAATCTTTTGGCCAAGGCTCCGGCCGGTACTCGTTTATCGCAGCGACCACGTCGCTAGGAACGGGGCTTTCCCGCCGTCGACGTTTCCTTAACACGGAGAACAGAATAGCGCCGATGGCAGCAAGCGCTACCGCTCCTCCCACGGCACTACCAACAATAGTGCTGGTGTTCGAGGTGCCTATGCCTGAGGTGTCTGTCGAGCGATCTGGCGGCATGGGCAGGCTGACGTCGGCTCCGCCATACGTGCTCGAACTGCTGTTGACAAATAGCTCCTTCATCTCAATATCATCCCATACCATCGTCGTCATACCTCCCAGTGCGTACCAGTCTGATACGACCGCCGGGCTCTGGTAGGCGGCTGCATTGGGATCGTACGAATTCACCCATCTCATATCGCTCATATCGAAGATGCCTAGGCCCCGTTTCCACGGATCAGGTGTTGTGACAGCAGAACGCAGCCTGGGTCCGCCGTCGATGCCTCCGACGCTCAACATTTGCCTTTTGCCATGGCCAATCACCGCGCAAGCGTGGTCGGCCCGTGGCGTGCCGGGATTCGGCCCTTTGAAGAAGACGAATCCGGGCAGGGAGAGCACATGCACATCTGCGGACGTATTCCCTGTTTGGTCCGACGCTCCGCCGTATATAAATCTAGCAAACGCGAATGAGTCCACCGTCCCTACGTCTGGGCCGATCCCAGCAAAGATTTCATTTTAGAGGGGGGGTGGATGAGAATCGCTCACATTTCATACGTGTTGTTAGGTCCGCGAACTCCTACGGTGCATGCGCGCTCCACCGTCGGGGGGCGCGTCCCCTTCGTCGCTTGGGTGTACCATTTCCCTGTTACCGGGTCGTGTAGCGTGAGCTTGTTCCAGCTGAGCTGCACGATGCTCTCCTCTGTCGCGTTGACGGGCGTTTCCGCTCCCCCGAGAAACAGCAGCAATCCATTCGGTCCGAAGGGCACGTATTCGGCACGACTGTTCAAACTCGTGCCGTATCCTCCGAATTCGAACGAAGATTGATTCGACCACATCCCGGTACGGAAGTTATACGAGACCAGGCCTGTCAAGGCGTAACCCGGGTACTCCTTCTGAACCGCTCCGTCGGTCTCGGATGTGACTTGACCGCCAAGCGCGTAGCCGACGTCGGCGCTCTGGGTAACGGCGGCTCCGATGGGGCGTCGGAGTTTTGAGAAATAGCGGTAGTCTAGCTGGGTTGCTTGGGACCAAGCTCCGCCGCCTGATATATCGGCGTTGAATCTCCAGAGCTCGTTCGTCGGAGGAGACTGGTCAGGCTCAACCACCTTGCCACCCCAAGTGTAGAAGGTCCTGATGGAGGGATTCGACCAATACACTTGATCGCTTAGAAGCGGTGCGGTTTTCGGGATCGACTGGAATTCCACCGTTTCGTTCGCCCACGACTCCTTTAGGGTGAGAGAAAAGGTTGCGTTGACTGTTTCCCCCCCCTTTCATTAGTGAGCGCACTTTGAAGGCTGGGAATCTGGTTAAATATACCGGCGTATGAAGAATACTGGGTCGCGTTTGCTCCGGTGCCGTTGTTCTGCTGAAAATATTCGCCGCCGTCTATATAAACATAATCACCTAAAATTACAACTGGAGTTGGGCTGTTAGCGACGAGGTTGACCTTCTCTAGGGCGTTACATCTTGTCTAACCTGAGGGAGACCTGTGCCGGATGAAGTTCTGAGAGCTAGGTATATCGAGAGCGCGTCTGCTGAAGGTATTCGTATCGGCCAAGCTATTTCCCGTGTATCCCGAAATCGCGAGTAGAAGTACAAGAGGCGAGCATAGACCCTTCATTGGGACGACTTGACTTTAGGACGAAGAGTTGGGCATTATGAAGAGGTAGAGGTCGATGACAGCAGCTTGGGGGCCTCGGAGGATGCGAGAGCGGGATTCCTTCCTTCTCGAACAGCGAACGTTCATCGCAGTCGACCCCGTAACAGGCCGGAGCGGTTTTCACGTCTTGCCTTGCTGCTGGTGCTGCAGCCTTCTTGAACCCACGGGCAGGCTAGGTAGCTGGCTGGACTGACTGGCTGACCTACAGCTCGTTCGGCGTGAACTCTCGACGGAGGGACAAGGTCGCCACGAGGAAGACGGAAGGGGAGGTCGGCATAGACGCCAAAGGAATATAAAGTAAAATGAACCGACCGAACTTTACGAGCTCGTCGTGATGCAGGGGGGGGGTTGGGTCGGATCGAGACCCTTGCCAACGAGAGCACGGTACCGCAGGAATGCATCTCGATTCCTCCAGGTTCACCTTTCAGGAGGTAGGACGGACCAACGCCCCTTCGAAGCTAGCAGTACAAAAGTATATTGGTCCCCCTTCCCCTCCTCTCGACAGGGGTCTCGCTAGCCATCAGCCTTGCCCTGCGGTTATACTAAGGAAACGAGAGGACAACCACCCTTCGCGAGCTGTTCTATACGCAATATCGGGGCTGTACCATGACTTTTCCTGGCATAGGTTCACTCCGGGAGATTTGCCAGCGTCGAGATCTGGCGACGATTCGTATCTCTGCCCTCACGTTATCTGGATATATGCAGGTTGTCCAGAGCCCGAAACCCGCACACCAACACTCGTTGTCAGATCAAACGAAACGTCGCGGGGGCGAAAACAAGAAGACATAGCAGGCTGGCCACGCTGCTGCTGGGGTAGCAGATAGTCCTCTTTTGGGCTAGGGGTGCAGCCAGCTGGATCCTTCGGCACAGGATTCGATCGCTAACGAGGAGGACCTCCAATGACGATTATGCAGAACCATACAGCAGCCGACAAGGGTGCTCCAACGCCTTCCCTTCGAGGGGGGGGGGGGGGTTGGCGTACAGCAGGATACGTTAGGTAGGAAGGGCAGTAGGAAGGAGAATAGTGTAACTGGCGTGTACGCCGACGTAGGATTGTATGGCTCGGCCTCTCTCTCGTTTCTATCTGCCTGCGTACCTACATACCTACCTATCTACTCCCTATCTGCTCGCCTGTCTGGCTACTTGGTCCTACTCGGTATGCGGTAACCCACTGCGGAAGAGCTTGACCAATTCTGTTGGCGATGCTGCTGTGATGAGGCGGGTGTGCGAACACACACAATTCGACCTTCCTGCCTGTCTAGCTATGGTAGGCATGTGTGTAATATAGTCTCTCGCAGTCGGGTCAAAGAGGAAAGGGGAAGAGAGAGAGAGAGCTAGAAGGATGGGATCATTGGCACATACCTCGTTGCTAACGGAGGCGTGGATAAATTTAATCTAAGTTGATCCTGCTGCTGCGGCTTTCGGATGATGGTGAGTAGATCGATCAGCTGGGGGTGTGTGGTGTTCTGCTCAGGCAAAGCGCCTTACTGTTGATCCCTTGGCGTGGATGGCGATAATTCCCCGACTTGCCTATCTGAGCCTTACTACGCGAGGCTAAGCTACTTACTGACAGGCCGGGGGGCGATGCCACACGCTTGCTTGGTCTCTCTGGCTTGCTGTGCCGGATGAACGACGGGCACCAACGAACGAACGGTAAAGGGGAGGAGGAGGGGAGAGGAGGACCCAGACTCTACCCAGGTCCCAGGTATGGAGGCGTGGGTGGTGGGCACGTACCGATGTAAGTATGCAGGTTGACGTGCTTTAAATAGAAACAGTCCGGGATCTTGGGTTCTCCTCCCAGATCAGAACCAGAGGAAGAAGAGACGTCTGTGGGTTCGAATCGGCGAGGGCAGGCGAACCAACACTGCTTCGTCTTACAGAATTTGAGATGGTGACGATAGTAAACAATCAATACAAAAAAGAGGAAGAGAACGGGAAACGAAAACAAAAAAGGCTCGAATTGGTGTGTTTCCATACATACCCGGCCCATACCCACCTACCTCCAACCCCCGCCCTCTCTCCTCTTTTCCCTCACGTCCTCCTCCTCCTCCTCCTCTTTTCGGTGAGGGATCTCTCGGCTCTTAGATTAAAGAGACCAGCCAAGTCAATAACACGTTAATTAAAAAGGGCTACGCGACACGGGTAGAAGGACAAGGAGGCAAGCGTAGAGGCAGGCAGCAAGATGAGCAAGGGCGGAGAAGGGGGTGAGGGTTGATCGTGGTGAGAAAGGGACGGCGAATGCGGAAGGTGAGAATAGTGAAGGGGAAAAAACCAAGGCCTCTTCTCTCTTCCCTCTCTCTCTATCATTCCTCTACACATACCGATACACTTACATGCACTTGCGCGCATGCCTACCTACCTACCGTCTCCCCATCTCTCTCGACCTTTCTGTCTTCATTGCCCTGCCTTCTTCCTCTTCTTCTTTTCTTCTTCTTCTCCTACTTATTTTCGTTTGTTTACTTCTCCCTTTCCCGTCTGTAGAAAACGGCTCCTCTCCACCGTCGCTCACCCCGGGGCCTCGCCAGACGGGGCCCGGCTCCCAAACCCAGGTTCAGCTGCAGCACGTGGCGCGCTTGTTCCTGACGACGGGGCGACGTCCTTCCTAATTTTACCTGCGCAGGAGGACGCTAACAACTGGCGAGGGAGCGAGGAGCCGAGACGCCGTCCATCGCCGCGGCCCTTCTCGTGCTTCTTTCGCTCTTCCTCTTTTTTTCTCTCTCTTTCTTCCTTTGTCTCCCCCTTCTTCTGCAATCCGTGGGCTCGAGAGCGATCGGAAGTGCTTACGTAGGTATCGTCAGCTCTGATAATGCCAGGGCAGGGGGGACGGAAATATGTGTCCACACACACACACACACCATGCACATAGGGATATATATATATACCGCTAGGTTAAGACGCCGCCCCTCGAAAGCGGCACGGCCGCTCTCTTCTGTCTTAGCTACGCGAGCTAGCAGCCCGCGGCATCGCCTCCAGGCGTGTTCGCCGACGGGCCTGGGCGGCCGAAGCTATGCTATAATACGCCCTCCAGGCATCTATCCTATCCTATCCTCCTGCTGTACCTTACATTAGGGTCCAAGCCTCCCCGTGCCCATAGCTCCCGATCCTCGCGCCCAATTCCCATCCTCCTCCACCGGCGGCGAAAAAAAAAAAGAAAGAAAAAAAGTACCCGCCCTTTGCGAGCCACGGACACGAGCGGGGGCGGCGTAGACAATTATTCTACCTACCTAGGTAATCCAGGGCCGTGCGTGTAGATCGCCGTCGTCCTACTAACCTATCTTGAGAAGTTTCTTGTTTTTTTTCCTGCTCCTGCTTCTTCGTGTCTTCCCTCCTCGTCTTCTTCCGGGACCGTCGAGGCTGCTTACATGCGCGGAGAGAGGGAATTAAGAGGAAGAAGACGCGTCCCCCCCCCCGCTAGGTATCAAGCCACTGCTAATACTCGGGCACGGGCAGGAGTAAAGAGCATCTCCGACCCTTTTGCCGTAGATCGCTTCCGCGGACTTGTACCTAGCTCTTCATGCCGAAGCCTGCGTATAGATATTATTGTATACCTATCTACAGATAAGAGCCGCGTGGATGCTCGCTCTGTTGTACGTGCGTCGGGCCCAGCTAACGTTGCGAATGGGCATCGTCTGCGATCCGGTGCTATAGACGAGGGCACCCGTCCCCGTTCCGCGCGCGTAGCTGGTCTCTCGGCGCCGTTCCGTCTGCCGCATTGTGTGGCTAGTACCTACCGGGGGAGTGGTCTTTTTCTTCTTCTTTTACTTCTTCTCCCCTTCATACCGCTGCCCCCAGCGCCAGCCACGATGAGAGCGTCCCCCGCTACTGCATGCATCGATGCAACGAAGGGCAGCGCCATCCCCGGCGGCGCCGTCCACACCCTCCGAAGAGTCCAATCCCCGGCGCCGTCGTCCCAACCGTAAAGCGTAGGGGGAAGAAACCTCACCCTCTACATCTATATACGCAACTCCGGCGACGTTGAGCTTACAGCGTAAGCAGCAAAAGGGTGGGAAAAAAAATGACCCAGGACCTAATTAAAGCACACTGGCTCGCCTGGATCTAGCTCCTCAGCCGCCCCATCCATCCATTCACCCATCCATCCGTTCCATCCTGTCGGTCGTTCAACGACCCCCCTTTCTCTCTCTCGCACGGGGCGCGTCGACGAGCGGAGCGCGAGAACAAGCGTCGCCAAGCATGGGGTAACAGAACCGCCGTTGACGCGCTCCATCAACTACCTACCTACGTGCTTCGCAGCGGCGATAGTATTTTCGATCGGCCCCCTTTAGCTGAGCTTAGCGAGGACTCCGATCGCGCACGTGTCGGGCTACTAATAACGCTAGAATAACACGCCGCTGGGACGGCTTACGCGTCTAGATATTCGTCTAACGAATCCAGGGCCCAAGCAAATAGGGGGAGGGGTCATCCGAGGGCGTTAGGTGCGAGTTGCTCCTCGATAGTTCTGAACACGTCTGCGACGCGCTCTCTTGTAATGGCACGTTTGCACGCATGCGTGCATAAGCTAGCCCGCACGGTTTCGGGACCAGCTGCTGGTGGCTAGATGATACTGACCTTTTGAGACTCGAAGTGAGTGACTAACGTATATCGTCCGGATCCCGTAGGGTTGGAACGTTCCACGTCCATTAGAAATACACCAGCTTTCGCACTCGGCTTCGTGTTGACAAAACATGACCGTGCCTGACCGATGTTGTCACTACCTTTGGCAAGAAAGGGGGTCTAGTTAACTACATGGCTAGAAACTGAATCTCTGTCCGTTATATCTACTTGAGCGCCTTCTTGAGCTATTCCACCGATCGCTCTAGGGAATTGCCCCTAGTTGGCATCCAGACTCTCCTCCTATCTGGTCACGACTCTACCCTCTCCGTTGTGCGATCACATCATGTAGAGTACTGCGCGCACTGCCAGCGAGCGCTCTCCTCCTCTAGCCTCGTAAACGGTCGCGTTAATCAGCCAGACCGTCCGGTCGTTACGTCTCTCCCAAAGAAAAAGGGGAAGAGGGAGGGGGGTGCGAAACCCAACCCCTTCCTACCCGCCAAAAGACGAAATCGCGATGCTCCTATGGATATCATTAAATTTCCTACCGTCAAGACGGAAAAAGCACTGCCGGGACACCCCCTTGAATAGAAGGCTGCACAAAATCCAATGACTGACCCGGAAGTGCCCCTTTTTCGTTGAATGCGAAGATGCAACGATCCCAGCCGATCCTGTGGTCGTCATCTCTCTAGAACTCCGGCCCTGCGCCTCGATGATGGTGGTAATGGGAATTATCGCTAGCCTCCTCATCTCCTCCTCAAATGCCTGACGAATAAACGCCTCTCGCTAGGCTAAATATGTACAAGGCCTAAGTGGCGAGGTAGAGGACTCGGCAACTAAGAAGAGAAGATGTTGTGAGTGTTCTCGATCATAAACTGCACCGCGATATTCTTCGCGTGCATATCCGTCATCTCTCGCTCGATGTCGGTATCTCTCATGATGGTCGGGGCAAAGACCACGGCAAGATTCTTAGGTGTCATCTACTCGACTGTTAGCTGGGACAAGTCGTCGGCACAAAATAGGTCGAGTAATACTTACAAGATTCTCACGCTCGCGCTCGGCAACACGATGAAGGTGGAACATGAGGAACTCGAGACAGTCCTTGTGCTGCTGCGGAAGCTGCTTGACGACACTCTGCAAGTGCGTGCACTTGTCCGCATCGTTCGAGATTGCTGGAGAAGTTAGCACCGACCGGACCGCTCAAGTAAAAGTGCTACTTTGGTCAGGAACTCACTGTGTGTCTCGAGGATACGGTCATAGATATCATACGTTAGCAACGGCGTGGGCAGCTTTCTGAAGTACTGCTTCAGCACGCTTGTCACGGCGGTGATATCTATGTCCGGATCCGAAATGTCGAAATTCTCGTTCTTATCGAAGCCCTCCTGGATGGCCTTGGTTTGAGAGTTTCCGCCGGTCTTGCGATATATACCCTCGACATCCATACCTCTCAGTTCGACTTCTTCGATACATCGGGTTACGACACAGGGGATCTGGCGGCGTTCATAATCAGCCCTCTCCGATAGGTCGGACCCGAAGAGAACTGAAGGCGCCTCCGCGACGACCTGGGCGGACAGGTTCATCGACGCGGCGCTCTTCGGCATCGTGTTCGCCTTCTTGAAACCGAAAAAGCCTTGGCGGCCGGGATCTGCGAGTTGCCGGTTTTGGCCATTCGGCGTCATATGAGAAACTGGCGACTCTACGGGAGCGACTGTCATGTTGTAGGGGAGGCCGATATTCTCGCCTGCCATGCCCAGTGGGTGGCGCTCACGGTCGGGTTGCTGGAACGCCACCACCGTGCGATTCACTCCCTTGGCAATATTCTGAGCCACGGCTTTCGATCCCTTCTTCCAGTTGAATTTCTTGACTTGGCCTTTTCCTATCTTCACTAGAGTCGGGCCAGCCTCGAGTATAGGCTCTTCCTGGTCGCCGGAAAGAAGCGTGGTACCCGTCTGGATGCTGGAGTTGTCCAAGCTAACCGAATTGTTCGATGTGCCCTTATGCTGACTGTAGATTCCGAGACCATTCGGAGGGGACTTGGGATCTGAGTGATTCTTGAACCTGCCCTGGATCTGGTTCGTGAGATCATTGTTCAAATCGGCCAACTGGGCATTCTTCGAGACTAGCTGTTCAAATTCCGCCCGGGCACGATCTCTTTCTAGTATCGCCCTATTTTTCTCGTCGACGAGCTGGTCTCGTTCCGTATGAAGCTGTTCCAGGCTAGCCGACATGGATTGCTTAAGCTTCTCAAGCTTCTGGACAAAGTCTTTCAGGGCAGACTCTTCAAGCTCACGAGGGTCGATGGGCTGCTTAGTTTCCCGAGCTCTCTCCACGCACCCAGCTAACAGCTCTAACTGGCGGATCATCATTTCAGTTTGCGTGTCGAGGACGGACACTGTCTTGCGCTTTTCCTCCAGCTTCTGGTTGAGGGTCTTTAGATCCTTTTCGTTGTTGAATTGGCGCTCCAATTCTGCCACCCTCTGCTCGGAACTCCTCAGCCGCCGTTTAAGGAGAATAGGATCATCGGTGGAAGTAATTGACAAGGGGCTAGTGAGGTCATGAACGCCGTTGCTTGTATCCTCCGCAATTGGCGTTTTTGGCCAGCGCGGCGAAGTAGTTGTCCGTGTTGTCTCGCTGGCGCTGCGAGTGTGACCCGTTCGGGGAGCGTTGCTCGATTCCGTACTGTTGGTTCGGCCATGACGCACCACGTTGGAAACGCGGCGGAGGATGGAAGAGGAGGTTTCATCCGTTCCCAGAATCCGCGCCATGTCCTCATCCATGCAAAATTCACCACCCGAACTCCATCTCGGTAGTTTAGGCGAGGTCTTATTTTCGCCTGACTCCTGGCCCGCAGGGGGTACCGGGGGAGCGGGTGGCGCCCTGGGAGTCATGTATGGGTCATTGGGCCTTTGGTCGGCTGATTTGGAAGCTGTACCATTGACTAAAAGGAAAAAAGGGGGGAGATACTGTTAGTGACTCAAGAGACCACGCACACACGTATATATATATATATAAGCGTGTACTTACCATTTCTAGGGGCGGGAGTTGGAAGCTCCTTTCTCGCAATGGGCTTCGTACTGTTGCTGACCGAGGTGACTAAGGAATCGTTGGATCGGACCTCATCATCGTCTTTGGGGCGAGAGTCTTGTGAACTGCGCGGAGTGCCTGTCTTGTCGCCTGCCTGTAACAGTTGGGGCGAATCGGATAGAGGTGGGTTCGGAAATCCATCTTTGTCCTTCATAACGGAGCTGCTGCTTCTGCCCCTTGAACTGATATTATCTTGGCTTGTGGTGGACTGAGGACTTGTCTGTGCATTTGACTTTTTACTCTTCGGTGCTTCCTGCAACTTGAAGTCATCTGCGGGATGTGGTCTTCCATTTGCCACTTTCTGGGACCGGTCATCTGGCAGAGCGGGCGACGCCTTGGAAGAATTATTCTTCTCGCTTCTCGAAGATTTGGACAGTTTCCGGTTCAGATCCTTCGGCGGCAGGTTATCGTAATCGAGCGAAGGCTCTCTTCCCTTCTCTTGGAAGGCGATGTGCGGAGTGGATGACTGGGAGTCAACTCTCCGATCGGGGGTAGGTTTGGACGGAAGGCCAATGTACTCTTTATTATCCTTCGTCTTTTTAGTAGCCTCGATGAGAGCTTCTGAGGTTGACCTAGGAGTCGACAACGGCACCGGGCTTGGATCGAGGGCAACTGGAATGAAGAAACTCTGATCATCGGCATTGTTGTTGGCATCGCTGCTCGAAAATATCGCCGAGTTTCGATTGTGACGATAATTGCGGGGAGGTAAAGGCAGGCCCGCGTCTCCCCCAGTATGATCCACCGTCCGCTCGGGAGATCTAGCTGGTCTCGAGCTGCTTCTCGACGAGTCGTTCCGAGGGTAGGTCGGTCGTGGTCGCGGAGAGAGCTCGGTGGGCGTGTCTGATTCGGGGTCGACTCTATCGTTGGAAAAGGCGTTGGGAGGAATCGCGTTGGGAGGGAGGGCCGGAAGGGACTTGTCGACTATTAGGGGCGAACCGTCTTTCTCGCGTGCCTTTGCTTGGGCAGCAGCCTTTGACTTCTTCCTCCGCCTCGCCATCAGCGACTCGTGACAGCTCATGCAAAATATCCCTTGAGATGTCCTAGCGTATCTGAGGTTTTCGATCTTCCGCTTGCAGTTCCTACATCGAAAACAGGTGGCGCAAAACGCCTGGTCACCGGTGAGAATGGCCAGGTCTTCGATCTTATCGCCGCAGGCGCTGCAGCTATATGTGCAGTTGTTGCATATCAGCGAACCGTCACCGAGAAGTAAAAGGTTCGCATCCGAGTCGAGCAGGGTGCCGCAGTTATTACACCGGAAGCAGTTAAGGTGCCATCGATTCCCAGCTGTAGCAACGTTAGACGAGTTGAACCTCGACTGGGGACCAATTTCCATCCGAGAGAGTACACCCTCCCACGCTTTAAACGAGGGGCGGGTAGAGGCGAAATCTTGGACAGGTGCAACGCTTACCTAGTTCAAACGCTTTACCCTCCTCGAGGATCTATATTGGAAGTATTAGTTTAGCAATGGTAGTCTCCTACGATGTTGAGGCTGAGGTTATATGCGTCACCCTCTTACCTCACCACAGCCCTTGCAGGGAAAGACATCGTCGCTTTCCATCTGGCTCTCTGTGTATTCATCCATGTTTGCTGCCGATATTGGGAATAACCAAAACTTATCGGGGTCCCAGGCACAATAGGCGGACTTAGGTCAAGAGGCCAGGTAAACTTGGTTACTTGTCAATGTGGCCAGGGCAAATTGCAGCAGGCTTGGTGTACCAGGGGAGCCGAACAAGATACTACCGCGACATTTGAGGTCACGTAGGGAACCCGAAGAGCAGTAACAGAAGTACGATTATGGGTGATAAGAGTATGAGAAGCAATGCTAAGTAGGGTTGCGTGAACACCTGGGCAGGAGGAGGAGGTGTGTAACCGAATTGGTGCAATAGGGTATGGCCTCAGGATGCTGTCGGCTTGGGATTGGTCAGATCACTTGGAGGATGCTCTGGAGAGTCGTCGATCGAGGTAGATTTGCCTGGCTTGATTTGGCAGGACGGCAGCGACGGAGGAAATGAGGTGAAAGGGAGGAAGAAGGGGGCAGAGAGGAGAGAGCGGGAAGGGAAGAGGGCGGGCCTGAGGCGGTGGGTATAGCAAGGTTGCTGTAAGGTGTTGCGGCGTGCTGCTACGTGCTGCAAGCTGTGAGCTGCGTTTGTGGGTTTGTGTGGATTTGTACGTGGTTGCGGCTGCGTGGGTGAGGCAGTTGTGTGGTTGGATTTGGCTGCCTGCGGTAAGTGAAGGGAGAGAATGCCGGCTGTTGGACCAAAAAAGAAAAATAGAAAGGTTGCAAGCCACACGGCCAAAAAATACCGAAGAAGCCTAGAAATGCAGGTCAAGTAAAACTAGAGGTCATAGATAGACGATAGATGGACCACCCATAAGGCTTTGGGGGGGGGGCGGGCGAAGGTAGATCGGAAAATCAGGAGGATAAGAACAGGAGTGGGTTTACAGGGGAGGAGAAGAGAAGAGAAGAAGAATGCGGTCAACGGGTTTGATGTAAAGGGTTTAACGGATGTGCGAGCGTTTGAGGTGTTCAAGGTCAATTAGTTGAATCGATTCGACGAATCCTCCCCCCATGGATACCAGGATGTCAGTCGGCAAAAGATTGGGTACATGCTAGACGGGGTCATACAGCGAGGGTGAGGCATCGAGGTATGATGGCACGTAGGAAAGGGGGGGGTGGGAGAGAGAGGGAGGATGACGGATGTCGTGAGGCCGGTGGTAGATGGTGGTAAGTGGTCGACGTGGAGGGGAGCATATGGACAGGGCGACTTAGCCAATGCTAGCGCTAGCGCCATTACCAGTGCTAGCCCGTCTCAAGAGATGACGGACCCTGGCTGTGGTGGGGACGCTAATGTTGGGTGGGCGCTGCCTACTCGGGTTAGGTTGGTATTTTCTTCCATAGTGCTTATATGCATATGTATGTAGTTACTATGGACGTTAAGTACCGTCCTTAGGTACTATAGTACCTAGGTATGTTAGGTGCCTGTAGCTTCTGTAGTAGGTCGGGAGGGGGTACAAGACAGTACCTGATAGAGTCGAGAAGGTATACCTAACCTATATACCTGAGGTACATCCATGCCGTATATAAGATTATATATAAGTACCAGGTACCTGAGGTTAGATTTAGGAGGTTAGATACCTTAGGCGGGTACCTCTCAGCCTAAGGACCTAGGTACATTCCACTTTCTTCCATAAGTGTTCGAATGTATCCCGCTGTCCGATAGTCTGGGACGGGGTTGTATATGTGGCGCTATATGTATGCACTTGTGCCACACTACCTACCTGAATCTTGTCGGTACGAGGCACCCTATAAGTCAGGTACGTAGAGTTCCTATAAGGCATGCAGGTTTCCCATCTATTGCATGCCCTATTTTTTCTTCTTCCCTTTTTCCTCTTAATTTCCGTGTTAGGGATGCTTATCAGACCCGATTTGCACCGGTACGTCTTACCCACATGGCACACCTGCACAGATGCGCACACAGGGAAGTTGTTAGGACCCTGTAAGGTATGCAAGTTGGCGTTGAATGTGAAGTATATGAGTACATACCTACCTGTATATTATAGCAGGTGCATTGCCTCCCTCCAGGCCAACAGCTTTACTTACAGTGGATGTATCGGTGTAGGTATGCCACTAATCCGTTGACTAAGGTGTGTGTCTTTTACCAAGAGGGAGGTCATATGCATTTACACAGTTCAAGTTATAACACAACACACTTCTAATAGAGACAGTTTAGTCTACTAAGCGAGGTACATATGTACTTTCAAAGGCACATCTCAGTAAGAAATATCGAACACAGGACGAGAAAGGCTCAAAGGTCGGATAATTTCAACTGAGCCAAAGTCAGTAAGGTATTGATTGAATTACCAGTAATGTTATCCCCATACCAGGTCTCACTACCACTTGCTTGGGTATCGCATGACCGTTAATTTGGCCGAGGGGGGCCAGGCATGGGTGCAGAGAATGCAGAGAACCAATTGACAGAACCTAGGTAAGTCTACAGTTAGCCTTATACATACCCATAGACCCAAGGGTAGGAGGTGCATTGATAGCTACCTGCCTGCCTAGGCCACCTAGGTACCTAGAAGGTAGGCATCTACTTGTTTCTATAGCGTCTCTATCTAATGGATATACTAAGTAAAGAATATGCAGCTATACCTGTCTATGTACATACACCTGGCTAGGTACTACCTCCCATGCACTCAGCACGCGCCGTATGTATGAGTAGTAATCAAGCCGCACCTACCAATGTCGTTACAAACGTCGTTACAAACCTAACCCCCTCCTTGTGTGCCTAATTTTAGGAACTTCGGGTCTACAACCAAATAGTGAAGCACTCAGTAACCAAATAGACATGCGAGGCAAGATTGTATTCCATTAGGTTAGGTGTCAACGTTTCCTTGGTTCTATGATATCTAGCTAGATGTTTAGTTGTTCCCCTGTAATTCATCAACGGTGGAATACCTAGGCCCAAGGATCTTAACCACGTAGGTGCTTTTAGCAGGGCAATACACCCTTTTTTTTAATGTCTCTTTCTGAAATAGTAACAGCTGAATTAGGAGTTTTGTTTCAATGTTTTCTTCCCTGCCTTGCATGCCTCCCCCTTCCTCTTCCCCTCCCCTCCCTTCCGCAGCCCACATAGGTATTAGTAAGGCTGCTTTGAAAGCACACCTGGCCCTCTGCCTGGTCTAGCTTGTCGTTAGGCCAATTCTCTCTCTAAGTGTGTATGGATGGATACGTAGTAAGAAGCTCGAGGAGTTGGGGTGAAACGGACTCGACTATGGTGTACGGTTTGGCACTATTCTGTTCCCACCCCCCTCTCCTGCTCCTTTCCTTTCGTTGTCGGATCCTAAAACTTGGTAGCTACAAGCAGTGAGAAGGGAGAGGAAAAGAAGCCAAGTAGGCATGGCTTCGATAGAAGCCTTACGCTGAGAGGCTGGCTATACGTGTAAACTATCAACACCACTACTATGATAGGTACCTACCTACCCAGGTACTAGGGCAAACAAGGGACGACGAGGAGAGAAAACATTACCTATGAGTAGGTACCTACCTCAGTACAGATCGCCTCACCAGACCCCGTGTTCCCCTTACTCCGTTATATAGTTATTCCGTATTTTCTTACAACACGAGTCGCGCATCGACTTCTGGAGGCAGATGACTGCCGCAGCTTTGTCGAGTAGAGGATACGTCTTAATTACAGTTCCCGTCATATGGGTGTAAGCCAAGTGCACTGCTAGCCACGCCACTCGTACCCACGCGTACAACACCGCCTACGGAGGTGCTGCTGATAGTCTGCCATCGCCCGAATGTCCAATGTCCGGGGTTGAGCAACGCGTGCTTCTTAGCATGCATTGCCGCAACGTGGCGGGCCTGTGGCGCCGACAAAGTCTGGGTAGGAAGGACTTGGAATGCGTTCTAGCCCTGTGGCCGACAGATGGCTACTATGAGGATCGCCGCCACCTCTCTGCTTCGTGCGTACGGGCGGCGTTTTGGTGGCTGGGCTCGAGATCCCGGCGCCTCTGTCCCCTTACATAGGTACATACGTGTAGGCACGGGTTGAAGGACGGCCTCATTGTGTCAGTACTTCGCAACACGAGATAAATGCTAACTAATTTGACCGGGTCCGTCCTGTAATCTTGCAACTGCGGGTGAACCAGAGCTATTTTCTGCTCTGGGACGCCGACCCCGGTGTGAGCAAGCTACGTATACCAACGTACAGCTTACAGCCTACCGAACGCCTCGACAGAAAAACAATGCCAGTCGATGACTCCGGATATTTTCTTACTATGGCTCTCCCGTTGCGGTCTTTTTCCGCTCCCAGGTACGGAGCACCTTTCCTAGTCTGACGAGATCAGCAGAACTATCATAGGTCCCGACGGACCTACCTGACCTACCTCTCTATCTGGCTATATTAGAGGAGAGCCTATGAGGGAACAAGTAGTAGTAGGTAAGGCGATATCTCATACGGGATGTACCTAGGTAGGTAGGTACCTACTCAATGTACGTATAGAGATCACCAAAGATCCCAGTTATCTCCTCAGCTGCGTTTCAAGTTGAACGCGGTCCACCCCGATTCTGCCGCGAAACCACCTCAGACAAATTGCTCAGCATCTTCGAATCTCCTGTGGAATGCCCCGTAACGGCATGACGATATCTCCATCCCAACAAGAAGTTAAGCACCTAATGTATACATACCATAGGTAGGTAGGTCCCTATCTCACACCTACCTCCTACCTTCATTCCCAGAATGAGCTGTTCACGTAGGTATTTACCTCCTTTAACATGCCTATATACATATATCCATACATATCTAGGCGTCTTAGGTATTGTACATACGTGCATAACGACCCCTGGGCTGATCCCCGGTACCCCACTGACAGGCAGCGAGTTCAATGGAAACTATCATGTTTTTTTTGGGCCTACCACGTAGGTACCTACATCACATCGCCGCATATTACACGTAGGAGGGAGGTATGTATGCCTGCATATCAAGGCTTTTCCCATCACATCTACCCTTATTCGCAGCATATCCAGAGTAAACAGTGTTGCGGTGATTCCCGTTCGCCATCCCACCTCCCCATCCATCCCACCTCTTCATCCCACCTCCCCATCCATCCCACCGCCCCATCCCACCGCCGCCCATCCCTCCGATCTTATCTCGAACGATCGACGCGTTGCGCGATCCCCAAAGTATCGAGCTCACCCCCCTCCCCTCCTCCCCTCCTCTCCGGGCCAGCCCCAGTACCAGAGTTATCGGTATCCGAATCAAGGCTATCCGATCCGCAACGAGATACCGAATCGAAGAGAGGAGTGGTGCATCGCTTACACAGCAACATCACGCTGTTTCAGATTCGCATTCTGTGCCACCGCCCCTCGAGGCGCGGCGACAAACCCCAACCCTCCCTACCGAGGCACATGCCCAATATCAACATCCGTATATACCTATATACAATCAGCAAGGAGACCGCAACACGGCACAGTCGTCACAGTAGCACCCAAGGTAGGGGATGCATTGCCTGAGGTAGGTATCTACCTACCTAATCTATCATCGACCGGCCGGCTCTATAAAACACACATACGTAGGTACACACGCATGAGCACGGCATCTCGTTTACACGGATATGCCAAGGCCACGGACAACTATCTGTCTGTAAGGAGGCATGTATGTACTACCTACCTAGGGATATGGCCTGCTGGGATGTTGCCTGCTGTTTCCCACGTAGTGCCTACAGGCGTGTATATACCTACCTACCCGCGAGCACCATCTACATACTTAACTTACATTGGGTGGTTGATCCCGCGGCAGTGGCGTCGGTGTCGGCGTTGCTGGCGGTTGGAACTGGGCGATAACCGCAATCATCTTGGATGTTTTATTTTGACATCGATTTCCCGCTCTGCTGACTCCTCGTCTCGTCCTACCTGGGCCCCTTTCATTTCAATAACTTGTGCTTCCGCAAGCCGTCACACCGTTGGCGTTGTCCGTACCGAACCCCTACGCCAGCCATGGCCGGGCCAGTCACGTCGGTCGGTCTCTCTCGAGTGGTCCGCCTCGTGCGAGTGCAGATTGCTCCCAGCTACCTAGGTAACGCAGGCCCCGTCTTGCGCGTGCGTACACCTCGGCATATCAGGTGCTTGCAAGGAAGCCTCTTCAGCGTTAGTCACACGGCAGCCTGGCTAGCACCTAAACAACTAGGCCCGGTGACGGGATTGCTTCGACACCAAAAGAAAGCCATCAACTAAAGCCAGTGCCTACCTATAGGTATGTATACCTATGCTGCGCAGTACCCAGCATCCTATGACAGGTCTATATCGGACGAAACAGGGTCCTGGCAAGCGTCCAAACCCAAAGACCTCGACTCGGGATTCCTCCCGCACCCATTTCTTATAGGTACTTAGCATACCTAGGTAGGTGATATTAATAAGAAGCGGCCGCCTCGCAGTGCACGGCCGGTGGATAGCAACCCCAGGTTTGATCTTGAGAATCCAAACGCTCCCCGATCCGTTGATCAGCAACAGCCATGTACCTACCTAGGTACATAGGTATATATAACTAAGCATAAGAGCTGGCGGTCGGTGGCGTCGCCTTGATTCCTCAATAGTCGAGTTGCATGTTTCCCCCCAGCGTCGAACGTGCAAAACCTGATAAGTGCAGGCCTTCTGAGCAATTGTCGATAACAGGATATCTGTCTGTCCGTACCCATACGCAGATACCTGGCAGCTCCCAATTGCCTCAACCCCTAGCCCTAACGATCCACCCGATGCCTGTCAGGCTTCGTCGATCACACACCCCTCTCGGGGCTTGGAACATATTAAATGGATCGAGCGGACCCGCATGGTTTACTTGCATATACCCATACCCTTTAGGTACATACACGGCCACGTCTTACCCCAGGTCCCTAGGTACCTCTCCTAGACAAGTACCTAATGAAGGTACATGACATAGGAGGTACCTAATGTATGCAATCAGTAGTACCTAAATTACTCGCAGTCCGGCTCTTGGCCCGGGCGACGGAGCTCACTCAGGTCCACAGGTACCCGCAACCTCTAATAGGGGAGGGGACTGAACATGGCAGACCGAGGCTCGGAGGCGCCTACAGGCCACAGGTCAGCGAGGGTAGATTACCTATAGGAGGTACCTAACCTACCTAGGTAGAGGTACCTAAGGTAAGAGGCACCAATTCGTGCTACACATACACGCATGTACTTCTGTCTATATCGGTATGTCTCTGTACGCCTCGATGTAACCCTTTTCCTGTCCACGTACGACCAAAGAAAACGCCTGCGCTTGCGAGAGAGGAGAGAGAGGCAACTCTCGCAAAATGCGTTCAACCACGCTGAGGTTGCTGTTATCAGGTTACTCACGTCCCGCAGGCGGCGCCAGCAATGTCTGCCGTGGGCACGCTCGTCTTCTTTTCCCTCCTACGTCCATGTCGGAGATCCGCGGTCATCCGTGCTACCTATACCTACCTGCCTGCCTACCTACCTCCTATATATTGCCCGCGCTATTATTGTCTGCCCCAGCCACCACTCTGACGGGATCGATACACATACCTACAGATATATGTGTATATCCACGTCAGGCCGTGTGTCTCGGAGTGACAGGCTGGGGCTACGCTTTGGGGCCAGAGTCAACTTCGCGTGCCTATACGTGCATGTCACTATCCCCAATGCCGAGGACATTGTCGTCGCCAAACTGGGTCTGCATCTCCCTGCTCGCTCGCTTCCGTCCGCGTACTCGCACACATATGCGCGCGCGCATTACGCATACACACGCTTTCTCTCCCGCCGCCACAGAGCAAGGCCAGGCCTAGGCCTATTGGCGGGCGAGACACATGCCTACCTACCTACCATCGGCAGACGACGGGTCGCACGTGGCCCCGCGCGCGCTGCGGCCGCCCGCGGGTCATCTGCACGGAGACGGAGCAGCGCAGAGACGATGTGGATGGCGACCCGCGTTCCCTCGACGCCACGGAGATATGCTAACCTACGTAATATATGTAGGTGAGTAGAATTGGGGCCGAGGGGGGCGAGAGGCCGAGATACGGGGGCCGAGATACCGCAGATATCCAGCCCAGACTTGTCAAAAGGAAAGGGACAAGAAGCAGATAAAATCCCCGAAAAAGCGGCTAGGCCAGCCAACCCCTTCCACCCCCCCTATTCCTCTAACTCCCCCTGCTGTCTTCCCGCTCCGTGCTACGCGCGTCGGTCGCATCAACTCCTACTACATGTCACTGGAGGTTTTTGCTACCACCCCCCCAACGTACCTACAGCCACGGGACGCTTGTCCTTGCGCTTACTCGCATACGTTTACGACGGGCGCAAACATATACACGGCAGCAGGTAGGTATGTGCAGAGGAAGAAACTAGCATCAGCGACTGGTCCCAGTCGGTGAGTCAGTCGTTCACACGTCCTACCTAGGTATCCAGGCATCCGCCAATGCGTCAGGCAGGTAGGTAGGCAGGGTATGCTATAGCTAGTTAGTCGCACTGCAGACCTGCGCACTGCGACCTGTCAGCAAAAGGCGGCGGCCAAAGCAAGCCTGCCTATCTATCTCCTTACTGAGGGGCAGCCCTTTCGACTTCTTCCCGTCCCCCCGGGAAATCGGGCGTGGACATGGATGTATTCGACAACTTCTATTTGCTGTCTAGGCTTTTAGGTAGGTATCAGTGGTAGGTGAACTGGCTGGGTCGACGGCGCTATGTCTCTGCCATTTAGAAGAGAAAGGGGTAAGAGGGGGGGGGAGGAGGGGGGATACTTGTGTAAAATGTGGCCAGGTAGATACATGCAGTAGGTAGGTAGATATATAACAGCTCGTGCTATACGCAAGCAGGTAGATCGCGAAGCCGTATAGGAGCGGATAAACAGGGGGCAATTTGAACGGATGACTCGGGAAATATATTACCAGGAAACAGTCGATACTCGAACCTGAGAAGGAGAATTTCATATCTTTCCTCCGTAACGACACCCTTCTACCTGTCCAGCATATCCAAGCCAACCCCCCTTTTACTAGGGCACACCTGCCCCTTTCCCCCCTTCGCCTCGCCTCCACTCCCTTCCCCCGCGCGCGCGCAGCACCGCTCCCGTCACACGTCCCCGGCCCCCGGCTCCCTCACCATGACGGTCAGCACGGCCTTGCCCTGGCGGCCGGCCTTGGCCAGGTCGCACTCGAGGCGGTCGACGTCGGCGAAGCCGAGGCGGCGGTACAGCGGCGCGGCGAGCGGCAGCGCCTCGAGGTACGCGGGGACTCCCTCGGCGTCCGCGACCGCCAGCACGCTGCGGATCATCGCCGCCGCGATCCCGCGCCCGTGGTACGCCGGGTCGGTGCAGATGACGGAGAGGACTACCGTGGGGGGCACAGAGAAAAGAAAGGAGGGGGTTGGTTAGCTGTCGGCCTGCCTGCTTGGGAGAGAGGGATATGCCTACGGGACGGACGTAGGTGATACTATGGAGACGGGGGGAAGGACAAGGAGAAGGAGAAGGAGAAAAAGAGAAGCTAGCTGCGACCCCTCGACGACGTGAAACTAGGGGGAAGGGAACTCACTCAACTTGTCGCTCGAGTTCCACTTCTGGCCCATGGCGGCGAGCCCAGCGAAGAACTCCTCGAAGAGGGCGACGTTCGCGCCGGCGGGGGGGCGGAGGGTCTTAGTCTCGGGCTGGCGCTTTGCCGGGCCCTCGCCGTGGGGCGCGGCGACCTCGGCGCCCGCGGCGTCGTACGTGACGAAGCCGGGGCGCAGGCCGCGCATGCGGGGCGGGGGGTCCCACTTGGCGAAGGCGACGAGGCGCGGGCCGCCCGCGGCGCGCTCGTCCACCACCTTGAGCTGCTGCGTGCCCGCGTCCGCGAACCGGCCCTCGGCCCGCTTCCCGTACCACGCGCGCATCGCCTCCGCCGACGGCGCCCACCAGGCCGTGAACTCGGCGTTCCGGCTGAATGCCTTGATGACTGCTCTCGCTCCCGCCCCCCCACCACCGCTCCGGTCAGCGGAGTACGCTTAGGTGTTTCGCGTGAGGGGCTAGGAGCGGGGGGGGGGGGTGACGGGAATCGGTGAAGCTACGCGCGTATACCTGTCTGAGAGGGGCGGGGAAACAAAGGTCTGGGGAGGAATGTGTACGGGGACAGACGGGTATACCCTCGCTTCTAGGGGAGCGAGGCAAGCAGCGAGGCGAGTGTACTAAAATGTCAAGACTCACTGCGGCGTCCTGTCAGTCGGCCCGTCACTATCCACTTGCGGAGGACTGGCGGTAGGTAGGTAGGTAGCCAGGGCCGTCGAGACTCACCACACATCAGCCATCTCCGACACGTCGGCCGGCGTACATCGCGACAGAGTGAAACCCGGCGGTAGCAGGGCCGAGGGATGCGGGAAAGGAAGCGCCATGGTAGTTGAGGAGAACCGACGTGGAATTGGGGTGGTAATTATGCGTGCCGGCTGAAGAAGGAGAGGAGTGGGACTGAATACCGCTGATAACGTCAAAGAGAAAGGAGGCGGATGTGTTGCTCCGATATTATAGACGAGGTTATATGTGAACCTACGTAGGCGTAGACGGCGGTGTGGTGGTGGCTACGAGGTTGGGGGGTAGCGACACCTTCCGAATAAGTAATAGGTCCGACAGACGGGAATCTATTCGAGCATACAAATCACCCGTCTCTATACTACCATGCACTCCCTCCACCCAGGCAGCCCCGAGGTGTCCACGATCCAGTACCGAATCGCTACTAAGTAATGCGGCTAGAGGGCAAGCCGGGAGGGAGGGGGGTTACCTTATATGGTGTGGGAGGCCCGTAACTGATGATACCTACGTCAAGGCGAATGAAACCATGCTTCTGTTGACATCTTCTACCTAGCTTTCGACGCCATTCGATGAATCACGTTCACATCCAAGTGCGTCGGGCATCGTGGAATCCCACATATATACCCCTAACTATCAAGACAGCCTTCTATACATCAGGCGGCGGGTTCATGGCACCGTCACCCGGCTGCGAGTCCGTAGCACCGTCCTCCGGCGTTTCATCCGGCTTATCACCCGCCTCCACATCCAGGCTTTCATCATCATCACCATTTTCGGAGTCGATATAATTGAACGACTCCTCTCGGCCGAAAATTTCGTACTCGAGTTTCGAATGTACCCGGATCATTGATTTGATCGCTCGAACTGTCTGCGGACACTCGTTTTCCACCTCCCGAGCCGTCTTAGCCGCTTCGCCGGTCCAAGGGGCGAGCTGATCCAATTCCATATAGCCCCGTGCTAGGTGGTAGAGCGTTGTAGCGACGGGTCGAAGGTACCGGGGGGACGCGCCCTTTCGACGTAGGTCGAGCGATATGTTGTTCCGCACATTCTCCTTCGTGCGCACGACAAACCATCCGGTCCAGTTAGGCATGAGAATCTTCTCGCAGGTGACGAATGCCTCCTTGTACTGCTTGAGCTGGACTAACGCCTGCACATAGTAATTCCAATTCCTACTATTGATCTCGAAGCCTTCGTCGCGGACCTCTTTGACTAGGCTCATGATGCCAGTGGCATTTCCTTCGAGGAAGAGCAACTTCTGCATGACTTCCAGCCCGTTCGATAGGACATAGCGATACTTGGCCGAGATTTTGGGAGTGTGCGGTAACTCTTCAATGTAGTCTGCCGAGCGTGCCTCTATCTTCGCAGACTCGAAGAGAGAATTCCACGTGCTTTTAACTTGATCGTAATGTCCTTCCTGGAAATCCGCAAGCATGACCGAGTTGAGCATACCCACGGGGAGAACCCCCTCCAAGTCACTGCGACCCTGGAAGACATAACGGTAAAGGTCGACGAAATCCCGGGCTCGAACGAAGTCTTTAAGCTGCGTAAACATATGGACCATAGCGCTGAATTGGAATTTCTCGGTGGAAAGCCCCAACAGTTCGCCCAACAGGTCGTGCCTGGGCGTGCGGGAAGGTAGTCTGGTAATATCTCTCCGCTCTTTTATACCATATATACGGTAGAATGAGCGAAGAGCTTCGCCGAGCCACTCGGTTGCAGTGTGACGCGACCGCTGAATCTGAGTTAGGTTTTTCCATTGGCCGAGCGCCTGGGTGAGCCGAAACAAGGTGGTTGAAGAGGATGGGTACCCGTAATCCTGCATTAACTTGTGAAGACGGAAGACCGGTCCAGGCTCTCCAGTTCTCAGTAAGCCGCCCATCACGATGTTGAAGTGCTCGGGAGTAACCTCGAAGATGGTGTCCTTGAGGGCTACCGCGAGGAGGTGAAGGGCGTGCTGCGACTGCCGGCACAAGGATAGGCCCAACAGTAGCTGTTGGTAAGTGTATTCGTTGTACGGGATCTCCTTCTCGACCATGAGGTTGAGAACGGCATTCATGCTAGCAAGGTCGCGTCGAAGGGCGTGGTAGTAGATGAGCTTGTTCCACATTCGGGTTGCGACGATCCCCTTCGCCGAAGCGCGAACGCATACATCTTGAGCTTCTTGCAAATGGTCGTTTAGGCAGTAGGCATCAACCAGGCTACTGAGAATAGCTTCATCCGCGCCCACACCGGCCTTGTTCCCTCGGCGATACAGATCAATGGTGAACCCGAGATCGCCTCTGCCGCCAGCCATCTGCATCATCGTCCCGTAGGTATACTGGTCCGGCTGCCCTACCGTGGCGAATTTTTCGAAAATGGATATCGCGCCATCGTAGTCGCCGGCCTTGGCATAGGCGTTGAGGAGGATATTCCAGCAGACCGTGTTCGGAGTGACTTGAAACTTGTCCGTGATGTCGTCAAAAATACGCTGTGTTTCTTCGCAGTCGCCGCGGACCGCGTGTGCCTGGAGGAGATGCGAAAACACATCGTCGCATCCTAGAACGGGATGTTCAGGGTCGTCTTTGTACGCCTCGATGAATTCTACCCATAGTTTATGGACCTGCTCGATATCTCCTCGCGACGCGTAGAAGGTCATATACCTTTGATAAGCTCTGAGAGAGGGAATGATGTGAAATTTTTGCCAGTCACCCCATAGAAATTCGACGCCAGCGTACCTGATGTACATGGGTGTGCCCCTGCTGTTATAAGCCTTGAACATTTCATGAAGGACGGCATGGCTCGGCACGCTCCCAGGGAGGTTACGATAGGTTTGATATATTTCAATCCCGAATTTATACTTCCCTCGAGAGCATACCGTACGCAGAAAGTCCTCGTAGGCGAGAGGGTCGTTTGTCGTATTGAGAAGCGGGATGACTTGCGCGTCAGTACATGAAACAAGGGCACGGCGTACGAGGATTTTCTTCAGCATGTCCAATGCTTCCTCGCTGAGTAGCGAGTCGCCCGGCCCCTGAAGCTCCTGCCGGCCACGGACCTCGAATTCGAGAGCTCGTTCGGCGAGGTCGGGCACCGAAGCAACTTTGCGGAGTTCTGAGGTGATTTCCTTAAATTCCCACCGTGCGGCCATTTCAGGGTAATGCAGCCATAGACTCCTCAATAATCGGGGAGTTGGATGTCGGAGAAACCGAGCCAGTAGTGAATCCAAGGCCTTGACTAGGCGTAGGACTTCGAGGGCCTCATTCTCGAGCCCCTTCACAAAGACTTCGAGTGCCTTGTCAAAATTTTGCAGGTCCAGTTCGGCGGTGATGCCCGCGATGAAATTATCGTTATCCCACTCTGACGTAGGGAGCTTATAGAACAGTTCGGATATTTTCCCAGAGTCGGATAATCTGCCTATCTTGGAAAGGAAGACCAAAACTTGGCTCGTATAGGTGGTCTGTAGCGGCTCACTTAGGGCCCCGAAATGATGCCAGACAGAATCAGCATTTTCGAGATCAACACTTGCCATCAAGTCTTCGAGTGCGCTAGAGTGGAGGCGATCTTCAGGCGAAATACTCTCTGTGAGTGTCTTGTCCTCTCCCCCTTCCGGAGCGGCATTACCATCGAGCTCGTGTGCTTGTAGATTGGCTCCTGCTTCTGAGACGGCACCCGGTTCTGGGTCGGCTCCCGGTTCTAGATCGGCGCCTGCTTCTGTGTCGGCGCTCGTTTCCGGGCCAGCATTATTGTCGAGCCCGTGTACTTCCGGATCAGCTCCTGCTTCTGGATCGGTATTACTATCGAGCCCGTGTGCTTCTATATCGGCGCTCGTTTTCGGATCGGCATTATTATCGAGCTCGCGGACTTCTGTATCGGCGTCTGCTTCTGCATCGGCGCCTGGTTCTGAATCGGCGGCCGCTCTTAAATCGCTGCTTGCTTCTGGGTGGGTGCCTACTTCTAGATCGGCCCCCGCTCCTGCATCGGCGCCTGGTTCTAGATTGGCGCTCGCTTCTATATCGGCTCCGGCTTTTGGATCGGCGCCCGCTCCTAGAGTGGTACCCGGTCCTGGATCAACTCCTGCTTCTGGATCGGCACCCACTTCCAAGTCGGCGCCTGTTCCCGGATTGGCGTCTGGTTCTAGAGTGGCGCCCTGTCCTGGATCAGCCCCCGCTTCTGGGTGGGTGCCTACTTCTAGAGCGGTGTCCGGTCCTGGATCAACCCCTGCTTCTAGGTCGGCGCCTGCTCCCGGATCGGCGCCTGGTTCTAGAGCGGCGCCCCGTCCTGGATCGGCTCCTGCTTTTGGATCGGCACCCGCTTCTGGATCGGCGCCTGGATCTGGATCGGCGCCCGCCTCAGCCTCCGCCTTAGTTTCGGAGCGGTCGGCTCGCCGCCTGGGGAGAGAGGGCGTATAGAGGCGAGGGGGGAATTTTAGAAAAGGCCGTCCACGAGGAAACATACCGGGATAGCTGGAGATATGGGAGGACCAGTTCAAGCGGCGCGTAAGCGTGAGAGCGCCGCTTGGATATAGAAAGTCAAGAGGAAGTGTCGATGCGCTCAATGCTGGGCCTCCGTTCTCCTCGGGAGCGGGACTCATATTAAGGTCGATGGTGCCGTGCATCAAGGCTTTCCAAGTTGTGGTTAACTCGATATCAACTGCCCCATGCCTCCAGAAGCTCGTGCGGAGGTGTCTCGCGCTCCGCAGGGACTTGACCGCGCCGGGAACTACCCGGTGAAAACCGCATGGTTCCAAGCCCGCGGCAGTTTTCTCCAGCATCTGGGGGAGGGTATCGAAGGTGGCGTGTACGTCCGGCAGCGGTCTCCAATTTAAAAGGGATAGCTCCGGTGCTTGAGCAGGGTTCTGAGAAGCATCATCAGGACTAATAGCAGACTGGTAAGCACATACATCGAGCTCATAGCAACGTTGGCGCAAACGGGTTCGGTAGCCGACCATATTGGAGCTTGGAGGAGAGGCTTACCCTATAACATTACACGAATCCGGTCGGGCCGGAGACGAACATCCCTCTGAAAAGTTCTTTGGTCGTGAAGATGGGGGCCCTCGGTGATTGAATTTGTCGAGCCTTGGGGACGTAGACGACTTATCTGGGCGCGTCTGGTCCCTCAAGTTACAACACGTAGGGCTGTAGGGAAGATGAAGACATCATCTCACTTACTACCTAGCCATCAGGCTGGTTTTTCTTTTCTTTTTTTTGGTCGTTCTCCCCCCCGGCATTATTGCCCATGGAATTGCCTCTAACCTATAAGGGGTTATCCTTGCCTAGCTCTCCTGCGTACCTCCGATGTACCCGATGCGACCTAAGCAATCGAGTGAGTACCTGGCTAGGCAGGCTGGTAGGTATCTAGATTCCGTTACAGGAGGTTAAGGTGTTAGCACGATACATGATAGGTACCTGTGGGCAATAGCGACTAGAGACGAGGGGCACCTCCTAACCTCCTATTGGCAGATGTGCTCCGAGGTCGTCGAAAAACAGGTGAAGCACTTGTAGTAGGTCACGGCGCTACACAGCACGCATTGAGATTCCGTTACCTACAGCAAGTGGGCAAGTACTAGGTAGGTATTAACCGAGGAGAGTAGTTCCACCAGGGAGGATGGAGGGGTAAGCATTTACTACCCCACCTTACCGCGACGGCCAAAAATCCATGACCGCCTGTTCCGATTACCTAATAACCCTTCTCCCCCCTTAGACAGTACTTGTGTACGTATCTAAAATTGTCAAATCCCACGATTTGGCTGTTTTTGTATGAGTAGTGCGTAGGAGAGAGACAGCCACTTGACTCCGTCCTTCTTCTACCTAGTCTCCGTTCCCTACGCGACCTACAAGCTCAGATGTCTATCTAACCCCTTGTCCAGCTACTTGTTCAGCTAACTCCCGACCTCGACCTCGGATTCGGCTCCGGCTCCATGGATATCACTACCTTTGTCGTTTCCGCGAGGAACCAAGCCCTGCTCTATGGCGATTATAGCACCTATCACAAGCAGCTTTCCAAGAAGCTGCACAACTGTCGCAAGAGGCTGGACATTGTCACGAAGAATCGGGGCAAGTTTACCAAGCGAGAGCCTCCCACCGCCGAGCAGGTGTCGGAGAATCATGAGTATTGCTATCCATCCGAGTCTACTTCTCGTCGCTGACCTGGTGGTCAAGATTTCTTCGCCTCCAACTGTTGACTGCCGAGCGCGCGTGGGCGCATGCCATGAGGTTTAAGGCCGTCCACTCGACCGATACCAAGGGCATCACCGGCCGCACCCGCTCCCACATCATATCCAGGCTCGACAAGGGAGCTCGCACCGCCGAAGATCTCGCTCAAGTCCTGTCAGACAGTCCCGCGAGCGGCGCCAGCGATACCGATATCCTCGAGGCGCGTGCGTATGCGTGTCTACTCAGGGGTGCCACCAACTTCGAGAAGCAGAGCTGGGAGCCCTGTCTGCGGAGCTACGCGACCGTCCGCATCATATATACTGCGCTTTCCACGTCGATGAATGGGGATCTGTTCAAAGACCTACTCTCCGACACCGTCGACCCTTCTATTCGATATGCGGCCTACCAGACCAAGATCCCGCGGACGTTAGCCATATCCACCATCGCTCGCAAGGCATTCCCCTCTTCCGACTCGTCCTTGGTTGGCCAGATCAACAAGCTGGCTCCGGATTTGCTGCAACAGAGTGGTTCCGACGCCCAGAAGGGCCAGGTTGGCGCCCCGAATGCGCCCCAGACTATCACCTGGAGGTCTCGGGAAGTGAAAATAGAAGATGCGGCCATCGCGCTCGCGCTCGCGTCGACCGACACGGCGACTTCCCGACTGGCCGAGAAGTTGGCGTCTTCTGATGTTATACTGCCCAAGGAGATGGCTGCGGCGTACGACGAAGTGCTCATTGCTAGTCAGGATGCAGCCGACGCTACGAAACGCGCCATCGACGAATTGAAGGAGGAGGGCGTGTCGCAGAATGACCCCAGAATACAGAGCCTGCAGATAACCCGTACGGCAGTAAATTACCAAATGATCAGCTGGAGAATTGGTCGCAACCGCGTGCTCAGCGGGGAGCACGATGGAGCCCTGCTCGATTCAGCGCCCACTACTACTCGGAAATCCAAGAAGGATGCTACTTCTCGGAAGCCCAAGGTCGAGCCGCCTAGCAAGAAAATTGCGCGTCTTAAAGACAAAGTCGTCCTCTACGATTCAACGCTGAAGAGCATCGATTCGATCAAGGAGCTGCCAGGCGTTGCGGCTGATGAAGAATTGTTAGAGCAGCTAGAGGCTACCGTTAAATATTTCCATGCCCTCAAGTCAGTGTGCCCATTACCCCAGCCCGCTCTACAAAAAAAAATTTCTCTCCCTCGTATCAATATTGTATATATGCTAACTATTTGGTCTTTCTAGATGCTTATCAATCGCGCGTTCTCATTCTTTAACCGATCAATCAGTCAACGCATTAGCTCTTACCAAGCACGCATTCGACGAGTGCCAGCAAGCCGTGGACGTCTTTTCGAAACGTACCACCTCTTCTCCGAATGCCTCCCCCCGTAACATCGAGATTCGTCAGACCGACATCCAATTCCTCTCTGATCTCTTGCGAGGGGAGCTCCAGAGATGCCGCGCGATCGTCGAGATAGACAACTTGCAGAAAAAGGAGGCAAACAAGACTCCGCCGGAGGCGAGAGTCCCGCTGGTTCATCGTCTGTTCGAGTACCCGGCCGAAGGCGCGGACTTGGACCACCTCGTGGACTACCCGCCCAAGCTGGAACCTATCCCGGTGAAGCCTCTGTTCTTCGACGTTGCCTGGAACTACATCGAATACCCCGGAAAGGAACCAGCTGCCGCCCCCGCGCCCGAGCAGAGCACCGCGCAACCCTCTCAGTCGCAGAAGAAAGGCTGGTTCGGGTTTGGGAGATAGGTCTCGGTCTCCTGTCAACGGTTTATATTTACTACGTACGTAAAGACTGAGACTAGCGTGAGGAAATTCCCTATATAATTCCATCCGCCTCCCCGTAGCTGGAAGCCATCCGTGTAGCCATGTTCTCAACAAAGATGGGGATAATTGTCGACGGTCGTCTGTCTGGCCACTGCACGAGGGCGCATTCTTAGTTTGGATTTTTGTGGTTCTCAGCGTCGGGTAGCCGCGGTGAAAAACGACGTTGGGTATGTCATGGTAAGCGTCGCTCACATCCAGCAACACGAACGGCACCCTCCAGAGAACCCCCGCTCCGGCCCAATAGATGAGCCTGTAGGGCCGCGCTATCCTAATTCTCCTAGCGGCAACGGAATAGCGACGATGTAAAGAAATTCATCTAGAATGGGGTGAATGGAACGGAGGAGGGCGGCAATCTTGGGGAATTAAAACACGTCATTTAGCAAAGCCCACGGCGATTGTGAGAGGGGATATCTTATTAGGATTCTTCGTGATCATTTATATACATGAGCTCAATCTAGAGCGCGAACCCCCCCCTAATGCCATATGTATCACCATTGGATCCACATGAAAATGTCTTCGGCTCGTAGGCAAAGCTTTTCTTTTCCCAAATCTCGTAACGCCGGTTCCACCCGCAAATTCATGAAGACCTCGCCTCGGGGCAGTGTATGGGAATAACGGAGGGGGCAAGTATAAGTACAACTTGATGTACAAAGGTGGTAGAGTCAGCTCAGACGATCCCAACCTTTCCTAAACGATCAATCACAGCGAGCTGTGTGGAACTAGGTGAGCCCCGGCCAGAATGCGCGTCTCACGGCTTCTTCTCGCCCTCAGGCTTGAACTCGTCCTCAGGCTTGAACTCGGGCTCAGGCTCCGAGGAGCTAGCCTTGGAGTTCTCAGATCCCTCGTTACGGGCCTTATGCACCTTGTCGAACAGATTGAGGCTGGCAATTTGCAGCTCGTCTGTCTTCGCCTTGAGATCCACACCAGTGATTTCTTCGCCAGATTGGCTCTTGCTCACCAATTCCCGTAGGGATGTGATCTTTTCCTTGATTGCATCAGCCTCAAGCTTGTCGATTTTGTCAGCGTGCTCGTTGAGGGCTTTCTCGGTATCGTTGAGAACAGTATCGGCGCGGTTGGCGGTTTCGATAACGGACTTGCGCTCCTTATCCTGCTCGGCGTACTTCTCCGAGTCCTGAACCATCTGCTCAATCTCAGATTCGGACAGACCGGAGCCCGAGGCGATGGTGATCGACTGGTCCTTGTTCGTGCTCTTATCCTTGGCATGGACGTGGACAATCGAATCGGCATCAATATCGAATGTCACCTCGATCTGCGGCACACCACGGTGCGCCGGTGGGATGCCAACCAACTGGAAGTTGCCCAGCAGCTTGTTATCCTTGACGAGCTCACGCTCACCCTGGAACACCTTGATCTCTACAGCGGTTTGGAAGTCGGCAGCGGTGCTGAAGACCTGGGATTTCTTGGTCGGGATCGTCGTGTTGCGGTTGATTAATCGAGTGAAGACACCGCCCAGGGTCTCGATACCGAGAGACAGAGGGGTGACATCCAACAATAGGAGGTCCTTAACTTCGCCAGCGAGAACAGCGCCTTGGATAGCAGCACCGATAGCGACAGCCTCGTCGGGGTTGACGGACTTGGCGGGGTCACGACCAAAGATGTTCTTGACCGACTCGGAAACCTTTGGCATACGGGTCATACCACCGACTAGTATCACTTCCTGGATATCCTTGGCTTGCAGGTTGGCGTCCTTGAGAGCCTTGCGGACTGGCTCAATCGTCTTCGTAATTAGAGGGTCCATCATGGCCTCAAGCTGCGACCGCGTCATCTTCGTGTTGATGTGCTTAGGACCGGAAGCGTCAGCTGTGATGAAGGGGAGGCTGATATCAGTCTGCAAGGACGAGGAAAGCTCAATCTTGGCCTTCTCGGCAGCCTCGCGGATCCGCTGAATGGCCATGCGGTCGTTGGATAAATCAATGCCGGAGTCGGCCTTGAACTGCTGGACCAGGGAGCGGACTAGGCGGATATCAAAGTCCTCACCACCCAAGTGGGTGTCACCATTGGTCGACTTGACCTCGAAGACGCCATTCTGAATTTCGAGGACCGAGATATCGAAGGTACCACCGCCCAGATCGTAAACAGCGACCACCCGGTCGGCTTCCTTGTCCAAGCCGTAGGCCAATGCGGCGGCAGTAGGCTCATTCACGACTCGGAGAACGTTGAGACCAGCGATCTGACCGGCATCCTTGGTAGCCTGACGTTGAGAGTCATTGAAATAGGCAGGTACAGTAACGACGGCGTTCCTGACAGGCTTGCTCAGGTAGGATTCGGCAGTCTCCTTCATCTTGCTGAGTACAAAGCCGCCAATCTGCGACGGCGAGTACTTCTGTCCTCGTGCTTCCACCCAGGCATCGCCATTCGAGTGTTGGACGATCTTGTAGGGAACCTCTTTAATATCTCTTTGAACCTCGGCATCGGTAAACTTGCGCCCGATTAATCGTTTGGTCGCAAAGAGGGTGTTCTCAGGGTTAACGACAGCTTGCCGCTTCGCAGCAACACCGACAAGTCGTTCACCATCCTGCGCGAATGCGACGACGGACGGGGTCGTCCGAGCGCCTTCTGCGTTCTCTATAATCCTGGGCACTTTGCCCTCCATGATGGCAACAGCCGAGTTTGTGGTGCCTACGAGGGGACTGGTTAGCCGGGCGCTGGGAATGGAGCCACGGCGGCGCCCCGGAAGAACTTACCCAAGTCAATGCCGATGACGGCACCTTGGACCTTCCCGTCCGTCGACTCATATCGAGCGAAGCTGGCGCCTAGGGGTCTCCGCAGAGGAGCTGCTAGTCGCGACGCTACGGGGGTTGCTCGAGGGAGCTGGGCGGGCAAGTCGCGGCGGTTAGCAAGGCGTCCAGATGAAAACCGCTTCCAACACCAGTACTGGGGAGCCGATTGGACTTACAGCTCTAGCAAATCGAGAGGCCAACATATTGTGGGTTGGCTCGACGAGACCGGATATGAGACCGACGGCGGATCAAATGGGAGAAGATATATAATGTCAGAAGGCCGGGGGGAGGGGGGGAAAGGAAGTTAGAGCAATGCACAGGTTTACCGGTGGGATTATTTATTTATGCCTCTGAGGGGGATGGCAAATTGGTGGGGGGGTGGGACGGGTAAAATTTGAAATTTCTTCGATCTGGACGGTTCTGTCGAAAGGAAGAAGGCTTCTGAGAGCTTCGCTGGGGGCGGTATAGCCAGGCAGTATTCAATACCTGCAAAACTGCGGTTCAAAATTTTTTAAGAGGGGTGACGTCTAAGTTGCTTCAATGCTGGACAAAGGTAATAGGTACATGTGTACATTCTTTGCCGAAGATTCCTCGACCAGACCCGAGCTCCAATAGACATATGCTTATATCATAACCCTTGGCCTTTTGGGGCCTTGCCTAATTCGTGTATTGAGCACACGCCCTGCCCGTTACTTGAGGTCACCTAAGGTACCTAGTTAGGTACCTCTTAGATGCTGTAGGAGTACACTTTGCCGCGGATCTCTTATCAGTCAAATGCCCGATGCCACACGTTACCTAGATATAGGCTGTGCACATACATGAACCGACATGGGCGACGGGAGCCCAAAATACCCTATGTACATATGCGCATACCGCTCGCTTCGGGATACGCTGTTGCTAATGGCTGTATGAGAATGTAGTTGATACCTCTAGGTAGGTAGGTACATTTGATGGTTCCGATGTTGGTATTTGCAAGTGGGTAATCGTCCTGGTGGGAATGGCATCATTTGATGCATTAGGTACTTGCCCACTTAGATTAGTATGTTTGGTACCTGTCTAACATAGGTACCTATCAGACAGGCATCTCTGTAATGTACTCATCCACTTATGAGTACACCTATACGGGGTAGGGCAGGTACCTAAGGTGGCTTCCATAGGTGGGGGTAGGTACCTACCTACAGGAGAGGTAGCGAATATTACCTCTCTTACTTAAGGTACCTAGATACCTGATGTACACATTACCTGTGTTTGGCCCATATTTACATATAGATGAGCTAAATAGAGAAGACTACCAAGTAGCGCTGTTAGGAATCGAACCTATCCTTCGTTAAGTAACCTACTGATCTCATATACTGTAAATCAAGTTACCTCTAAAGACCAGCCCCTACCTTAGGTTACCCTGGTTAGGTTGCCTGCATACCTGCTGAGTCAGGTACAACATACTGCGAGGATACATTATTGCCTGGCATCAAAATCATCAACGGCACCACAATTTGGCAGTATAGGTGCTGTATTGGGGTACATCCCCAAGTAGGGCAGGTACCTAAGAGAGTCTGCCCGTTACCCTGCAAGACTTGGGTGTTGCTACTTCTACATGTCCGCACGTCATATGATGAGAGCGTCTATCCCTATAGGCAACCTTTGGCATCTTTATCTTCTTTCATATATCCGGCCTGACTCTAACCACCATTGCCATTCATCGCATCCTTCCACACACACACACACACACACACACACCGGCACAGACTGACACATGCGCCATACACGCTGCGCTTGCGACGATTCTCATCAATGATCCTGTCACCGCGCAGATGCTTGCATTCCTTGGAGCCTGCCAATATTGCTGTTGAAGTCTGTTCACTCCCATCCTGCTAATAACCTGCAAACCGCTGCGGCCTCGGCATCCTACGTCTCCCAGTCCGTCGCTGTTGACCCAACCTGCGAATTCATCGCCCACCTCTGCGAACCTGCCCTGCAGCGCTATTGCACTTGCCGACCTCTCCGATCTCTGCAACCCGACCAACCCTCTGTTCCCTTCTCAGCCCGTCGCTCAACCCGTACTTCTGAGGCGTGTTTCCATGATCGATTCGACTTGATGAGCCATTATTACGGCATCGACACTTGCCATTGGCATCATGGCCATAGATGAGGAAGCCAGGTAGGATACATTGCTGCATGCTTCCAAGATGGAAATCTCTGTGCTGATGGATTTATGACGCCCTAGCCTTTGGCCTACAGAGAGCCTACTCCTGAAAGAAGGTCGCAAGCACTACTACACCAATGTCTCTCCAATGTCAGTCTCACCTTTTGCCTGCCTATATACACACTGTCTTAACCGGCCTGGCTACCTATATAACTGCATAAACTAATCGCCCCCGCCCCCTCTCTCCTAGTCACTGGCAGCTTCGATCGTTGGTCAGTGCCGAGCAACAAGATATCGTCTACTTCCCTGCGGGCGCCAACAACACTCACATTACGCGACTCCACACCACGACCCGCGAATGCGAAACCATTAGGGTAATCAACTTCCCACCCCGATGTCTGGTCGCTAGTGAGGGGTGGATCTGCTGTGGAGGCGAGAGCGGAGAGTTTACCGTCATCCGAGACGTAGGTCGAACCGACGCGCAAGACGATGTCCTCGGCAACGAATTCCGCTCGACCTTGAGCTCCCTGGAATCTTCCAGCGTGGCAGAGGGTTCCATGTCCCGACTCCATCGCGATATGCTGAACCTCGTGGAACGGATCAACGGCTCGAACAAGACGTGGTCCTCCTCGAATCACAAGGTCGGCAGCGAGCGCGTCAACTGTATAACGATCTGGCACCCCCCTCAGGGCAAGCGCGACCCCGCCCAATACTCATCGTCTCCGCTGGCCATCCTTGCCAACAATGACAGAACCGTTACGATTGTTGGGCTTCACGATCCCGGCAAACGCCTGGACCGGCTTCAGTACCCGGACTGCGTCAATCGAAGCGTCCTCTCCCCGGATGGGACCCTATTAATTGCCATCTGCGACGACCCCTTTCTTTATGTGGACGTGAGACGACCGGTCACCAAACACCAGGGTGACTCGAGCGAGAAGTTCGAGTGGGTCCTGCTACCACGGATACGACTAAAAGGCCAATGGTATGAAGATGCTACGGACTGCCGAGGAAGCTTTGCCGCATGTTTCTCCCCATCTGGCAGATACTTGGCCGTCGGTACTCAGTACGGCACGATATCTGTATTCGACGCAAATGCCCTCAAGGATCCCGACTCGGATGCCTTAGTGGCGTATTTCAATTCCGATCGATCACCGGGAGAATTTGGGGCTGTTAGAGACATGGCCTTTTCCCCGGGGCCGTTCGATCTCCTCGCGTGGACAGAACACCGTGGAAGGGTCGGTATCGCAGACGTGCGTACCGGCTTTAGACAACGGCAAATCGTATCTTTGGATAAACCAGAGGGTTTCGACCATTTTGCGCTCAGCGACAGGAGCACCGCCGACCCACGTCTACCTGATCCGCGTAACGAGCGTGATTCAGAAGACTCGCTGCGAAGCCTCTTCTTGCAAAACACCATGAACCAATCCATCTCTATCCAGACTCCGCCCATCACGGGCGCTTTAGACTTCACTCCGCGAGTCAATATCTCTAGCGCTGAGCTTGCTGCCGCCGCCCGAGACGCTCGACGCCGAGAGTTGCGGGAAAGGGTGGAACAGCGGGATCAACATCTCGCAGAATCTCAAGGTCAACAACCCGCTGGAGAAGGGAGTGCTGCATGGAGGTCCCCGGGCTGGGAGCACGTAAGTACCCAGAGGAGGATGTTTTCCTTTCGGAGGAGGCCAGATGAGGATGAGTTGCGCAGAACAACTACTCTAACTGGTGTCCAGCGGGAAACCGTAACACGTATCCTCGAACGCGAGCGTATACTCGGGAATCGCGAACCGCACCGCTCCGGATCCAGTCAGGCGCAGCCTGAGCAGGACCGCGAGAGACGTGCACCTACCCCCCGGCGGCGGAGCTCCTTGATGCAGGCAGCGGCACAGGGCGTTGATCCTGCCCCGCAGGCGATCGGCAACAGAGCACAAGGCTACGGCCACGACAATCCGGCAACCTCGCGCGGAGAGTGGACACCACTATACATGGGGAGACTTGCCTCGGGGTGGCGCGATATCGAAGCGCTAGCAACCATTAGTAGAGGCGACGACACCATATTCGACACAGCTCGAGTCGAGTCCAGCAGATCCCGTCGCGGTAGCCCGGTGATTACCACCGGCGTGTGGACCAGCGATAGGTCCTTTATCCGTCGCGCTAGAATGGGTCATCGCGAGCACCCGCAGAATGCCGACGACACTGCCGGTCTGTCGTGGAGCGAAGATGGTCGAATTTTGTGAGCGTTTTCTACGAATCTGATTGATACGTTTCTACCTGGCTAATACAGTCTTTTAGGTACGTTGGTGCCGAGGACGGAATTTATGAATTCCACGTCAACGTGCAGAATAGGAAGACATTTCCGGACATTGTGCCTCGTTAGTCATTAGGGGGGGGGCTGTATGTTATTTATGTCCGTTGCCGTCCCGTACGGAGGAGTTGGTGGCGTTACGGAGTATCGACTCATGTGCATGTGCATAATAAGGGGGGACGGGATGTGTTTTTTTATTAAAAAAAAACCAGAGTGGTTGTGTGTGAGAGTAAATTATGTCTCGCTCACTCCCTCTCGGAATGTCCGAGTGCTCGGGTTTGTTCTTCGCGGTAGAAAGAAGAGGATAACACCGACACGTTGACCGAGACTTGTCGGCGAGGGTTAGTTACGCTGGACACCCATCATATTGATTTGACTTGCGTCGAACCTATACCAAGTTCTACACATACTTCCATAAACTCTTAGTACTCCGGATCAACGCGACAACCATATCGTGGAATATATACTTTCGTGGCCCTGTCGTCCTCTTATCCTTCCTATTTTTGGTGGTCAGGCTTCTCGCCTCTTGGAATCGTATTCATGTCGCATAGCACCCACCACATCATAACATGCCCCGTCCCTCCCATCTTGTCTTCTCTTGCCCAGCCTAGCTCCTGGGTGTTGTTATCCACCATCTCCCACCCGCAGACGAAGGTAGAAAACAATCCCCAACCCCTGACACTGCTCGTGTCTGCGCCAGCCTCTTCTCGCGCCGCTCGGGCTACAACGCGGGCGACCCTTCGACCTTGTGGCTCGCGTACAGCATGTCGCGCACGAGGTCGCCGATGGCGAGGCTGCTGGTCAGGCCGGGGCTCTCGATGCCGAGGAGGTTGACCCAGCCGGCGTAGCCGTCCTCCTGGCGGATGTGGAAGTCGACGAAATCGTCGCCGACGCCCCCTTTCGCCTTCCCTTTCGCTCCGGGCGCAGGCGCGGGCGCAGGCGCGGGCGCGGGCGCGGGCCGCAGCTTGGGCCGGATGCCGGCGTAGTCGGGGGCGAGCGCCGCGGCGTCGACGGCGGGGAGGTAGGTGCGGATCTCGGCAAGGGCGCGGGCCAGGTTGCGCGGGTTCGGCGCGAGATCGGTCGGGTCGTCGACCCACTCGACGTCGGGGCCGAAGCGCATGCGGCCGGCCAGGTCGAGCGTGAGGTGTGTGCCGAGCCCGGCGGCGCCGGGCTCCGGGGCCGGGTAGATGAGGCGCGAGACGCGCGGCGTCGCAGACGCGTACGAGAAGTAGTTGCCCTTGGCGTAGTAGAGGCGCACGGGGGCGACGGGCGAAGGAGACGAGGAAGAGGACACGATCATGTTGTGGATGCGCGCGGCGCCCAGCCCCGCGCAGTTGACCACGGTCGACGTCGAGATGCGGACGTCCTGGCCGCCAGTCGCGGCTTCCCGCACGGTGAGCTGCCAGCCGCGGCTGCCGGGGCAGCCGCCACCGCCGACGGGCTCGACGGCCACGACGTCGCAGCCGAGGGCGACGATGCCGCCGGCGTCCTCGAGCAGGTGGTGCAGCTTGGCGATGAGCGCGTACGAGTCGACGATGCCGGTCTCGGGGCTCTCGAGCACGGAGCGGGCGCGGACGGCGGGCTCGAGGCGCGCGACCTCGGCGGAGCGGAGCCAGCGCGTCGGCGCGTCGATCCGGCCGGTGCTCCCGAGGGCGCGGATGCGCTCGAGGGCCCGCCGCTGCGGCTCGTCCTGCGCGACGATCCACTTGCCGATGCGGGCGTGAGGGACGCCGTGCATGTCGCAGAAGTCGTACAGCGCGCGGCGGCCGGCGGCGCAGAGCCGTGCCTTGAGCGACGACGCGCCGTAGTACAGGCCGGCGTGGATGACCTCGCTGTTGCGCGACGACGTCTCGGTGCCGACCCGCGCGTGCCGCTCGAGGAGCAGCGTGGTGTCGGTGCCGCCGCCGCCGCTACCGAAGGGATGGGAGGCGATCGCCCGCGCGACCGCGAGGCCCACGACGCCGCCGCCTATTACCTGCAGCGGCCGGCCACGTCACCACGACACCAGTGAGCGAGCTACAAGAGGTCTTTTTCGTATGGGTGCATCGTGCCCCGGGAGAGGAGAAGTGGAGGAGGAGGAGGTCTCGGCAAGAACTTACCACATGCGTGAAATCTGTCACGACAGGCGCTTCGCTAGAGAACAAACGCGACAGGTTCGTCAAACTGGGCTGCTGAAGTCGGCATCGGGCCGACCTGGCCAACAACATCTTGCGGGGTTCCTGATGGAGTTCGGAGATCCCGAAGTGAGAGGAGGAGAGGGCGAGAGAGACAAAAAGGGGAGAAGTACGGAGTCGCATATCTACATCTAGGAAAAGACGATTCTATTGATAGGTGGACCCCGTGGTAGGAAGGGGTGTAGTTAGTACGTATGATATATTCAATTAAGCAGTCGTAGTATCGTACCTCCGTACCCTTCTCTTTATCGGGAGGTACGTAGAGGTACTTATTCCTCGTAACCTCCTTCTCCTGCCTTCGGTGGCAACTTCTTTCGGTCGCAACTGCCTTCAATCGCCACAAGAATAACATTCATAATTGAATATGCAAATTATCATATCCATAATATTATCCTAGCGGTCATATGCATTAAATGAACACCCCATTTTATTAGGGCGTAAGTCTAGACATTGAAGGTGGGGAATCCCACCCCAAAATGGGAGTTTTCCCAGATGTAGGTAGATATGCGACTCCGTAGAGAAGTAAAACAAATGATAATCGTAATAATATACCTACGTACAAAGACCCTCCCAATACCGGAGAAGGCTCGGAGTTGCTTATAGAACTGGGGTTCAGGTGGGATCGGAGGATCGGACCGGATTGGAATATGTACGTCCGTCCCCTGGAAATCAACCGCCGGGAGGCGCCAGATGTATTTACATTAGGTTAGACATGAGGATTCCAGAAAATAACTAGATACGCTATATACGGAGCATTAGTCTGTCTATCAGAGACAACTTCGACATCAAACGATTTACGATTTCTTGGCTGCGTATGGGTTCATATACCCTACTGATTACGAACACCCGCCATAGCATGAGGTGTACAATGGAAACATACCTGCCTGAACAGTGATCGGGACCTAGAATGCCTGATGAAGCAAAAAATTCACTCGCAGTCTTGATCAATGGTGATGCGCAGTCGAAATATTATCGCGCTCGTTCGCTTGGGAACGGCATGTCTAGGATTTCCCTAGTGATTCGCACCACAATTTTGCGGGACTATAACTATTTAGAAAGCCCGCCCGTGTACACTTGCTAGTATTCCGTCCAGACCATAATACCATCGATAATGCGCCGAGGGACCACGTAGAATTTGTCGATAGTTTCTCGAGTTTCGTCGAAGCGCCCCTCTTGCCCTGCCCTGCCTTGAAGTCCGTTCTACAAACGCCGAAACAGTCGGTCAAACCAGGTAAATAATTTCAGCTCATCATTCTCGATGAGTCCAGCAGCCAGACGCCTTTTATGCTAAACCAAATTTATACGGTCAAGCCAAGACCGAATCATTTTAGTCCTCTTTGGCCGCGTCCGAAGCCGCAGTCGTCTGGGATATGCCGGGGGTTGCTGCAGGCGTAGAAGACGAGAGCGTCGTGCTGTCCTCTTCAGATACCGAGGTTGACTGCGTGAGATGAGAATGATGTGTCGGTTCTCGCGTCAGCGACGCGTTGGCATGAGCCTCGCTCAATTGGCGTTCTAGACAGAAGTCAGCGATCCCCTCTATACACTGCAATATAGTACGGTAATTATACGTACCGAGTTCCCGGATTCTGTGACGCAGCATCTGGTTCTCGCGGATTAAGGATTGGGTCTCGGCTTGATAGTAAGCACTCTCGTCACGAACGCCGGAAATAAGCGGCTCTCCACCCTCCCCGCTGATAGAGGTCGACCTCATTCTAGGAGATGGTGCCCCACGGCTTGGGGTCCTAGACCTCCGGTGCAGGGCGTCGCGTGCCATATCGAAGGAAGAGCGAGGATGCGACAGAACCGGCGAACGAGGAACCGACGTGGATGGGGCGGGAAGGACGGATGGCACAGCCGGGTTCTGCAACGCCACGGAGCTTGATCTCTCCGACGTAGGCGTCGCGTCTTCGGCGGCTACGCTGGTTTGGCTTTGGCCTTGAGCCGCTTGAAGTTGCTGTAGCTGAAGTTGCTGTTGGCGAATCATGTGCAGGAGTCGGTTCTGCCGTCACATAGATTAGCTACTTGCCGCCCCGGGGGTTAAGGACGAGCCGCGTCACTTACTACTTGTGCCTCCTGCTCCGCCTCTAGTTCCTGATGGAGCTCCCCCAAACTTGGTGCTCTATTGTGGTGCGGATCCCCGCCGATGAGAAGCGGGGACGTAGATACAAGGTGAGGGCTAGTGGTGCTATGGCCGCTACCGCTCTCGGTAACCATCTCTCCGGGGCCGGGGACAGACGGGTCGTTGAGCTGGAGGTTCATCAAGACGGTAGAGCGTCGTCGGCCGGTTTGCGGTGATTGTCGATTCCGCGATAAGGAGCCGCTGGAGGAGCCTGTAAAGAAGAAAGCTCGCATCAGCAGGTGGGCAGTCTTAAGGAGGCCCTACTCAATGGGTAGGGAAAGACATACGTCTCGTAGGTTCATGCTGAAGGCCAGCATTCATAGTTGCGGCGGCTTGCAGGGAGGTGGATGCGGACCGAGGGGAGGGCGACGCGGATTCCCCGCGTGAGGCGGAGTCTCCATTGCCGTTGCCATTGCCGTTTGAAGTCATAATGCGCGGGCGTACTAATGACGACGACGACGATGATGGTGGTGGTTGTGGTGGTGGTGGTGATGGGGGAAGAGAGTTGAGGTCGGGAGCCATATCAGCAAAGAGGATGAGCAGTCTTCAAGTATGAAGTCAGGTAGGCAGGCCTTCGGAGGTCTAGGTTACATAAGAGGCGGCTTTCAGCCCTCGAGTAACCCGGGACAGATGGACATGGACCAAGCTCTAAACTCTCTTCGACGGGCAGACCCAAGGGTAGTCGGCAGGGCCGACTTCGTCCTAGCCACCAGACCCCAACCAGGGACAGGCCAGAGGCGAGCGTGGTGGGGACGAGGTAAAGTATGGAGTAGGTAACTAAGGCGATGCAGGGTGGCGGTCCCAGCGGATGGTTAGGGAAGCGGAGTAAGGCTAGGGATGAGGGAGGCGATCATGGCACGAGTAACCTGGTTGGGGGAGGAAACATCAGATGCTACTCTGCTCATAGGAGGAGGAGAATGCGGGCACCTGGTTAGCCAGCCGGAGGAGGCTGGAGAAGCTGGAGCTATTCGGAAAAGACAGTGCGCCGTGCCCATCCAGGTGGCGGAGAGGAAGAGAGCACCTAGATTGATAGATGGGTGAACGAGACAAGCCAGACAAACAGCAGCAGTGAGAGAGGCGGGCACATAGGCAGGTAGGTAGAAGAGACAAGTCGATGATGATGGATGGGCTGGCGGGTTGGTGGTTAGCTCGCCGGGAGGAGGTAGGCTGCACATACATACCTACATATGCAATACACTACATAGGTAGGTATGCACAAACAACGGTCTAGCCTGTGTGTACAAGGTAAACACCACTAGAGTACATGTCTGCATGCCTAGGTACCGAAGTAGGTACCTGCTTCCCTACCTCTCATACTTAGGTAGGTAGGGTACCTGTAGTTTATAGGTACTAATCAATTTGGTTGCTGGCCTGCCTAAGGAGGTACCTATCTATTAGTAATGAACGATCCCCAAGTATACGCTTACCTTTGGAGGTACCTAGGCAGGTATCTAGACGTATGTAGGTACCTACCTAGGTACCTAGGTATGTAGGTAATTACGCATACCTACATAGAATTACGTACTTGGTGTCCATTGCCCACATTAGGTACCTAACCCCTCCACAGAATAGCCTTCACGTTGATGCTTACCGCGCAAGGGTGTCGTGTCTGCTTGTTTGCGGGGGCATTTGACTCCCGGATCCCGTGACCTTGTTACCCCATGACGTTGCGTTCTCGTAACTGTGACTGAACCCGAGGATGAGGGTACCTACCCACCTAACGTACCTTAGGGGGTACTTACCTTAGGGAGGTCCTTACTTGAGGTACCTACCCGTTGCATCAGGTTACCTAAGGAGGCACCTAACCTACAGATGACTGATTCATTCTTTGCCTCAGCACCTCCCTGGCTCCATCGCACGAGGCTCATCCGTCACCCCATTTCCGCCTAAACCACAAGACATCCGTCATACGCTACGTAATCTAGACTGTCAATTGTCCCGAGCACCACCGTGGACGAATCCCAATACCCGTCAGCAGACCTGTGAATTTTCGATAGGCGATAGGTTGTCACGGGTTTCGTGCTGCTCAACCCGTAATCTGCGGCAATCTGCGGCTACGCTCGCATGTTCGGTGAATCACTTGTCCAAGCCTCGCTCGTCAATTCGCTCGGCTCAACGAGGCACTATCGCCGCTATGTATGGAGGTGGGCGGGCAACGGACGTATCTTGTTGGTGGTCGAGGTTGTTAGTGCCTTGGATCGAAAGACCGCTGCGCCCGCGCCAGTGCCGGAGCTGCCGACCAGGAGACAATCCGAGGTCTCTAGGGAGGGTCTAGGCGGGATGCTATTCCCACTCATCTGCCTGCCTTCGCTGTATTCCCACACGGCCTAGCCGGCGCGGACTCTAGGCATGGTGTACGATGATGAGAGACGGCAATAGATGTTGATCAGAACAATGCAATCATTGCCAGCACCACCACCACTATGGACATTGCTCGATTTACGTATTCGTGTCCGCGCATGAATGGGATCTGCCCGCCATTTGTTATTCCTCGATCCGACGGGCACGTCTGTAATATATATCATATACCTACGTATTCCGCGGCAATCTTTGTCTTCATATAGGCACCCGGTGGTGGCTACCAGGCGATGGTGGCCTACGCCTGGAGGAGAAATTACGGGTGGTACGTACGGTGTCATATCTCACATTCTCTCTCGATGGCAGTCGAACGATGCGCCGGGAATGGCGCATGTTGCGATATCTCGCTCCCACCCTCGCCTACCTATGGCTACCATCGCGGGCGGGTAATTCATAGTAGCATCGTTCCCCAGCACCCCCCTCCTCTTTCCCAGCCACGCCGATCTATCAGGCGTCTGCTCCCGGGGGACGATCGAGAGAAGGTTGGCTAGGGAGTAGTTGCCTAAACGCGCAGTATCCCAAGAGGAAGTTCTTCCCAGTGCTTCGATGACGGACGAGGCGCCAGCATCCGCACATGTTTCGGGAACCATCCAATTTTCGGTACCTAAACGAGGGCTGCTGAATGTCACCTGATGGTACGTGGCTTTGTAGTCGAAAAGAAAAGGTGGCGGGACAGGTTAGGCACATTATGCCGGTTCGGCACTCTTCGGTGCTCGATGGGGGGGGGGGGGAGGGGAAAGGGGGTTGGCGCATCTACAGATATTACAGATACAGATACAGACGCATATTCCAATAGTGTTATGATCCGATGCCGAATGGCGAATGAGACTCGGGCTCGACCGGCGCCCCTACTCGGACTCCTTCCTTGTCAATATTGTTTTGCTTACGTCTGCTATGCTCTCGAGACGCCGTGGCCAAGATAAAGCCCAAGTCCATATCCAATATTTCGATGTGCGTGTAGGAGATGGTTGATGCAAGAACCAGAACACCGCATAGCTGGGGCATCTGATCCATGCTGTGGTTGGCGAGCAAGTGCTTAGACGAGAGACCCTCCTCCTCCCACGGCCCAGGCTCGGCACTCTCCTGCGAAGCGGGAAGCACGCACTTCCACTTCGGCGACCCTCTGAGCAGCCTTCGGACGGGGTTGCTAGCCGGCATGCGGGCTAGGGGCTGAGGAGTATGCACGAAATGTGATGACTTTCTCTCTATCGCAGCTGTGGCGGGTGCGTTCAATAGTTGGAAGAGATGCTGCAGCCTGTGCCTAACGACCTTCCCTATCTAAGGTCTCGTAAATCTCACGGACATGGGACAGCCGGCTACCGGATCTAACCTAGGGAAGACCCGCGCAATAGAGGCTTACTGTCGGGTTGGCGAGAACCGGCGGCGAATATCGAACTAGTAGACGCGGCCTTCGGGATTCCTACCCCGCTTGGCGATGGTGTTATACCTGTTGTCGTAGACGAGCCCGACAACCATCTCTGTTATTCGGCCTATTCCTCGCCATACTCCCTACATCCATCACGCCCGGGAACTGCATACGCCTCGACCTTACAGGTCAACTGTGGACTTGCCAATATGCCCTTCGAAAACCTGGGGAATACTAGGATGTTCTTCTCCTTTTCCACCCCTCTTCTCTCTCCGTTTCCTCGGTCCTCTCTGTCCTCTTGCTTTCTTGCGGCTCAGGGGGGGGAGGGTCCCGACGCTGCAGCCACCGGTGATATCGACACATATGGCTGCGTCCAGCCGTTCATTCGACGATCGTAGACTCCTGATTCGCAGCCAGGCATCTAACCTTTGCTTCTTCGATTTTCAATCTCTTTCCTTGGTGCGGCTGCCTTAGGCGTGTTACGTAGGTGTACATAGGACACGACTTGAAAAAATATCCTAAGAATTGGTAAGGGGGCACAATGAGGAATACTTTATTTTTTATTAATTTTTTAATAGCAAGTTTGTCTTCTCTCTTCTCTCTAGCTCTTGGCGGACACGGCTGCTGATGGTCAATGCCGCCTCAGACCCGGTGGTTCGGGTAACGTGGATAAAGCAATCTCTACGACCATCCTCGACGCGTGGCGGCCCTGTTGACAATCACCACACCCCTGTAACGAAGCAGTGGGATTCTAACCCTGAATGTCTTCGGTAAATAAGTAGTGCCTTCATCGAGGAACCCAACAAGTTCCGGACCGGAGTCGCTGCGGAATGACAGTAGCGATTACTGGTTGGTTGGCTGCCTGGTAGGTGGCCAGCCACAAAGGATTCTCGACTATAGGGGGTAGGCGGTGTTCGGCGCATGCTTTTTATTTTTATTTTTTTGTTTTTTCATTATGTAGGTAGGTATCAGCGACGAAGAAGAGGGTGGGAAGGGGAGGATGGGGGCTCTCGCGGAATGTGCTGGCGCGCGCTCGTGAACCGCTACTTGTAACGCCGAGCTGAAGTACGGCAGTTTGTGTAGATAGTAAGTCTCATAATACTGTCGATCTGGGCGAAACAGTATAGGTCTACCTCCCAAAATCTACCCCGGAGCCTAGTTGTGCGACCGCAGCTTGACAGCTGTTCTAGCTTGAAGTTCAGAACCATTTCGAAGCTTGACTTGACTGAGCTCAGCTCGGCTCCTGTCTGCTATCCCTGGCCCTCCCTTCTGTCCCCACTTCCTCCCCAGCCTACTCATACTACTGCAGGAACCACAGGAACTACAGGGACAGAACTTGGAAGAGTCGACGCCACCATACGTATGTGCGGAAATACTGAGGGACGATGTGTCACAGTGAGACCTCCGGCCAGCCTAGATGCCGCAGCACCTGATCGCCTTTGCCACAATGCCACTGCTACGTGTGTGCGAGTCATAGAGTCTGGCGAGGCATAACACGCTTATAACGACTTGATAGAAGCTCGCGCAGGTCGCAGGTGTGTGTGTAGCGACGTCTCAGTGTTGAGGTGTTAAGACGATTTAATCTCCGGATGCCGATACCCACGATTTCCCCTGGGCTTGGATGCTCCAGGTGGATGTGCATTACGGCACCTACCTCAGGTACCTATATTTTATACTAGCATGTATCTCTACACACGGGGGCTATAGAGGGACAATATAAGTTGGTCTCGTAAGCAAAAATGATGTTCAAGGATATTATTATGACGAGCGGAGGGCAATCGGTGTCGTATCCTCATGTTAGAATTATACGGAGGAGAATGTGAGTGTCAGCTGAGGGCATATGCAACATGCAAGCACCCTCCTTTCCGCGTAGTATGAGATCACGGGGGTTGCGATGTAATATGGGTTGGGTTATTTCTTCCCTTTTCCCCTCCCTCTCTGCCTCTTCCCCCCGTCCCCCCCCCCTCTCTCTCTGTTTCCATCGAGTCAATGGTGGAGGTTCGGCTAGCATATGAAAGGGACCAGAGAGAGACGTCTGAATGAGACATACATGTGTGTAGGTTTATATCCTGCCTACACTTCTCGTAACAGTTGGGTCGGCAAGTCTATTTTTGAACGCCGATTAGTTAGTCAGGCCGATGTCAATCAATGCGATCAATGCAACAACACAGCGAAGCTATCGCCTATCTCGATGGGAACTAACCTGCTCATAATTTGTGTCCCGTGTCAAAGCGCGCGAACAGCCCCTGAAGTTCTACGCTCCCCTCTTCCCGCCCCAATCTCTCTACTTAGGTAGACGATATGTCCGTGCTAATACACACGCATACACATACAGACGTAGGTAGGTAGGTAAATAGGTGGCAGGAACCCTAGCCGACCGACAGCCCAGGCTTCGACCTAATTTTGGAAAATGATCTACAGAAAATACCGTGGCATCTGCCTCCCGAGGTTCGTTGCAATTGTGGATTGTGGATAGATGCAAGGATCGTCTCTGTATGTCGTATCGATCAGATAACTACTGGTCGTTATGTTGCGGTACATAACATAAACATATCTTACCCTGGGTACGTGATATACGAGTGCACGTATTAGAAGGTATGTATGTAGGAACTGTATGCCGTACGGCCACCATGTCTTCTTGACTTAGACACGCAGCTCACAGTGGATACGTAGACCAAGGAGGGTGTAAGGGGAAGTGTAATGTAGCACACTCGGACAACTACATCACTTGCGTTGCAGATTCGTGGAGTGCAGATATCATGTGTGGGCGTGAGAGCGCCCAAACTGCACCAATCTACACATATAAGGTGGGCGGCGATAAAATTCAATAGTCCCTACAGGCTTTCAGCTATGTGGTACCGTGTGGTCCTCTTGGTTGTGTAATCCCGAGCCACGATGCTACCATGACGACTATTACGCCTATTCCCTTCGGCCTCTGTCCCATCCATGCGCGTGTGGGTGGTATCGGATGGGTTCAATCGGGTTCGTCGACTACACCACCAATTGTTTATCGGCATTTGTGTGACATATATTAAGCCCATTGCCGGAAAGGGATCTCTACTGGAACCCTAACTCGAGGGGAGTGGGCATCGCGGTTGTCGAGAATGCGACATTGAATCCCCTCCCTGCCCCCCCTCCGCTGGGGAAGAACCAGGAGCATGCGGCACCCCTGGCATTTCACTGTGGTGACGATATCTTCTCTCGCGGCCACTGGACTCATCGAGAGAATGTGTGGGCTCGACTTTGTACTCAAAGTCGTTTCGTAGCCCCCTCTGCCCCTCCTCCCTTGCCCCAAACAATGCTTCGCAGCTCACCACGAGTCAGCAGCGAGATCACATCCCGGCCGGTTGTTGATTTGTCCTGGTCACCAGGGACCCCTGCAGCCGCGTCTCTTCTCACAGGTCCAAAACAACATTGGAAACCCGGAACACACGCAACGTGACGAGCCTAGCTACGGAGATTTGAACTCGACGATAATTGGCCGTAGGTAGGTAGCCATATAGTCTGCCGCTTGCTGTTGCGCCCCGAAGCGACGCGGGACTTTTCTCCATTTCTCTCCGAGCAAGATCTCCAAGCCTCTCGCTCTAATCTGGTCCTTCTTCCGAATAAGAAGCGGCTAGGCGAGCGACGAAAAGAAAAGAAGAGAAGTGAGAAAAGGGACGCATATAGTGGCAGTGTTCGAGGAAAAGGGGGGGGGGGGGGGGAGGGGGAGGGACTTTTGACGTGCATACATACCTGTATATTACTTACACCTACACTTACTTACATATGTACATACACATCCCCGTCTACAATTTTATCCCCGTCCACACACCTACCTACATAATACATACCTGTGCTTCATGTAAGTAGGTATGTACGTGTAGGTAACTATTCCGGGGCTGTCGAGTAAGCCAGTCTCTCGCGTTAGCGCTCGGGAAGACTAGGCCTGTCTTCGTAGATAGCACCAAAGCGATCTCGGTTGGCGAGTTCGAAAATACACACAAGGGGACGATAGAAGAGACGATAGAAAATACTACCTCGCGATATATGTGCACCCGCATGGGTATGTGAAGTGAAGCAGAGCTAGGTAGGTAAGGATGTCGGTAGGGAATCCTAGCAGCCCGAGTGACCTCTTCGTCGCAACTCCAGCCACCAGACCTCCCGCCTCATAGGATTCGAGTCACGACGACATCAACGGTACGTTAGGTAACTCGAACAAGGCTCTTGGTATCCATTATGCACCTGGTAAAGGGAGGCGTTGGTATTCGATAAGTACTGTCGATGGCACACGCCAGGTCCACGCCACGCCGCACGGTCTTGGGCAACCGGCGCGCTTGGAGATCCCTGACCGGGATGCACAGTCCCTTCTGCCCTCTTTTTCCCTGCCGTCCACGGTCCAACCCATGTCCTTGGCTTGGGACAGGGGTTCCCTCTCGCGAATCCTCGCCTAGCCCAGCCCGATTCTCTCGTTTTTCCCTCTCTCACGGACGTGAGATGACAATATGTATGCAGGCAAGACGCTCGTTGTGTCCACTCTTACGCCCTCTACCCTCCCCTCTTCCTTTTCTCTTTCCTCTTCCCACTTGAGACCGCGAGTAGAAGAACATGAGACTGCCAGCAGGGCCTCATCTCGCATATCGAACACCCCTCTATACTAGACTGTACCCAACCTTCAGCCTTCTACCATCCTCATCAACTCGGAGCGGTTGATTTCTAATTTTACCCTCCCCGATAACTGCCCCCTCCACTCTCGGCTCGTTTCTCATGGCCTGACGATCTAGACTTTTTTGCTCTCCTTCACCTCAACTCCACATCTAAAAGTCGTCCTCTGGCCACTTCCCACTTAGTCTAAAGCGAAGGAGTTACTAGTCAGACCCCGTTGGTTAGTTGCGCCGGGACTGGCGGTAGTCTGTCAACTTGAAATTCCGAGGCCGATCCCGCGCCTCGCGTTGGGTACTACAAGGTTGCCTTGACCTGGCGTTCACGGGCCTTCACTGTTCCCCTCCTCTCTTTCTTTCCTTCCCCTCCTCGCGAGCCTACTCGTTTGTAGCTATCGATATTCTGGAGCGCTACCGTCACTAGCTACGGTCTTCAAAATCTCGCACGCCTTTTTGAGACGTCACTCCTTTTGTTGCGCCGGTCTCTTCCTCTTTACGCGCCGTATGTTGTCCGGCACCTCCACGGCGTGCCGTTCCGTCTTTTAGACCGCTTGGGCCCTTTCTTAAATATACTATACCTGCCTACTTGAAGACCGGTCCAGAAGATCCGCAGTCGCTAATGCCTCGCTGACGTTAACTACAACTCCCCCTTCCCATCCCCCCCCCCCCCCCCCTAGAAATACCTATACGATGGCGGACCCAAATGTTGCAAATGCGAGGAGTCCAAATCTCGAAACATTCTACAATCGCCCACGCGACCTGAGGCGGGCACGGCCACCGGATATCACCATCCTTAAGAACGAAACCAGAGTCCCACTGCGCCCGGAGAGGTTGTCAAAGCGCGAATCCAAGATCGGTATAAGAAGCATATTTGGCAAATCCAAGACGGTGAAGGATAAAAAAGCCGCGGAGGAACCCTCGTCTCAACGGGAGTCGTCGCGACACGGCGGAATACGCAACTCGCTAGCCGAGATCGGGAATTGGCCCCAGAGACTTCAACACTCTCGCTCAGAACTCTCTCTCTCCAGCCCGGCTTCGTCGAGGTCTACAGTACCCGATACCCCGTCGTCGATGTCGCAAACGCGACAGGGCAGTATTGGCGTCAGCAAGAGCAAATCTCACCAACCGGCCTCTTCGAAGAGCAGAGGTTCGGTTACGACCTTCGACCCGCCGCCGCTATTCCAGATGTACCCTCAAGCGATCAAGCATGCGACGCTACCGACCTGCCTTACCTCGATAGATGCTTTGGTCCGCTTGGGCGGCTCGAAAAGTAACCTGACGCAGAACGACCCTTCTCGAAGCGATCTCGCTCTGGATCAGGACGAATCGGAGAAGAAGAAGAAGTCTAAGTCCGCGCCGGAATGGACGGACAAGATCTACTCACTCATTACCTCGGGATACTTGCTTCAGTACGCGGCCGAGGGTTCCTTTGACAGGCTACCCGAGAAAGTCTTGCATCTCACTCGAGACTCGGCTGCGTATGCCACCGACCTGATCCCCGGGAGGCATTGGGTTGTTCGGGTGGCTTCCTCTACAGACGCGGACGGGAATCCGTCATCGGATACGAAGTCTTTTCGAACGAAGCTCGCCCTGAGGGGGACCGAGAAGCGGCAGGTCTCCAACATGCTTCTGGTTTTTGAAAGCCCCGAGATCAGTACGTAAATATTAGCCCTGCCTGTGAGCCCCTTTCCGTCTATCCGGGCGGCCTGTCTGAGGCGGAGGGGATGGTGGAGTGTTAGGGATTACCCGAGACATGTTTTACAGCCCGTAATCCCAGTCACCTGGACATAACAATTGCTAACTTACACTACTATAGTGGACACATGGCTTGCCATCTTGAGGCGAGAAATCGAGTCCCTGGGGGGTAAGAAGAAGCTTTCGGAGACTGGGAAAGCCGAGGGGGACGACGAAACCGCTATGCTGAGGGCTCAGGCCAGCCAGAGGACTCTGGTGGTTCGGGATCCGGACCGGTTCTCGCGCATCCTCTCGCAGGATTTCTCGTGGACTCCAGGTAGCGTCCCCGTCGACTCCAACGAAAGCGAAACCCCCAATCCCCGCATGTCAGAATCAACTCTAGATGACGTCTCGACTACCGTGAGCATGATATCATCAGATGGGTTGCGGCTGGAAAATCTTCGGGATAGCGGGGGCGGTATTAGTGGTAACCGGTTCTCCTTCATCTCATCTGGCCAGCCAACTATCGTGTCCTCGGCGGGATCATCACCGGTCAACTCCCCCATTCGCGAGAGCTTCTCTAGTTACGACGACGATTGTCAGGGCCCGCCCGCCATGACGAGCCCGGTGCCGATGCAGGAGGCCAGGCCACGCCCGAATGCCGCCGCAATCGTTAACCGCAGACAATCAATGCAAATGATGATCCCGCACTTCGATCCTGACGTAGATCTCAGCATCCACCCGGATCCGGCCTCGCCAAACGTCTTGTCTTCCGCTCTTGACGGCAGGCACCAATCCGTACCCAACTTTAGTATACCTCAAACAGTTAATCGACGGTACTCGACGATGAATCTCCCTAGTTCCAGCTCTGGAGTGAGCCAGCAGCAAGTGCCCGATCGGGACGGGTCTACTAGGCCTCTTCGAAGGAGTTCCCCAATGGCTCTTTCAGTCTCGCGCCCTCTATCGATTGTTCTCGACCAGCCGTCTCCAAGAGCGCCCTACTCATCAACCCTTTCAACCAGCCGAGTCCTGTCTCAAAAGGTGTCCGGCGGCCTGCCATCCAGGTCCGCGTCCCAACCTCACGCCACTTCCAAACTAAGGCCACAAGAGAGATCGGAGGCATCGAAGCGTAATTTCAGCTTATTCCCCAGGCAGCCCGGGAATCTAGCTCAACGGAGCGGTGGCGCCACCACCAATACAGGACACCGTGCTAAGGGCAATTCTCACAGCAGCGTGGAAATCCCAGCGCATCCACGCGCCGGAACAGGTCAACCTCACGCCGTCCGTCCAGTCCAGGCTGAGATTAGGAGTCGTATGAGCGCGCCAGAGCCGATACGAAGAGCAGCTTCGTCTTTGGAGATGCGAAGAGGGTGGACAACTCCGACGGCTAGGCAGTTGGCTTACAAACGAACCACCATAATAGCTGAGAGTTCGTCTTCACGCAATCGTCACTCGTTCATTTACGCCAAGCAATACAACCTACCCTCGATCGAAGAGACGGGCCTCGCGCCACCACCATTATTCCCACCAAATCGCTCGGCACCCTCTCTCAGGACGCCACAGGAGACCCCGTCGACCCCAGAGCAGCCTCTGGCGGTAGATGCTAGCCCTAAGTCTCTGCTGAGCCGAAGAAGCCTGCCCCAGCTGGCTGAGGGGCCCCCTCCTGCTCCCCCGCCGACGTGCGCCCTTCCACCAATCCCCGGAAAGCGTTCCAGCACACCTGCGCCCAGCAGCATTAAGGTGTGAAGCCTATACCGTATTTGATAATACGCCGTCTTCATACGGAACTCCCCCCCTTTTTTTTCATTAATCTTTTTCTCCCCGTTTCTCCTTCTACTGGGTCCGGTATTTATCTTTTTTTTCTTTTCGTGTATATCACCAAGTAATATTGTAAAACTCGAGGGATACGACATCGCGTCTCGTGTGCAATTGCACGGCTAGAAGTATTCTTCTGTAAAGGTTATAATGGGGGTTAGGCATGCGGGAATTACCCAGGAGCTTAATGTCGGTCAACTTGGATGCTGTTTCAGCTGGATATATCCAAGAGAGGGAGCAGGGCTTACTTACACGCAATGACGGAGTTATGATTAAAGATACGGGGAGGGGAGGGATAGGATACCAATCTATTCGCCGTACGCACGTCTGCGAAGACGCTGTACGGCCATGGCGACAACACTCGACATTTCTGTTTATACCCAAGCGAGAGAAGATCTCAGATTGGAGGCTTCCGGAACCCCCCGAGAACGCTTATTAAAGTAGTATATGAGATAAGGCAGCTTCAAATAGTACTTACACGCAAATGCGCAGAAAGGAAATGCGGAGAGGAATAAAACTAGGGGAATGAATATGGACGATCCTGTGTGGCTTGCGTGTACCCACAGGCGTGCTTCTCGGCTGGTCCGCTTCCTGTGATCCCACAACACTAGCTACTTATTAGAATCTTAGGACGCTGGACCTGATGCCGTGGATCTATTAGGAGGATAACCGGGAGCTATTGGGAATTGAAGAGCGTATTGCCGATTACGGTGAATATCAGCTCCAAGTCGATGGGGTGGCTGGGATCCACACAAGTAACTATGGAGTTTTGTGGCGGGCAGGGGTTTAGGTGGCTGGTGGCGCGGGCAACACCGATAAGATACCTAGATATTTCGAACCCCACACTTTGCATGAGAAACCCGGACTTGAAATTAATATTTCCAGGCCGCCACACAAAACTAGACTGCCGACATCAAGTGTGATTCGTCATCCGTCTTGCCTGCAATCGTAGAAAAACACCGAGCAGAGCTGTCGGAAACCATGGCATCCAAGAACAGGTTAGAAGCCCTTCCGCAATCTAACGCTGGGCCTCCTCGCCAATCGGCCGTACTGACCTCGGGGCAGAGACTGGGCTGACGATGACGAGGGCGACGAGGTCGCGGCCGAGCTGCCGCCCCCGCAGACGATCCAGAACAAGGACGGCACCAAGACGACAATCACGTACCGCTACAACGATAACGGTCAGAAAGTTAAGACGACGCGGCGGATCCGACTAGTGACGCACCGCGAGGTGGTGAACCCACGCGTCGCCGAGCGCAAGACCTGGAAGAAGTTTGGCCTGTCCGAGAAGGACGGCGCCGGCCCGCAGATGGACACGACGTCGGTCGGCGAGAACATCATCTTCCGGCTCAGCACGAACTGGCGCAAAGACATCAAGGACGAGTCCAAGGACGCCAACGCGAACGCGATGAAGGAAAAGCTCAAGGACAAGACCGTGAAGTGCCGTATCTGCAACGGCGAGCACTTTACCGCCCGTTGTCCTTACAAGGATACCATGGCGCCCGTGGGCGCCGAGGGCAGCGGCGCTGACCTAGGGGCTGGGTTGGGAGACGAGGCCGCGTCTAACGCTGCCGGCGCTGCCGGTGCTGGGAAGAAAGGGAGCTACGTTCCGCCTGCGCTTCGCGGAGATCGTGGCGCCTCTGGCGGTGAGAGGATGGGCGGCAGCAAGTATGGCGAGCGGGATGACTTGGCTACGCTGCGTGTCACGAACGTGAGTATATCTTTTTCTTCTTTCTCTCCCCCTCCTTTTCTATCAATAACTGCGTGCATGCATGCTCACGGCTCCATTCTAGGTCTCCGAGATGGCGGAGGAATCCGAACTGCGCGACATGTTCGAGCGCTTCGGCCGCGTCACCCGTGTGTTCCTCGCCAAGGACCGCGAAACCGGCTTGGCAAAGGGCTTCGCGTTTATCAGCTTCGCAGATCGGGGCGACGCCGTCAAGGCTTGCAGCAAGATGGACGGTTACGGGTTCAAGCACCTGATCCTGCGCGTCGAGTTCGCCAAGAAGGCCGCTTAGAGGGGTTTCAAACGGTTATCGGGAATGCTTCGCGCCGGGGCAAAGGGGCGGGCAAAAACTTGTAGGTAAAGGATTACATCACGTTGAAATATAATGAGACACGGGTTCTGTTCCATGATGCGACATCGCATACGCTTCGTGGCACAACAAGGAGTTTTGTTTCTTCTTTCTTTTTTAGGGGTCTCGCCTAGTTTTGTGATATCCTTAGAAACATGCAGATTATTCGGTTCCCGGCATCCGACCCCCAGTATCGTCCAATACACGATACCTTCTCTCCCCTAGCTCGCCTATTATTTTGCCAGGCAACTTGTCTACCGAACGATGCCGGATCTGGGGCGAGAAATGGTGCAAGGGACACAGGGACGATAGCCTCAGGTTCTTTCCCTACGACGGGCAAGATACGCCACACACGCACTCTCTCTCACTCTCTCTCTCACTCTCTCTCTCGCTGTTACAACTCTCCCGAGTGGCGCCCGATTATAATTATGCTGTCAAAGTCATGGATGTCTAGCCTGACTGGCTGTAGATCCCAGCCATCCTATTGACTGGAGCTGATATTCACCGTGATCGGCAATATTCACCTGAATCCGGTTGATATAGGTAAATAAGCCTTCAATTACCTAGCAGTTCTAGCTCCTAGCTATCCTCCTAATAGATCAACGGTTCATCAGGTTCGGCATCTTAAAAGGTTCGCATACTGGTCGATTGCTAACTAGTATCCTGGGATCACAGGAAGAGGGCTAAGTCGAGGCGAATAGCTACACAACTGGGAGATATTGTATTGCAATATGCACTGATATATGTGAGGTACCTACGTGGTAGGTATTTATTTGCCTTCCTTGGGTGCCCCTTAAGGCGGGTGTAGGTACCTGAGATAAGGTAAGGAGGTACCTGTATTTAAGTGATTGATTTTAGAAGCCATCCTTTAAGCCGTACCTACCTGCGTGCCTATGTGATGTACCTGTAAACTTTGGGGTGTCTTAAAGCACCTGATGTATTTAGGTAGATATAGGATACGGGGATGTTTATACTTCTAGGTTAGGAGGTTAGGTACCTAAGTGCGACAAAAGTGTACCTACTACCTTGGGTACCTGAAGTACCTAAAGTATACGTATATCCAGAATTTGGAGATTACAACATGCATTAATATGTACCTGGGCGAACGGTGCCAGCATGGCAGAAGCAAGGAATTCCTGCCCGCATCTGCCCGCGACAACCCGACAAACATTCCAGAACCTACGGATGGGACGTGCTGATAACCATCAGCCTCCCTCGCCCATCGCGTGTCAACATTACCTTGCATCTCGTCCTTGCATGTGGCGCACATCACACACCAGAAGGAATCCTTCCGCCTTGGAGTCGACGAATAAGGGCGACATATTCGTTCAGGTACCGTTCTCTTCTCGGTATTCAACCGGTCCCAACATCACCAGCATCCGGGTGCAACGCTTGCTGCAGTTCCTACGGAGCAAGTCGGCCCCCGGGACTTGCAGTAATTCAACCGTCCCAAGCTACGGAGGGCCACGGTGACGTCGTGACCAAGACATGTACTCAACTGTAGATAAAGCACATTAGACACAACAGACACAGCGGATACGGATACAGCGGACAGAACGGACGCATGACGTGGATCCAACCATCTTAACCATCATTAACCAGACTTGACCTAATCGAATACCACCTATGAGCTCCGGCGCGTCTTGCCAAGTCTGGAATTTTTCCCGCTTTCGTTAAAATTCTCTCCGCATCGTCAATTCGCCTCTATCCTCCACCGGCTTCCTCGCCTTCTCATTTAATTGCCCGGCGACGCCTACCCTTGGGTTCTTGCAGTCTCTCGCATGGCAAGCAGACGCAGTCGGCCATCGAATGTCGCCTCTGGGAACTAAGGAACTGGACAACTCTCACTCACCGGAAGGGCCCCACGGAATGACCATGGATACGGGACCCGATCTTATTGCTGGCGCGGCGGAGCTGCGTCGTAGACAGGTGTCCACAAATGCAGATAGTGAGACTGACGATGATGTTAGTGATGCTGCTGCAGAGGCACCTAAGAGCAGGAAAACCTTTGGCCGTACCAAGGATGGAGCACGTGAGCAAGCACCCTACGTAGAAGACCGCTCGCATAGACAAATCCATGACTAACAAGTGTGTTCCCCTCTGCTAGTCTTCACCGTTCCTGTCACGCATGACATGGTGTCGCAACTCCTAGATCCCAGAGAGCCCAAGAACGCATCGGATGTAACTGTGCTCGCTGTTCTGGCCGCACATATCCTGGTAGCCTATCTCTTGCCAGATCCCATTAGACGGCCCCTCTTTGCCGTCGTCTTCTTGTTCTGGCGTGCTTCGTACAACCTGGGAATTGGCATCCTCCTACACCTGCAGTCAAATGATAACAAGCTGGTCGCGTGGGCTAGGAAGTGGAGGCTCTTTGAGAACCCCTCTACCGGCCGGAACCCCAGGCCGTGGCTGTACAACTTTCTGAAGCACGAGTTGGAGGTTAAGGTCCCGGAAGATTACAAGTTCGAAACGGCCCCCATCGAGTACAACACATGGCTTGTCTTTAGGCGACTAGTGGATCTTATTCTCATGTGTGACTTCGTCTCCTACTGCTTGTTTGCAATTATCTGCGGGCACCGCCCCGAAGGAGAGTCAATTCCTGCCACCATCAGCCGATGGCTCCTCGGTTGGGTCCTGATAGGCTTCAATCTCTGGGTCAAGCTCGACGCCCATCGCGTCGTGAAGGACTATGCCTGGTACTGGGGCGACTTCTTCTTCCTGGTTGACCAGGAGCTGACCTTTGACGGCGTCTTTGAGCTGGCACCGCATCCTATGTACTCGATCGGCTACGCGGGCTACTACGGTATCTCTATGCTTGCTGCTAGCTACTCGGTCCTCTTCATCTCCATCGCAGCCCATGCCGCCCAGTTTGCCTTCCTGGTCCTCATAGAGAATCCTCACATCGAAAAGACGTACAACCCCCCTGCCCCCCGAAAGCGCCTGGATACTTCTAGTTCGTCGGACACTTTCGTGCAACCCGAATCAGCTGCGCCGGCGAGACCTAGTGAAGCGCCCTCCCGAATCCACAACCTGCTGGGCTACAAGAACATCGACCTTCTGCGGAACGTAGATTTTTCGACCTTGTTGCTGGTGACCTACTTCGCGGCCTTGACCCTATCGACTCCGCAGACCCCGTTATACCAGACCCTCTTTGTGATTCACGCTTTTCTCTGGCGACTCTGGTATTCCGTCGGATTGGGTGTCCTCCTCACGAAGCAATCTGCCAACAAGATGTGGACCCGCCACTTTTTGAAGTTTGGAGAGACAGTAGATGAGGGCTGGCGTCAGTGGAAAGGGATGTACCATATATCTCTTACGTTATGCCACTGTGCCTTCGTAGCGGCCTGCTGGAAGATGTACTCCGCACCGGTCGACTGGAACTACGGGTCTGTGCTGCTGAGGCATGTTATCGGTGTTAGTCTCATCGCCCTTCAGATATGGACGGCCGTGAGCATCTACGAGTCGCTGGGCGAGTTCGGCTGGTTCTTTGGAGACTTCTTCTACGACCAAGGCGTCAAGCTCACCTACACGTCCATCTACCGCTTCCTGAACAGCCCCGAGAGGGTAATCGGCACGGCTGGTCTATGGGGTGCCGCTATCATTACGTGGAGCCGGTCCGTATTCGTCCTGGCGCTGGCCAGCCATCTTCTCACCGTCGCATTCCTCCAGTTTGTCGAGAAGCCGCACATGCAAAAGATCTATGGCCGTAGCCTGAGGCGCGAAGCTGGCCTGACGAAATTCATCAAACGTTCCCTGCCCCCGCCCGTCGTGGAGTGGCAGTCGAGCGTGAACAAGGTCATGGACGAGACGTCGCATTTTGTCGAGGACTTCCTGGACACGGCTCGCCCCAAGTTGGCTGCGGGCGTTTCGACCATCGTTAGGGACACCACCGCGCTCTTCAATAAATATCCTGCTCGCCTGACATTGACTAAGCTCTCGCCTGATCTCGCCGGATGCGACCCGAAGTACTATTCCATCGCCGTGCAGGGAGAGGTGTCCGGAATTTCTGCGCTGTCAGAACGTGCTAGTGGCAAGGAAGGTACCGCGGGACGATTCCCGAACCAGCTCAAGACGATGATCTTCGAGTACGGCGCGCCCATCAAGGTCAAATGGAGGGCGCCGGCAAGCCACGGTCGGAAAGATTGGATCGGCTTGTATATGGTCGCCGACAACCGCTCCCGCGAGACTACCGAACTGTCGTCCCTCGGGCGGTGGATCCCGATCGTGCCCGGCCAGTTTGGATCTACAACGGCCGACAAGGGGATCCTGGTGTGGGACCAGCCGGTCCGGGATTCGGATAGCGCCGAGGTCGATCTGGTGAGCGGCGAGATGGTGTTCTCGGGCGACAAGCTGTGGTGGACACAGGGTGTGTTCGAATTCCGGTACCACCACGACGGCAACCACAACGTCATGTCCATCTCGCAGCCCTTCGAGATCCACATCGGACGGTTCGACTACAGCGACGTCGAGGCCGACAACGAGGGCGCGCTCCAGCAGTCGATCGAGTCGGCTCTCCTGCCGGTGGTGCGGAACTGCCTGGACCGGGACCCGGACATCGCGCCGGCGGCGGCGGCGGACACCTTCGGCGGCCACGTGGAGAGAGACGGCAAGTACGCCAAGAGGCTGGTCTACGCGATGCACCAGATGTTCGGCATCGAGTTCGCGCCGGCCGTGGTCCCCGCCGACGGCTGCGCGAGGAACCTGGCCTGGAGAATCTGCAACGCAAAGCAGGTCTTGGTACGTCGCCCTCCTTACATCCCGGCCCCTCTTTTCGGGCCCGACAGGGAGTGAGAGCGAGGGTGAGAATTAACTAACTTGCTTGCTTGCTAGGCCCCCTACAGCATGTCGTACTCGAGAGGGACCGCGACGCCGGTGGACAAATAGGCCGGCCCGGCTTCTAACCCCGTAGGTCTCAGACGAAAACTTGCGTGGCGGCACGCCTGGAAGCTGAGCTACGCATGCGCATATACGCCTACATACTAACTATCCACGAACGCACAGCGCGGTCGTCGCAGAGCTGAGAGCCTAGCCTATCTCGGCGGTTCCCACCTGTCGTCGCAACCTTTCGAGTTCCCCCCCCCCCCCCAAAAAAAAACTTGGGCCTGTTCCCGCGTAGGATCGTGTGTGTTATGAATACTCGTTGTTGTCGTTTTTGCTTTCTGAGATACCAAACAAGATCCGGCAGCCCTCGTGAAAAATATGTCGTGGTATCGGTAATGCTGGTAAGGGCTACCTAGGTAGGGCACTAGGATGGATATTGGGGGGGAAGGCGGGAGACGACGTCGTTGCGTGTAGATAGTGCTGGGAGTACCAACATAATGTTAGATAATGTCTTTTTTTTTCCCTTCCCTTCTTTTTTTTTCTCACATGCGAACTGTGAAGCCTCAGGCGCCACACGTCGCGCCCCCCCCTATTTTCGCTTCTCTCAGCTCTCGCTCGCTAGTAGGTATAGTTCCCACCGCGGGGCGCGCGCTGGCTCGGATACCTACTCGTACACATACCTCCCTTTCTATTCCCGGGTTATGGGCTAGTAGTTACCTGGTGGTGGGTGTTGAGGAGGGGAGTAGACTACCGTACGTGTTCATGTCTCCGGGTTCAGATCGGCTGGGAGGCCGCGCGATCTCTTACTACGTGCGGATCCTGCTGGTAGGAGGCAGGGTTTGAGCAGCTACCTAGGTATAGGATTGTGTGCGAGTGCCGAGGAGAAGATCGAGAGAATCGTGGTTATATATGCGTAAGCATAGCATACTAATAACTTATATATATACCTGAAGGTATTCCCTTAGGTACCTAGGCACCTATATATCAGCTCAAGCCAATAGGTGTACCGTGAACACCAGTGTCCCACCCCTTCCTAATATTGCAAATGAATATTGCCAATGTTATAATAATTACTAGCTCCGTAGTCCCTTCCGTCTCCGCCGTTGCTTAACCTCTCCATGCCAATGCCGCGAGAAAGGTGAGGAGGGAGGCGATCGGTAGGAAACCCAACCCCCCCCCCTCCTCCTCCTACACCATAGATTTCCTCTCGACCGGTTCAACTCGGAAATCCTTCACCGCGAACCCGCGTTTTAAAGCACGCCTTCTTGTTCCCCTGGGCTTAGAGTCTACTATATCTGAATTCGGGATTCAGCTGAGCCGTCCCCGGATTATCGCCTGTGAAAATGTAGCCATGGCTCCGGCCGGGGTGGCGATAGGGATTAGGGGGAGGGGGAGAGGGAATGGGGTGTCTCTCCTCTCTCGTGTAAACGTTTGAGATGCAATGGCATAGATCTCTACATACAGCAATACCGTACATAAATACACATCCCTTATAGGGGAAGCATTCATCCTTACCAGGTGTTTAGCTCCCCGAGGCCCTGGGGTATCATCAAAAGGCAGGTCATGCAAGTGGGGTCTGTCGATGCTCTTCTTGTCCCTTCATTCGAACTGCCTCCGACAGTGAAGACACACACGGAATGCCGCGGGGGGTGACCATGAGGTACCGAATGTCCACTGAGTTGATTTGGCTACCGACATAGCTCTGCTACGACCACCCCCCCTTCGAAAGACGCAAAAGTTGCTTACCTTTGGTGTTTTTTTTTTCTTTCAACCTAGACTGGGAGACCTCGTGCCATCATCCGCTGCCTCGGAACTACCCTGGATACCGCTTGCCCGCCGAGCCTTGGCGCCCGCCTTGAGCTGCTCCCACTTATCCCGGTATCGGTCGAGGTTTGTCTTTAGCTTGTTGTTCTCTTTCCGCAGCTCATCGTTCCGCCTCCCCAGCAGCTGCACCTGCTCCTCCAGCTCCTGGGTCCGCTTCGCCAGCGTCTCGTCTGCCGACGCGGCAGCGAGCTTACTAGTCCCGCCGCCGCCACCGGATGCGAGGGGTGACGCGGGGCGCATAAGTCGCATGCTCTCCGCCAGCCTCATACCCGAGTTCTGCGACATGGACTCGAACGCGTGGAGGCGTTTACTCAGCTTGTCGAGCATGTCCTTTAGGCTCTTGTTCTCGAGATAGAGCTCCTCGACCACGTTGGTGAGCCCTCGCTCCGAACGGGTCTTGCCGGTTAGCTTCTGGAGCGCGGGCGAGCGGGGGACCTGGGATTCCCTGGCGTCGACGAAGTCGTCCTCGTCCACTTCCTCCAGTAGATTTCCCGGCACGCCTTGGGCGACCGCCTCCATCCGGCGCTTCTCTTTATCGGCAAAAGTCAGGATGCTGGCGTACGAGGCTGTATGACCGCTAGTTGGCACGACGTAGAAGGAGTCATTGGCCGACGGCCCGTCGCGGGACACCGCTCTGAGGGCCGCCTTCGAGTATAGTTTCCTCAGGTCCGGTTCGGCGGGAAAGGAAGCGGATACCCTGACCTTGTTACGCTTCTGTGCCGGCGACTCAGGAACGGGGGCGGGTTCCTCAGTCTGCTCCTCGCTGATCAGAGGCAGTCCTGCAAAGGCGAGCGGCGCAGAAATCCTATTTATAATGCTGCCAAATGCGCTGTAGAACCGGGAGAAGCCTTCGTCAACCCCGCTGGTTGCACTCTCCGCCCGCTCCTTGTTGGGGATCCCGGCCGGCAGGCCTGAGCCAGAATACTTAGCAAGCCTTTCCCTGTCCGACGGAAGCGCCACATTGGGCTTGTCGGAATTGTCGAGCATGCTTTGCATTTTGGTCCTCGGCCCGCTCCTCCGCGACGCAGTCTCCATGTTGCCAGGAGCCTCGGTGTTAGAGACGCTCGGGATCAAGGGCTGGGTCCTATATTTGGAGCGGATGCCGCGAGCGGAGGCGAGATTGCTGGCAATGGAAGCACCTAGATCGCGCGCGGGGTATCTCGGCTGCTTGGGGAGAGTTGGCATCGGCTGGGCATTCTTCTCGCTCGAAGCACCACCAATCTCGGGCTTCGCGGCTGGCAATATGAGGGTTACGCCAGGCGCGGCTTCGTCCTTCTCGCTACCTTGCGAGCCATCTTCGGAGGTCGGCTGAGAGGCTGGATGCTTGCCCGGGATCTGAAGAATTTCGGAAAGCCTCCGGTGATGTTGCTCGAGCAGCTTCAGGGTGCGCAAGGCTTCGACGCTACTGGTATTCTTGGCGGCGTTGGCGAACTCTCCGGCGGCCCTAGTGTGTTCATTGACCGCCACGGTGGTGTCGGAGGTCTGGGTTGCGATGGAGGCGGCTCTCGCGTGATCGTGCGCCTGCGATTCGGTGAGTCGAGAACCGGGGAATGGCAGACCGCCAACAATCTCTCACCTTGATCAGGGGGGAGGACTCCATGGCTATGTACGTAAAAAGGTCGATGCGGTAGGATAGGGAAGGGAAGCAAATGACTCGTGCGGCTGCGATCCTGGCCCAGGTTATCTCATGATAGGTGAGACCAGGAGACAATTAATTAGGAAGCGATTAGGAACGGACTAGGAGTACGAGCTAAGGGGGGAGACCGTTGTAGGGAGTTGTGAGTGTACGGGAGAAATAAGGAGCCGAGGGCGGTGGATTGGATCGAATTCTGGAGGTTAATGAAATGCCCAGGTTACCAGTTGGGTACCCGATATGGGTGGAAGGTGTGCGGGAATGGGGATGGATGTATCTATCCAGTTGAAGAGGAAGGGGGAAGGGGAACTGGCCAGGTAAGGTAAGACCCGTTGTACTGGCCCATGCCCACTTCCTTTCTTTCTATTGGCCCAACATCTGATGCGACATTGCCGTCGGGTACATGCTTACCTAGTTACCAGGTAGGTACCTATGTACCTAAGGCGCACTTACAAGTAAGTACCTACACAGATCCGAAGCTGCCTGCCTGCCTGCCTGCCTGCCTGCGGATAAGAAGACAGGTGAACGCGATATTGAGGTATTTATAACTCCCATATGGGCCTGAGGTATTTACCTCTTAGTATAGGCTGCTCACGTGGCTAAATAGGTATATACCTGTTACTTCCCTCTCTGATCTTCTGGTACCTACCTACCTAGGTAGTAGGTACCTAGGTAGGTCGTAATCAGGTACCTAGGTAGGTAGGTAGGTGCCTCCTCCTCGCATGGTATGCAGCTACTACGCGAACAGAGCGGGGTGGACGGGGCCTAGTTAAGGGGATAGGTGAAAAAGGGTCAAGGAGAGAGGAGGTGGGTGCTATTACACAGTAGTGCGCGCAAATCTCCCGACCGACCGAGTACTACGTAAGTTACTACGTAAACTTTCCCACGGATAGGGCTTGACGTCGGATTGATGTTGGCAAGGAGGCATTAGGTGGTAGGAGGAGGTCAGGGGCCTCGTTGGATGAAGTCTTGTAGGGACGGACTGGGCGCAGGGTGTATGTGTACGTACCTACGTGTGTGTGTTAGTGTGATCTCCTATCATGTGATACCCCGTGTTATGGTGTTTCAATTGCATATCTGGGTGAGGTTAGGGCTCTTTACCTGCCCATTTTCCGCGTGGCCGGTAGGTATTTTTAACGGCTCCGTGTGGACGGGGGGATGTGTACTCGTATTCCTCTTTTCTTGTATCTGGTAATCTACTCCTTGGTGGGGGAGAGAGGGTTAGCGGGGCTATTGCTGGAGCCTGCGGGGGCTTTCTTCGACGTCTAGAGACGACGTATTACATGTAAATATGTAGGTACGTACGCGGTCGTCGTTGTAGATCCTCCACCCCATGTAATTATCGTCCCATAGCTGCGACCCATTACACACCTTCGCTCCGTGAAACCGGCGGGGTACCAGGGGCGACGTCAAAGGAACCTTCGTCTATCGATGTGTATGTATACCTATATGAGGTATGTACTCACACATATAATATGTACCGGCCTACCTACCTAGGTACCTAGTTAATTACCACGGCGATTACCACGGGTGGTTGCTTTTAAGGGGCTCTATCCGAATGATTCTCCCTATGTCCCCTGCGTATGGGGCTGGCTGGCTGGCTGGCTGGCTAGCTTGGACTCTCCCTCGTCAGGAATGCCATGCCACGACGTGGGTTTGCGACTTTGACCCGAGAATCGGGAATGAGGTCAGGAATGTGGATGTGGGTTGCTTCCATGTATGGAGACAGAGAACCTAAGGGATAGCATGTGCGTGTGTGTGAGAGAGTAGTGGCGTAGAGGCATGTACAATTGATCTCCCCTGTTCCGTCGTTAGCTTGATGGCTCCATGCCCTATTCTGTCCTTTTTATTGTCTTCGTCATCCTCCCCGTCATCCCCTCCATCCTTCAGCTCTATTCATCCTCCAGCTGTATTCAATATCTGTGTTCCCATACCTGCCCATCCTCTGCCCGCAGGGGATTTTTATTTAATACCGTCCCAAGTTTTGGGGGGAGCAACCGAGGCTATGACGACAGCAGCGCGATAGACTCGTCACTAACTAACAAGCTGCCGTCTCCTTGTCTCACTTAATTCTCCTTGACCTACCTAGCGCGGCTGACAGTTGATGCTATACGCGGACCAGCAGCTTGTCCCCCCCCCCCCCCCCGTCTTTGTCTGTACGGCTGCTGCTGCTGCCTAGGGGCCGGCTGGTAATTAGGCACACGCTTGCCGGCTAGAGTCTCTTTTCTCCCTCTCTCTCTCTAATCTAGGACGACGCCGGCGCCGGCGCCACGATTGTTATTACTCCTAGCACCGTCAATCGTCGCCGCCGCCGTCTCCCGTGTACACCGCTGCACCGTCTCTGCTACACAACATGGACGTCGCCAGCCCCGGAAACGCCAAGGTCGGCAAGCTACTCCCTAAGAAACTGGCGGGAAAATGGAAAAAGCAGCCTTCGAAGGAGAGTTTCGGGTCCACGGCCAGTAGCGAAGATTTTCCCCGCGGGAGGAGTTTAAACGACCACGAGCTTCCCGACGACGGGTCTCTCCCCGCTACGCATCCGTTCGGACCGGTTGGCGGGATAACGGACGGTGACGACGGCGCAAGGGGTTTCCGGGAGGCGGCCGATGCCGACGATCCTGACCAGCAAAACTTGTGAGTATTTGACGATTTCTCGTTCGTTTATCTTGCCCTTTACCTTAGATTTTTCCCGCCCCCGCTTCGATTTCCTGATGGTTGATGGTTATTCGATCCGCCGTTCCTCGATTCGTCCAACCTGGTGTCGGAATCACTCGACCACATTCATACATACGTGACATCTATCCGTCCCCTACACGCGTACATACATACACATGCACATTACATGCATGCACAGCAATGGCATGCTTGAGCACATTTATCTGCCTGTCGCCTCCCTTCCTTGCTGCCGGCTATACGGCTTATACACGATACCTCCCGTCTATCTCTACCTACCTCGCTGTGTCTCACCCTTCCCCTCCCTTCCTGTCTTTGGCCAAGTTGGCCAATCCGCGAGCACAACGTAATATGGCAGTGGGATGCAGCATAACAGCCGGGGAAAGGACAGGGGAAACAGGGGATCGAGGGATAAGAGGGAGGGGAATCAGGAGGTGGGAGAAATGAATTGGAGGTCTACGCATTTATTCGTGGCGACTCTGAATAACCCCCCCCCGTACATCCACCGTCTTATCCTCTACACGCGCACCTGCACCGTCTTGCTTTCATGGATTACGGCGAAAGACACATTACACATCTGGCATTCGTCTACATACCAATTCACATACTCTGGTTTTTTTTTTTTCGCTTCTTCCCCCCCCTTGGTTCTCTCCCTCCTTCTCCCTCGCACTCGGGTTCCGCTGAATAGTGAGCACGACCAAACCGGGCCAGAGCCATCCTTGGCGGCCCAGTCGCTGGGTCTCATCTTCCCAGCTGGCTCCGCTGTCGAAGCTTTGAGGCTCCTCCATTTTCGATTGACACTTCGTTTCCCATCAGCTCGTACCTCGTATCCTCGCTTCCAGGCCATCTCCCCCCTTCGCTCCCGCAACTCGCTCCCTCGGTTACTGCCTACATACACATCGTCTTCCCTACGTGCATAACCCGATTTTCCTCCTCGTAGGCCACGTTTCCCGCTTGACTAGGAGCCGCCGTAGCTTCGCTTTCGCATTAGGTCGTGGTATTATGAGTCGTTGCAGCAAGCCACTGAGCTAACAGCCAGCCCTCTTTTTTTGGAATCCTCCAGCCGTTCCAACAGGTCCGCCTCGGTTCGACCTACTGTGCCGTCAACCCATCCCTCTCAAATTGGCCAGCTGACAACGTCGTCGCCCCTCATTCAAGCCGATCACATCCCCGAAGCACATAATAGAAACCAAGACGACCTGAGCGGCCTCTCTCGATCGGCTACCTTCGTTCCCACTGCTGGCTTTTCCTTCGAGCCGCATCGTCCCTTAGTCACCAGTAAGACGGGCTTGCAGCCACTCCAGGACCCGTCTACACGTCGGTCCAAGTCGCCTACTAGCAGGATCAGGGACGCCTTCAAAAGTAAGAAAATCTTAGGCGGTGTGGAGGACGTCGAGTGCGACAGCCGAGCAGACACTATCGACCCCGACTTGCCCAACACGTCATCCCGAGCCTCGACCGCGGGATCCGCTTCGCAGCCAGGCTCCAGCACCGTGTCCCAAACCGACACGAATGACACCCAGGTAGCATCATCCCAGCGACCTCATCGATCCAGCAGCCCGCCGCTCGCAGACACGTCGGCTCGCCCTCGTACACCTCCAGCGTCTGAGCCGGCCGCCCCGGTCATCGTGAACACCCCGCCGACACCCACCGAGTCGCATCACTCCCAGCGCTCGCGGAAGGGCTCGTCTGCCAGTACGAGCTCCAACCCCAATGTGGTTGTTTCTTCTTCTGGTAATATGATATCGCACCGACGGCTGAGGTCAGGATCTAGCGCAAGCGTTGGCCCTAGCAAGCTGTCCAACATAACACTAGCGCCTTTGACGCCGACGCAGGAGAACGCTCCGCCGCTGACTCCGGGAGGCGGGTTCTTCTCGAGCATGCTATCCGCTGCTCAGAACGCTGCCAACACCTTCAGTAGCACGATTACCAACACGAACGTCGGACCGGGTGGGGGCAAGCCTAAGGCGAGTACGGCGCGGGAGACCCGACCGGCCGACGACGATAGGGTGGAAGTCGAGCCCTCTGTTGCGCAGTCGGGGGGTCCTAACATGGGAGAGAAGGAACTGGCGGTGAAAACCCTCGGCATGGGTGATTTAAGTCTCAGTCAGCTGGGTATCCAGGATGCCGGCAGTGCCGCACCTACCCCTATCGCTTCTAGATTCTCCGAGCCTACCACCGAACCCCGGGGACGCTCCGAGTCGGCGCCGGTGGACTCCGTGGCTGCGTCCGTCAACGATGACGGACACTCTGACGATCTCGGAGTTATCCATCCGCGGGCTGCTGTCGAATCCGCGGCCACGAGCCCTCCCACTAGCATATACGAGGGGAAATCGGGAGTCCAGCGTACCGGTAGTGTGCGGAGTGCTATCGGTCCAAGGCGGAAGCGCGGGAGCACAGGGGGGACCGCGGGGACGGGAACAACTATCGGGGCAGCTATTGCGGCAGCTAATGCTTCAGTGGCTCACCCTTCTGCCACCGGTAGCGTTCCTAAACTCACAGGGTTTGCCGTAGCGAGTAAGAAACGCAATCGGGATTTCCATGCCCTATTTAAGAGTGTCCCCGATGACGACTACCTGATAGAAGACTATAGCTGTGCTCTTCAGCGCGAGATTCTTGCGCATGGCAGGCTCTACGTTTCGGAAAGTCATCTGTGCTTTAGCAGCAACATCTTTGGTTGGGTGACGACCCTAGTTATGAGCTTTGACGAGATCGTGTCTGTCGAGAAGAGGAGCACTGCCCTGGTTTTCAAGAACGGCCTCATGATCACAACGCTCCACGCAAAGCATATATTTGCCAGTTTCGCGAGCCGGGACTCGACGTACGATCTGATCGTCAACATTTGGAAGCTCGGACACCCCTCTCTGCAGAGCTCGTTGAATGGCGTCTCACTGGAGGGCACCGGGGGCGACAAGACGGAGAAAGTCGAGGAGGGGGAGGCCGTAGTCGGAAGCCGGAGTGGAACAGGGTCAGAAGACGAGGAGAGCGAAGACGGAGACGTCTACGACGAAGACCAAGACGACGACGACGACGCGCCCGAAGCTTCACCGTCAGCCGAGGCAAGCCCGGCTGACACGGACGGCGAGAAATCTGCAGCGAGGAAGGTGTCCGGTGCGGTAGCTGCAAACGGCGCCACAGACAAACCCGATTCCGCACCGGCGGCCACCGGCGTGGCTGATTTTCCAGGGCCGGCTACACACGCACCGACAGACTGCGGCGATGCTGAGACTCATTACGATATAGTAGTGGGCGAAGACACCATTCCCGCGCCCCTGGGGAAAGTGTACAACCTGGTTTTCGGGCCTGCATCGGTATCCTTCATGGGAAAATGGTTGACCAACGAGCAGAAGTGCACTGATTTGCAGATGGAGGACAAGAAAGGGTTGACCCTAGACAACAAGAGTCGAGGATACACCTACATTAAGCCCCTGACTGGTTCGATAGGGCCGAGGCAGACCAAGTGTCTAGTAAACGAGACACTGGATAATTTCGATCTCGAGAAGTGCGTCAACGTATCAGTCGCGACACAGAATCCGGATGTGCCAAGCGGGAACGTGTTTAGCGTCAAGACAAAGTACTGTCTGTTCTGGGCTGAAAATAACTCGACGCGGGTAACGATCAATTGTACCATCGAGTGGACAGGCAAGAGCTGGCTTAAAGGTAAGATGATCTCGGGGCACCCCTGACGCGAGAACAGAAGCTCACATACGTTGGTAGGACCGATCGAGAAGGGTGCCAAAGACGGCCAGACCCAATACTGTAAAGATCTCTTCGCCAGCTTGAAAGCAGCGGTATCTGGCCCTCGTTCGGCGACACTCGCTGGTGGAGCGGGCAAGGGTAAGAAGAAGCGTGCCAAAGGCAAGTTTCACCAGGCCTCGAAGGAGAGCCTGGCCAGTCCGACACAACTGGCGGCGGCCAAGTCACAAGATTGGGGCCCGCTTGAGCCTCTGCATGGCCTCCTCGGTCCCGTCATCGACATTATCAAGCCCGTTCTGACCGGCAATGTCGTGTACGGGCTCCTTGTCGGACTGCTGGTAGCGACGTGGTTTGGCTTTGGCTTCAATGGCCGACCGGGTGGTGCCCGATACGGCCACGAGATGGGATTTATAGGGTATCCGGAGCGTGCTATCGCCTACGAGGAGATATGGCGCCGCGAGGAAAGCGACCTGTGGGACTGGCTAGAAGATCGAGTAGGCCTTCAGCGTCTGAACGAAGAGACGATACCCGTGCGCAAACGGGTAATGGAGCCGCAGACGGTGGAAGAGAAGCTGCGCGAGGAACGTATGAAGGAGAAGGAAGTCGAGGAGGCCATCAAGATCACGGAGGAGAAGCTGCAGGTTCTGAAGTCTGTCATGGACCGAAAGAAGTCGCCGAAAAGATCTAGCGGACATAGTAGGCCGACGACAAACGTACCGGCTTCGAAGAGATAGGCAGCGAGCTATAGAGTGGAATGGGGCAAAGGAGGGGAGAGAGGAAGGGAGAAAGACTGAGTGAGGGGTGGGAGGTTTGATATACAGGAGGGCCAGCACACCGCACCTCAACAACCCGCAAACACCACCACTACTTAGATAGTTGTTGCCTACACGCACACACGCACACACCGAGTTGCCATAGCGGATTCCATATGTCAGCACGCACGATGCCACGACGAAGCCCACCGAATTTGCTATGTAAGTCAACCGGTATTATTGTACATTGAAAAAGCATAGGTTTTTTTTTTCTAGCTTCGTGTCGGTGCCCCCAGCGTTTTTGGCAACGTTATAGGTATAACAGTCGTCTAGCTTGTAATAAAAGGGATAGGAGTATAACTTTGCACCAAAATGAATCATCTTCTGCTTTGAAATGTCGGGCCACGAATTTCTCTACCATTTGGCTGCCCTGGGAGATGACTTGACTGACTATTTTAGGTAGATAGGCAGGTGAACCACGGTATCCCAATATAACGGGTTGCCGCTGACGGTAGGTACCTAGGTATATGTAGGTGCGTACCCAAGTCCCACATAGCGGAGGTCTTAGCTTAGGTGGCCTAAAGGTTCACACATTGCAGGTATCTCAAGGTCAACACATGAGGGGTACCTTAGGTTAGGGACAGCACCTGAGGTGTCGTAAGTGTGCTAAGAGGTGCCTATAGGTTAGTACCTAGGCATTTGCCTGATAGACCCGTAGCTTAAGCACTGATAAGTACACTGAGTGCCTATTACGGTCCGATAGCCCCTCTCTTAGGCGTCTATAGACTATAGGTACGGTCTATAGCCTGGGGTTAGGGTACCTACGGTAGGTACATAATTACGAAGGGGTTCCATTAACGCGTCCTGGTACACCAAAACGCGTCTTCCGTGGCCCCAGGCTATTACAGGTACACCTACCTACATGACTGTAACCTCTTTTCCTTTCCTTTCCATCCCCCCCCCCTCTAAACTTAACATAAAAATTACTAGAAACCGAATTCCCCAACATCAAGATCACCCGTACCACGCCCCCTCGAGGAAACAGACAAAAGGGAAACAAAAACCGCGCGATGGAGGACTCCGACGACCTACCGCAACACTACGACGACGGCAACCGAGCGTTCCTGCAGGCCTTCATGGCGCGGGGGACAATGACGTTCAAGGAGGCGCAGCCGATCCTGGCAGCCATCTTCTCGGCGCAGAACCCCGGGGAGCCGGCGACGGCGGCGGGGGAGGTGACGCGGGAGGACTTCGAGTCGTACGTGGCGGCGGCGTCGGCGGCGCTGTCGCCGTTCGACATGGAGATCCGCAGCACGACGCACCAGGCGCGGCGGGAGCGGGTGTGGGCGCTGGTGAACACGACGTCGGACGCGCTGACGCGGCTGGCGACGCTGCACTCGGCCGAGGAGATCGCGTTCGTGCGGCGCGTCATCGACGCCATGTTCGAGCGCTACAACTCGCCGCGGCTCGAGCTCATGTGCCTCGACGCGATGCAGGCGAACAAGCTGCGGGCGCCGGCGGCGCGGGGCTCGGACGACGACGGCGGCGGCGGCGAGGAGGAAGGGGGGGCAGGGGAGCCGAGCCAGCCGCAGACGCAGGCGCTGCGCGCGCTCAAGCCGAGCGAGGTCGAGGCGGTGCTGCGCAGCATGGTGGAGGCGGGGTGGTTCGAGCGCAGCCGGGCCGGGTTCTACAGCCTGAGCGCGCGGGCGCTGGCGGAGCTGCGCGGCTGGCTGCCGGCGGCGTACAACGACGCGGACGCGGGCGCGGGCGAGTGGCAGCGCGTCAAGGCGTGCGAGGCGTGCCGCGAGATCGTGACGCAGGGCCAGCGCTGCGCCGAGCGCGACTGCCTCGCGCGGCTGCACGACGCGTGTGCCGAGGCCTTCTTCCGCGGGCGCGACGCCCGCCAGTGCCCCCGCTGCGCCCGCGAGTGGTCCGGCCGCCACTTCGTCGGCGAGCGCGCGGTCACCGAGTCCGAAGCCTACCGGCGCGGCCGGAGGCGCAGCGGCCGCGGGGGCGCTGGTGCGGCGGCGGCGGCGCCGCAGGAGGAGGAGGGGGAGGGGGAGGGGGAGGGGGAGGAGGGCGGAGGAGGTCGCGCTCGCGATGATGAGGATGGGGACGGCGACGAGGATGGGTACTGAGGATGCGGCGGAGACGAGTACAAACAACAGACACGACTACGAATATAGGACCTCCCGCCCCCCCGCTTTACGAATTCTATGATGAACGGCGCGACGCACGTTATCGCGAACTTGGCAGCATCTTCAGCGTTGCTACTGCGACCCTTTCCCCCCCTACGCATAGCATCACGGCTCACCGGCCCCTTTGCCGTCTACGTATGTCTATGTATGTGTGCATGGTACGTGCAGGTTATCTCTCGCAGCAGCAGCGGGCGGTTTCATCAAGTACCTACCTAGGCTAGAATCTCGGGTCCGGATGGGCAAATATAGGAAGGGTGGGAAGGGCATAGGGCCCGAGAATAAAAGAAAAGGGGGGGGGATGAAAATCGTAATGGAAAGGGGTGGATACACATACATACGTAGACGGATGAGGAAATGCGAGATACCCTGGGCCTTTTGCCACGATCTCCCCTCGTGCGCACTGCACCTGACGCGTACGCAATGTCCGTAATCGAGTCCCCGAGGGAGGCGTGAGGTAGAATGTCCGCCTTTATTTATGTATTCGACACGAGCCAATATTCCCGCGGAGGTCCGCCAGCGTCCATAGTGATGTTCAGGGGTCCTCCGTGAATATTACAGAGATATTCGTACTTGTTGTCATAGCACAACACAACGCAAGTTCCAACTAAGGCTCCTCCCCCTCTTGGCTGGACCCTCTATGTATATCCTACCACGGGGACACATATACCTACGTATCCAGCCTATGTTCATTTTACCAACCTCCTATTGCTTTTCTTTACGCAGGCGAAAGAGAGAGAGTGACAGAGATCTTCTATCTGGGCTTTTCACACCGTGAGATTTCCTCAATCTCCGTTGCAGAAAGGCCGATCCGACACCTCTGTACTCTATACCTACAGGCATAACGGGAAGCCGGGGGGGGGTTCGCCAGTCGATCTAAGTCCGCACCATCCAAGGCGCGAAGGATGAAGCGGGCACGCAAGCAATAGATAGTCGATAGACATGCTCTCCACTCCCAAGAAAGGTCGTCAATTCATCTACTGAAAATAACACTCCGGAAAGACGAGCCAATCGAAGTCCCGACCAAGCCGCCGTTCCCAAGGCGCCTTTCCTGCGTAATAACTCCTGTCCGTAATAATCACTACCGGTGTAGGCCCGCCTTCCTTCTTAAGAATCCGGTATCTTCGTGAATAGCGGGAACGAGAGACTGGCTGAGACCTCCGGCGTCCAGTCCGCGCCCAATATCCGCGTAATTACCATCGCGCCTTTGGTCGAACATGCAACCGCATCCTTCGTGATATCGTAATCTCCGGGGCACCAGCGGAAGTCGTTTGCAACTAGCCCTTTTTGCTTCTCATTACTACCTCATTGTCTCCTTCGTCAATTAATCTCCTTTGAGCAACGGATCGGACACACACGACACGACGCCAAGTTCTCACTTCCCATCCGGTGGTGGTGACGGCGCCGACGCCGACGACGCTAGGGTCCCAGTGACTGGTCCGGACGTAAGGATAGCTAGCTGCTGTGATCCAGTCGGTGCCGCCTCCGCTGCACTGCCCTCGGCAATCAGTTTGGTGCCGCCCTTGTTACCCCCCTCGCCCTCGCCTTCTATGGCCACCGCCGCGGTCGTTCCCTCGCCACCTGCTCCTTCGCCGGCCTTGTCTTGCGCGGCCTCAGCCTCAGCCTTCTCTCTCTCAAGCCGCGTCTCGCGCCCGCGCTTGTAGCAGTACCACAGCGCGGACAGAAGTAGGAAGGCGGCGACGCTCCACAACACGTTGGTGCCGACGAACGCAGGCCAGCGCGTCTTTAGCGCGTTGACGATGCCCTTGAGCAGGCCAGCCACGGCGCCCGGCTTCGTCACCAGCTCCAGCAGGTTCCCGGGGCTTAGGAGCTTGTCGAATGCGTTGCCGTCCTTCGTCTCGTTGTCTTTCGAGAGCCCCTGGGCCTCTGCAGCCACCGCGAGCAGCTCCGGCGCCAACGCTGACGTTAGCTTGTCCGGAAGCTGGGCGACGAGCTTCTTGAGACTGCGTGGCAGGCGCTCGTACGAGCGCGCGATCGTCCCGTCGCGATCGCGGATCAGTGCAACGAGGTCGTCGTACGCTGTCGGTACGCCATTCGCTAGGTCCCGGAGCACCTGCGTGAAGCGGCGCAGCGTCTCGGCCGACTCGCGCGATAGAGAGAATGCACGCCCACTCTCTGCCGACATGCTCAGATTCAGGTCGTCGAGCACGCGTGCCATGTCTGCCTCCTCTTTGCGCTCCTCGCGCTCATCGTCCCCCGTGTCCTTGGTACCGGGGACAGTAAGATGCTGTTGGTCCTTCTGCTGTTGATCCTTCTTGTTCGGTTTGGACTTGTGCCTCAGCGATAGGCTTCGCGGCAGGTTGGTTACGAAAGAGAAGCGCTTCGGTTTGTCGTCTTTCTTGTCGTTGCCATCATCGTCCGGCTTAACTTTAACTTTAACCTTTTCTTTTCCCTTTCCGTCGGCTTTATCGGAATTCTTATTATCGCCGCTGCCACCGTCCCTACCGGCGAAGCTAGAGCTGTCGTCGCTGTCTAGCTCTATCACGGGGGTCTTGACGCGCGGGGGTAGCGGAGGCGGGGTCTCGTTGTCATCGGCGTCGTTGTCATTGACGCTGAGATCTGACGGGGAAGTGAGACGTTCGAGGAACCTTTCGTCCTCTGGGTCGAGGACAGACACACCTTCTTCATCCACTGAGAGTCGCTGAGCAGCCACTGAGGAGCCGGGATGGGGAGGGGACGTCTTGGGCGATACGGAACTGGTAATCTCGACATTACTACCTGCTTTTACCGAGCCGACAGCACCAGGCTCTTTGGTCGTCTCATCCTCCTTGTTAGATGTCTTCTTCTCCTCTTCTAAGCGCAGCTTCTCAGCCTTCTGTTCGCGGTGTTTCTTCACCTTCTTATACGAGAAATACTCGAGCATATTGAGGATTTGTAGGTATGAATTAGGTGATGACTTGGGAATTGGCCGAGTATCGGGTAACCTCTTTAAAAGAAGGGCGTGTGTGGATCAAGAGGGAGGGGAGGATGGTTTAACAATGACTAGAAGAGATGTAAGAAGAGATGTAGGCTCGATATGCCGCCAGCCTGTTTCATCTTCGTGGTAGGGGTGGGAGATGATTGGAGTTGAGAGTTTCGTCAGCTACAAGAAGACGGGAGAGGCCTCTGACATGAAGAGCGAGAGTGGGGCTTGGCCCAGGTCATAGCACAGCCACATCGCACATCGTGGCGAAGGGCTTGGTCAATGTATTTACTGAGTACCTAAGTACCCACCTAAGGTAAGGAGGCATGCTGGGAGGCGCTTGTAGAGGTGCAGGTATGGATCGTGATGTTCCGTACCACCACGAAGACGATAGTAATACACTTAGATATGCATTTCTACAGCCAGAATAAGTAGATTCTAGCTGAATTCGCTTCCGACCACGCGTTCCGCTAGTATCCATCCCCCCTTACGGGCTCGCTTTCCGTCCCCCATCGAGCTCGCGAGATCAGGTGGGTGTGGAATGGGTGCTCTCGCATATATATATGGACGCAATACCACGACGGCAAGTCAGTCGACGGCTCCTCATGGACGCAAGGGGCCAAGGAACCCTCGCTACCAACAGATGGCGTCCACATCAGCCTCGGTATATCCCTAGAGGAAGGTATTCCGAATGCCTCCCCTCTCCAAACCGTCAGAGGGTGCTGAACTGATTCCACATGGACCGCTGCTCAACGCTCGTCTAGGTAGAGAGAAGTAGAATAGGCCTGGCGCTGTGGGATTCGAACGCAAGCCACACGCTAGAGAGGTTCGACTCTTGTCCGCGCGAGTATTGCTCGAGGATACTGTACGGTATATAGCGTAATGGATATTGGTGAGCTGTTCGACGAAGCTCAATTTCCATCTACACATAGGTGTAGCTCTAGAGGGATACCGCCGAAATATGCAATCCGCTTAACAAGAGTAATGCAGGTAAGCAGCGTCCGAGTACCGTATGCAAAATAAATAGGGTACGAGCGCTCGCTCGGCTTTAATCGTCTTGCACAAGCTCCTTGATCTCCTCGCGGCCCGGAGCAATGCCCACGGTCTCGGCCTTCTCATCTCGGCCGCCGGTGCGGTCGACAACGCGTGCTCCGTCTTGCATCCAGAAGTCCACCTCGTCGATAACGTCGGCTAGGATGTCCTCCACGATCTGCTCGTCGTAGCGGTCCGCCGCGGCGCACATCTTTGGCGCTTTCTCGCCCGCCGGCTCGACCCGGGGCGGCATCGCGACGCGTACGGTGCCCGCGTCGATCATTTCCACATCGCCGTCGCTGTCGGCGTCAGTGGGAACGCTGGCGCCAAGGTCTGGATGAGGGAACCAGAATTTGGGCCCGAAGTTGACCTCGGCGGCACCCCCTCGGTATACGCTAACCATCGGGTAGTATCCCAACATGCCATCATCCATGCCTTCTCGCGCACCCACCTGCGCTTGCGGCTTCGAGGCTGGTGGCAGGAAGGCTAAGAGGCCCTTGAATGCGGTCCCCATAAGCGTGCCGTTCTTGTAGATTTTGATGTGTGAGTTCGGGAGCGTACGTAAGCATGGACTCGGGTGGTTTGGATGTGGCTGCTCGCTCGACCGGCTGCCAATGGCACCCGCCGGGCCTGCGGGAGACGGATTCATCAAGTCGTCAAGTTCTTTGGTCGTGTGGTAATCGATCTTTTCGAAGTAAATGTGATTCTTAAATCGAATCGGGATCCTATCACGGACAATATTGGCGGCCTCGGCGGCCGACTCTTCTTCGTCCGTCAAGTCGACAGCCGGGTTGTATTGGCCCTGCACAATCTTTCTGTGAAGTTGTTCTGAGGGTAGCTGGATCTCGAGACCAATCACGTCGCCTTCCTTGATGTGTTCGCCGGCCGGGAAGAAGTCGGCCGGTCGCGAGAGGTGCATTTTTTGGCCTTGGACGTCGCGGATGCCATAGCTGTAGGCGTTGTATCCGACAGGGGCATCCAACGGGGCCTCGCGTCGCGCGAACCCCATTCGCACGTGGCCGTTGGACGTGACGTTGCCGTCGCCGTCGACGCTGGTGGTCCCCCGCGTGATGCGGCATTCCCAGTACCAGCGGCCCTGGCGTAAGGCAATGTTGGCTCGCGCAGATCGGAAACCTTTGTCGGTCGTGACGTGTCGCCCTTCTTGGTCCATATACATGCTGGCGGCGGCATCCTCGAAGCTAATATGGGCACCGTAGGGCGCAGGTTCTGTTTGGCGGTAGTAGAAGGACGAGGGGAAATCGGGATCGGCGATGCAATGGGTATAGTGGAAATTCTTCTTATTGTACACGCTGGAGGGCAGGCTAGTTAGTAAGGAGCCACACGAGAGCACGGGATTGTACGGGACGGACTGCTCTGAAGTCTGGTGGAACTTGATGGCATCACCATCCGGAGATAACACCTCGTGATGAAGGGTAAAAACAGGGCCGCGGGCAGGCTCGAAGTCGGAGGGCTTCGGTGGCGCTAGCTTATAGCGCAGCGGCGAGGATTCGGCCGGAACGACGTCTCGAACCTTGGATTCTGGCGTGGCGCGCGAGCTGTCGGCCCCAGGTCCGGCTTTGGATTCTCGCTTCTTCAGCGCGTCTTTCTTACCGCGCGCCGGCTTCTCCCGCGTCATGGCGGCCAGGTCGTCGTGCGATTGGGGCCGGCTCGGTTTGGGTTCGGGATTGGGGTTGAGAGGCGAAGAAACGGATGGCGCGTGGTCGTCATCGAGAGGTCTTTTCTGGGGAACGGACAGCGGGAGGACGGGGGGAGGGACAGGTGTGATTTGTCGCTTTGGTAAATCAACATCGGTAGCCATGGCGACAGAGATTGGATCAATTTGATTCCCACTTTCTAACATGCACTCGAAGGCTACCGGGCCAAAGCGTAGAAGTCGGATCTCTCTTCGAGCATTCGATGCCTGTCGACGTAACTAATGAGGGTGTAGGGGGGCGGCACAGGGACATCTCGGCGTGCTTTGCGGCTCTACACTGTGCCAACGGCAGGTTGTAAGGACCTGGCAATACTGTTAAGTAGTTAATGCTATCTTAGGTACATAGTACCTAATACCTGGTCACCAGCTTCCTCCTCAAAGTACGTCCCGCCCAGTTACCTAGCATCCCTCCATCCCGCGTTGTATGCCTCAAAATATCAGCGCCATAACGGTCTATAACATACGTTGGAGCTGCTGGCCACCTGCTGCTTCAATATAAAATCCGGCCTCAAATTATGCTCTGGCACAGAACGGGTAGAGCAGCGTAACCTAGCCAGATACGATGACGTGGTTAAACGGCGGTTAACCACTGGGACAATTTATAGCAAGCATGTAGTAGGCAGGTAGAAGCTGGGCAATTCCTGACTAGGTACCTAGGTAGGTAGGTTGGTATGTAGGATGTAGGCATAGGTATATTTATTTCGGCAAGCAGAAAATGGAATATCCCGAAATTGCAACAGGCGAGGGAAAAAAAAAATATATATATATATATATATATATATATATGAGGAGCAAACGGCGAGAGGAGACGGATCAGTGAAACACTCACAGCAAGGAGACAAGACAGTACAAAATGATAAAAACATAAAAAGTGCATTGTGCGACCACCACGGGACTCGAACCCGCAACCTCAGTCTTCACTGCCCATTTAGCAAGCTAGCCTGTAAATAGGAGGACCGCGCGCTACCATTGCGCCAAGCAGTCTGCGTGCGCCAGTGTACGTCTGGTTTAGACAAGCCGTAGGAACACTAAAGATCGATGACTCTAAGGCTGTTATTGGTCTTTATATGGTTAGTGACTGATGTACGGTACTGACTGCATTTTTAAAGGAGCGTTGCCCCTCTACGCAGGTCTAGGTTAAAAGAGTAGTGTGGGGCACTAGAATGTACCTAAATGTATATAGTTTTTTTTTTTTTCACTATGTAGGATACCACCCGTTATTAGTGAGTTAAATGTAGGATTATATGTAGACTCTGGTTGCATACACCTGCATCCACCCGCAAGTCGGTTCCTTATGTGGGAGCTGCAATCCTATGTACCTAGTTTGGATACTTGGCGGGATGGATATTAGGGGTTTTAGATACAGGCTTCGGATGGAGGGACCGTGAACTTTTCGAGAAGCTTATCGATCTACCTACATTTACCCTATCTTACCGTGCTAGTACTTCCACTTAAGTATGTACACTTGACGATCTGACGTAACAGGGAAAAAAATTGAAGAGGAAGAGGAGAGATTTTCTTTACGAGGGGTATTGTCCAACGATACACATGGACGACGCCCTCTTCTCCCAACCCTACATCGCGTTGGAGGAGGCATATTTGTGGAGGTGGCGGGTAGATATCGCCGAGGCTGAGCTATTAGGGTTTCCTCTGAGGGGCCTCGACGCAACCAACCAGCCCGCCCTAGTTCTCATATAACCGCCTTGGTGGATGTCGTAATCATCGGCTCGCGTTTGTAGTCGAAGCGATGGTATGGGCGGGCGGGACAACTCTCTTCTACACGGCGACCGGCGCCCCAGACCGGATAGAACCCGCTTAGCCCTCACCGCCGTGCCGTGGGATGAGATACTGCAGCAAGTCTCGGGCCGGGCCAGCCCCGGGTGATTAAGCCGGGTCTTGTTCTGGCGTAGAACTTGCGCCCTCGAAAAAGACCAGACACGTGGCAACGGTGTAGTCTCCGTCATGGCTGATGCTAACGGGCGTGTGTGCGTCTGCCTGACCATCGACGCCCTTTATAATAGCCACCGGCCGGCCAGTCAAGTGCAAATGTGCCCCCGAATCAGATTCCCCCGCAGGGACCTTGATCTTCTGGAGTATGGGAGAGTCGGCGGGCGCATCCTCCTCAAAAGGCTGGCCGGAAGATGCGGCGAAGCTGTTCTCCCTCGCAATTATAATATCATGAAAACGAAGCTTCCTGATGGGAAAAGCTTTGATGATAGCTTCTTTGGCCGCGAATCTAATGCCAGATGTGAGCCTTCTGTCGTCCTAGCTACCTAGGCTCGGCAGTCGAGGGCGCTTTCACCAACCTTCCAGCAATGAATTCAGCGGCCTTCCAGAATGTCGGGTCTCTGTGCCGGATATTGGTATTCGGGGAGGGCAGCTTCTGTAGGCTTTCATACGGCGTAAAGACACAATTGAGAACCCGCGAGGCCACGGGGTCTTTGAGCTCTTCGGGGCTGAGGATGCGGTTGACGAATCTGAGGGCGGTGTCGGCCACCAGGTTTTTGTACATCCTGGGAATATGGCAAATATCGGTGCCGATTCCGATGGGGAAAAGCCTACGGGTTGACATGATGGCGGTCCAATCCCTGGGCCTCGGGGTACCATGGGCTTAACGAAGCAGGCAATAAACACCAGAGGAGAATGCGAGGTGGACTCCGGAAGCTTGGGAAGCTCTGGGAGGCGTATTGATTCTCAAACTCCTACTAACCCGGGCGGGCGCACACTTGTTGTAAGTAGGTGTACCTACCTTACCTACCTGCACCTAGGTAAGGTACTAATCTCATAAAAGCGGAAATGAAACGCTTAGATTAGAGGTACCTCTTAGGCGCCTTAGGTAATCTCTCTTCCTTATCATTGCCCACGATACCCCACCTAGGTTTAGGTAACTTGGGCACCTCATTTTTGTCGTGGATAAACACTTAACGTAAGTACAGGCAGCTTTATTTTTATCCATCCCTAGTCTAGACAGCCGTTATCGTAATCATTATATCTTTTCACCCGCGGTCTGTCTTTTGGTTTATTTTCCTCACACGTTTCACCCAACATAAGTTGACGGTTTGATTTGAAAACAACCGTAACACCTGTCCATGCCACTACATCGGCGAAGTGTGTGGAGGGGGGAAAAGGGGGGGGGGGGCGCGGGGTTACTTGAGTAGAACAACAGTCCGGGTATCACCACCAAGCCTGGCGAGCAGCACTTGTTGGTGTCATGCCGTATGAGATCCGGCATGGGAGTTCTAGCAGTTTGCCTTTTCCCTAAGCGCATCGACAGGGCTCTTTAAGTTCTACCTAAGTCAAGAGCGGCGCCCGCTCGGCGTCGCCCTCTCGTGCCCTAATGTAGCCGAAGTCTCTTCCCGTGGCGGCCGGTACAGCAACGATGACGGTTGCGACGAACAGAATCGCCATGATGATAAAGGCGAATATCCACTGGAACGCAATAACTTGCCGGAGAAACTGGCCAACTCCGATGGCTGCCGACAGGACGCTGAGGTTGAAGCCCATGGTATAATCCTGGTGAACGTTAAGAAACTCGCGCCTAAACTCGGGGGTACGCCTGCTATAGAATTGACACTCACCTTGTACGCAACGATGAAAAACAGACCGTAGACCAGGATGGACCAGATGAAGATGTTGCCAAAGATGCGGGCAACGAGCGAGCCCGGGTGAGGCACCATAAGGGCTCCATTCCAATAGATCGCCACGAAAGTCCACGCCAGCGGTCCAGACACGGCAGGCGTATGGATGAACCGAGCATATCGCGGGTGGCGGAAGTAGAGGGACGACAGGTTGACGAAGTTGAGGACGAGGAACAGCTCCGCCCAGCCGAAGTAGGACCGGACGAAGAGCATGACGAAGGCAAAGTGGAAAAGGTTGTTCACAATAAAGTGACTTCCCACGGAGCAGGCCGCATTTACTCGCTCCACATCTCGCGAGAAGAGATGGACAATATATCCGCCTTGCAGGAAGAAGAGGATAATCCTAAATAAGGCAAACAAGCTGAGTCAGAGAGAAGCCTTTGCCTAGCAGGGCGTCCGTCCGCTGGTTTGGGCCTTACCAATAGACGCTAGCAATAATGTGATTCATTCGGAAAGCCGTGTCGTGGGCATCGTTCTGATGCCAGATCTTCCGCCCATGCCAGGCCCCGTCATGAGGCTTGTTGAAGGTGTAGTAAACCGAGACGAAAATGGAGAGCAGCCAGGTGACGACGGTCAAGACCTTATCTGCTCTATGTCAACGCTGTCCGGAGCTCCCATCCTTCCCCTGAGGCGCGTTCCTCGTTCGTCTCAGCGTCAACCAGAAGGGGGAGGAAGATTAAGGCATGCAAACGCCGCAAGTTGTTAAAGACATACTGTAAACTTATTAGTCCCTTATACATAGGGGATCATCAAGGTCTCGACACTAAGCATTTCTCACTCACCAGGTGATCACCGTGTCCTTGGTATGAGAGTCGCGCCTCGCAAACGGGTTGACTAAGCGCGCCAAAAGACGATGGTTAGAGTGTTACCGGTGCCCTCGTCCGTAGTAGCAAAGCGCACGTACTGTGATGAACCCTCTCCATCTTGGCCAGAGTCTGCGTGGGTGCGTCGTGGGCGTAAATGTAGATGAAAGTAGGAGGAGAGGATGGATGATGGGTATTCTAGCCTGCTACCGAGGAGAGTGGCCCACAATGGCTTTGTATTTGTAAATCTCGACGACCTAAAATCGGACGGATAGCAGTGAGCAAGGAGCACGGAAGGCCATAGGGCAGGTAAATGGGTTTAAAGGGTCGACCGAGGCGGTTTCATGACGAATAGTGGCCACTAGCAGGCTGACGAGCCATCCCGCGACCCGGTGCTGGGCGTGCCTTCGATGACGATGGAGGACCTCGTCGTGCATAAAGGTGACGTGCGGGGAAAGCTAACAGCGTAGGCATCGTCTGGTGACGTTGTCAGGGAGGAACGAGGCCATGTACAAGTACCATGGCAGAGAATACACAGGTGCGAGGTGGGTTCGCGTGGATATGAGGTCTCAGATTCTCACGTGTGTGTGTGCCTATGTGCAGCCATAGGCAAGTTAGCACCAAGAGCCAGGATTCCGAGCAGTTCTGGTCACATGCGCCCATACACTTACAGGTAGGCATCGGCACTGTCCCGATACCTGCCTACATATAACATTGGGTGTACGGACACGCTGATACTGATCGGCCTGGTGTAGGTAGGTAGGTGAAATCAGGTTTTACCTTTAGGTGCGCAAGGTGGTGGCGGCTCATCGAGATGTAGGTGTGCAGTATAAGGTAGTACCGGTACCTGTCCAAGACCATGGGCAACATGAGAGTCGATCGGATATCGGCCTGCCTACCTCTATGTCCGCAGGTGGCGCGTATGTAAACAATATCTTGGACAGGTAGCTCTTACATGCACAGAGCACTCCAATGTGGTCGAACATCAAGTACCTTACAAAGCCATTCGCGCCTCGGTGATGTGCCTTCATCGTCACCGCACGCGCGTCCTGTTGCACCGACTAATCAGGTTAGTTTTCCATACGCCACGGTTTTCTCTTTCTCTCCCCCTCATTCCCCCTCCTTACCTTCAACCCCTCCTCATCCTCCTCTTTCTTCTCCTTTCGACGGGTTTTGTTAGCGGCCGCAGCCTCAGCCGCAGCACGGCGAGAACATATCAGGTGGGTAGAGGAGGCCAGTTCAACCGAAACCCCTCTTCACTCTGCTTTCCCCCCCTTGGCCGTGGTTCGTTGTAAGTTGGAGTTTATGATGCTGCGTAGACGGTTAAGGCGCCAGGCATACATACGGGATTACTTAGGTAACACAATATGATTTCCGCCCATCATAGCTAATTGACGACGGAGAGACGTAAGCCTGCGCTGGCCTCCCGCAGCCCTGGAGAGTACCTATGTGGTACAGGCTGGCACATCCGCACACACGATACCTCCTATACAACTGCTTACTTACCTATGTGACCTACCTACGTGCCCTCCGTGTTTTGAGCATGATTCGCCTACTAATGTTACAGGTAGGTATATACAACCTACGGCATGTAGACTGTGGGCATACGGGGGGTTGAGTAGTCGACGTACAACATCGACATTCCGTGATTCGGGAGAGGTTGGCAGTCAGCATTACCGTGGCCCTCTGCGTTTCTGCGATTAGGTAGGTAGGCACCAAATACAACCATGCCCTTCAACGAAGGCATGTTTAAACCGTGGCACCTAGGTATTGGAAATTCCAATGCATCTTACCTCTAGGCGCATATCTCCTGCTTACCGATTAAACGGATCTAAAAATAAAAATAAAAGCCATTTACAATTCCTAAACTCGGTCTTATTTTTTTATACCGATAAAAACATAGTCGTGTGAATCGACATTGACATGGGCAATTCATAATTGGCAGGCATACACGATACTCGAGGCATGTTATCACCACTTGCTCCCCCTTGCCTACCTACGTAGTAGGTAAGTATGGTGTTTCGCTCACGCTCACTTCTGGCCACCACTACGGTGCACCATTAGTGCGTATCCGACAAAACGATTTTCGGAAATCGAAAATCGGTTTTCGCGAATTGAAAATCGACCGAAACGTAAAAGTGGGGCTACCTTATTGACCTACCATAAAAGTCATCGACTTTAATTATATATTATTAAATCAATTAAAGAGATATAATTAAACGGCCTTTATATTAAAATAAATGAATGCTTAATTTATAAGTGTATATAAGTTATATATTACGTAATATAATATCTAAAGAATTATAAGCAGTTAAAAATAATTGATATTATAAAAGTTATTAACTTTTATAATATATAAGAACGTTAATAAAGAAGATATAATTATAATTTTTTAATATTTAAATAGATAAATGCTTTATTTATAAGTAAATATAAATCATTCCTAATATAGAATAAGGCTTATAAAGAAAAGCGTAACTAAAGTAGATTCTTATAATAAAAGTTACTAACTTTAACCTTATATTTATAAATTAATTTATAAGATATAATAAAACTTATCTAATATTTAAATAAAGAAGTACTCGATTTATAAATAGATATATATCATTATTTATATAATGTAAGGTTTATAAAGGAATACGTAATTAAAGTAGATTATTATAATAAAAGTTATTAACTTTAACCTTATATTTCTAAGTTAACTCGAAAGATATAATAAACTTTAATTTAATATTAAAATAATAGATTGCTTTATTAATAGTTAAATATAGATTATTATTTATATAATTTATTATTTATAGATGAAAAAATTATTAAAAATTATAATGGGCTATGCCTATAGTAGGGCCCTGGCTAGTGCCAGGGCATAGTACGTAATTAGGCCCTCAGTACCTACGGCGGATAAGGCTAGCTGTCGTAAGTACGGCCCATAGGGCATACTTTCTTCCTTTTTCTCCTCGTTTAGCTTTAGTTTATTAACATACGGCTTTTACCTAGCGAATAGCTCTTAAAACCGTAATAAAAAGCTAGACTAACCTTCTTTTATCGTTTTACGGAAGTAATAGCATCGAAGCGAACGGAATTAGCAGTAGGAACGGCGATATAGCCCTTAGAAAAGCGGTACTAAGCTAGTAGTCGGAAAGGCGGTATTAGCTTTTGGATATACGCGCCGGTAGTTACTACGAAGAGGACCGACGATAGTAGTAGACTAGTATCTTAATACGCGGGATTAGTAGTGGGAAAGGCGATGCTAGCGTTTACGCCGGCTAAGTCAGCAGTCGGAAAGGCGGTGTTAGCTTTTGGATATACGCGCCGGTAGTAGTATCTACGGACGAGGACCGATAAGATAACCGAAGAAACGACCGATAACCCTGAGAAAACGCAGATTTAAACGGTAATTTCGAGATAAGAACGACGAAAAATACGGCTAAAAACGGCGGAAAATTTTTTTCCGGAGAAAGATAGTAAAGCGCTAGAGTATAGCGCTCGTCGACGAATTAAAAACGCCCGAGGCGTAATATAAGAAGGAACGGCGTTAGAATAGCGACGAAACGATAGGTTAAGCTAGGATAATAGTACTTCGATAAGAGCGCTAGCGGCGCTAGTAGTAAACGGGAGGGCGCGCCTTAGTACGCTCTTAGGCGGAGCCCTCGCTCCGCTAGCGGAAGATAAACGATGGTCTTAAAGCGAGCAGGGACGGCGTACCTTAGCACGTCCTCCGGCGGAGCCTCGCGGCTCCGCTAATAGTACGAAAGAATAGGCCCCTGGCTTTTAAACGATAGCAGACGAGAGAGCGCGCCTTAGCACGCTCTTAGGCGAAGCCCTAGCTCCGCTAGCGGACGATAGACGATAGTCTTTAAACGAGTCGGACGGCGTACTTTAGTACGTCTTCTAGCGGATCCGACGGGATCCGCTAACGGAAGATAGGCCCCTGGCCTTTAAACGGAAGGATAGGCCCCTGGCCTTTAAACGGTAGGAGAGGCCGTAGGCCTTTTAACGATAGTAGAAAGAAGGGCGCGCCTTAGTACGCCTTTAAGCGGAGCCTTCGTTCCGCTAGCGGAAGATAGACGAGGGTCTTTAAACGGCGGTAGACGGACCGACGATCCCGTGGCTACGGGAGCTAGGCTAGACCTAGTAGGCGCCGATAGCGACTTCGTACGCGGGGCTTTAGAGCTTTACGGTTTAATAAGAGGATCGGGACTAGCCCCGGGGAATAGTAGTACCCCGGGGAACGAAGATAGTAGCCCGGGAAGCGGATAACGTAACCCGGGAAACGGAAACGGAAGAGGAGGAGATCCCGGGGAAAAGTAGGACCCGGGGAAAGAGCGCCGGGGGGCTAGAAGCGCCCGGTATAATATCCCGGGAGACGAAAGGCCCCGGGAAGGAAACGGCGGAAGAGAAAACCCCGGGGTATAGTATAACCGCCGGGGAGGAAGAAGGCCATACCCGGGGAGCATTAATACCCCGGGAAACGAACGGAACGAAGGAGGAGGCCTAGGGATATACTAATACCTTAGGCGGCGGAGTTAATAACCCGGGGAACGAGTAGCGTACCCCGGGAAACGGAAGTAGTACCTAAGGATGCGGTACGTATCCTAAGGCGCGCGGAGAAAAACGGGTTAGGTTATTAAGGCTAAACGCCGAAAAAAAAGGCGATAGGGCTAAACGCCGAAGAAAAGGGCGATAAGGCGTACTTTTTTTTTCCGGGAGGGGACCTTATATAATAGGCTATACTTATAATAAGGCCCTAGCTAATACTAGGGCATAATACGTAATTAAGCCCTTAATACTTACGGCGGATAAGGCTAGCTATCGTAAGTACGGCCTATAAGGCATACTTTCTTTCTTTTTCTCCTCGTTTAGCTTTAGTTTATTAATATACGGCTTTTACCTAGCGAATAACTCTTAAAACCGTAATAAAAATAAATGCTTTAATAAAAGCTATTAACTTTAATTATATATTATAAAGTTAATTAAAGAGATATAATTAAAATAATTTAATATTTAATTTTAGAAATAAAAAAACTATATATATATATTAATATTTAGTTTATAAAAGTTTATATATTTCTAATTTAACATTTACGATATAATATATAATTATTAATATAACTTTTACT